GTGGGTGGGCCATAATTTTAAAAATTCAATAAAAAATCGTATATATATATATATATTAAATATAAGATTAAAATACAATTAATTTTAATATTTAATATGATAATAATATCAATGAATACAGCTGAATAAAATTATTTATTAACATCTTTATATTAATACTTTAATTTCGATTAGATCAGGATTATATCGATAACAATTAATTCAACGTTAAAAATGTCGATAAATAATTTATTTTTTGATGGTTGTAAAGTTTTCTAATCAGCAAGTACTTAAACTTGGTATTATACTGAATCTACCCAAACTCTAGTTACTTGGTACTAGACTCAAATTTTTAAAAGCCGAAGTATGCAGCAAGCAATCCATGAAAAGCATTAATCAAAACATTAATCCAACTAGAATCCAAGCATAAATTGCAAACTAGGAACCCCACTACGATGTCTGATGTAACATGAAACGACAAAAATAGTGTTGTACTAATTTAATTAATGAAGATTAAACTTGCTGGTTGCTAAGTGCATCTCTCTTTATATTTAGCTCGTTGAAGATAGTGTTGTTGTTATATTACATTGGCCAAAAGAAACACTATTATAACACTAATCACAATGAGATTACGTGAGATTAAGGTTTACGTCTCGTCAGAAGCACCAAACCCCAAACGGCAACGTCACTTTAGCTTTTGCTTCTCCAACAACGTAAAATAAGTTTTAGGGAATAAAACTATCTTCTTTTTCTGTCCATTTCCATTCCCTTATTCTATTTTAATTTTGCTTTGGTACAATGTGACATCACTCGCTGCGTCGTTTCAGCAAACATTCCTGGCTCTTATCTTACATGTTGCAGAGCACCACCATCCAAAATTTTATTAAAAATAATTTTTATCTCTTCAAATCTAATTTGTGTTGCTTTTATCATTATGCTCTGTTTCGAAATGCAATAAAAAATTTGAAATATTTGAATTGAGAGAAAAATAAAAATTTAAGTTTTTTTTTATTTGCTTGGTCCAATTAAAAAATCTAGAAGAAATAATAGTTTAATGTAAAAACATTTTTATGCAATGCAAGCTTTTTTCATTCTTACGAAAAGTAAAATTGTTGTTTGAAAAATGAAAGCTATCGCTCCACTTTCTTCCAATTGGTGCGGAGAGTATTTTCTTCACGGCCCCTATAGCTTTCAGCTGTTTCTTTCTTATTTATCTTTTGTAATCGAAACAAAGGAAGTTAACCAAATATTAACTTTTTAATTTTTAATTAATTTGCTTATCAAGACTTTTATCAAATTCTAACCCAATATTTATATTTTTCAAATGAATGCCTTTTAATCTGTTTAAGTTTTTATATTTTTAATTAAAATTATGATATCATTTAGAGATATTATAAAAACAAGTTAATTATCAAACAGTATTATGTTTAATTTGAACATTTTACATTAGTATCTCTATTATGTGTTACAATATTGATTCATCAAACAACTATAGTGATGAAATTGTTACATTTAAAAGGGAATTTATATTTTAAATTTTAATTAACTAATGGGTCAAGTCTGTCAAGCGCTCTATTCTGAAAAAAGATAAGAGAATAGAAAAATAAAGAGAAAAGTTTTTGTTTTTTCTTCCTCTTTTTTTCTATACCAAAAAAAAGAAGAAAATTTGTAATTTTATAATATCTTTTTTCTTCTTAATTAAATAATACAATTTATATATTATTTTACTCATTTTTATCTCTACGAAATAAACAAAAGGATTGAATTATATCATTATTTATTTAAAACTCGAATACAAGAATACAAATTAAACTCAAACAATCATTATTTATTGAATATATCACGTGTTACTTATATTATCCTTATCTTGTGTCAAAGCTTTAGTACTATATTGTTTAAAATTAACACTGTTCAGTTGCTGGTGTTTTCTAGAGATACACAATTATTTGGGGGAGAGAAAATTGGGTTAACTCTTTAAGTGTGAGAGATACACTTCCAACGCAATCAACGGTAACCAACTTAACCTTGAGAAATAATATATTTAGGAATATTAAATGAATTTTATTAGGGATACTTGGTATATAATTTTTTTTTATTCTCGACAATTATATATTCCAAGAATTATAATCTTTTGTTTTTTGAAAAATGAGTATTAACATGATTCGCATCAAAGTGGGAATGGACCACTTTGGTGGTTGGTTTTGAGTTTGGATGTGGTGATAGATAAATTTGCCTACCATTTTAGGTAAGCAACACGGCAGTGTTTGGATTCACATGTGTTTGGATCTGCCATTGCCATTTACTGAGTTGGGATAATTGAGATTAATGTGAGGTCATCATAAAACTTAAGTTGATAACTGTTTGACAATTTGCTCCAATGAAATGAGTTATGGGTTCGAGATTGATGATATAGCGTATATACATATAATTAAGCATCAAAAAGATAACTATTGAATATGATGTGCATCTCCATTTGATGTCACGTGAGAATAATGTTTGAGCGCTGGGGTTCAACGATATTATAATCACAATATGATGTGAGATTTGTTTGCCTCCTCATTTCTATACGGCAATAATGGTGATTTTTGTGGATAAAATTTATCACTCTTGAGTGTACATAGCCATAGCAAAATACCAAATTTAACCATGAGAAATATTAAAATATATATTTTTAATATAATATTTTTTTTATCACAATCTTAATTATTGATTACAATTTATTAAAAATTATAAAAATATTAATAAAAATTATTAAATTAAAAGTGAGATTCATATATTGTTTAGAATTTTATTAAGTTTGAGTCAATTTTATTATACTACTAGTATTTTTAGTTTAAGAAATCTCCAACAATTCAGAAAAGTAAAATTAAGGGAAAAAAAATTCAAAATTTTAACCACCTCTATGCTTTGGTGAATTGTACACATTTTCCGTAAATTTTTTAATATGAAGCCATATTATTATTTTAAGATAAAAGGTCAACAAATGACCTTGACAAATTCAACAAAACCTCCCATTTTTTACATTTGGTTACTAATTAAAATTTATTAAAAATTAAAAAAGTACAAAACAGATATTAATTTAAGAATAAAAAAGTGTAACTTACATAATTTTTAATAAATTTTAGTCAATAATAAGTGTATAATTAAAAAAATTGTAATCCTAACATTATTTTCTCTCTAAACCCTAAATCCTAAACATTACTTCCTCCCTATTTGTTTTCTCTGCCACGCCAATGAATCTGGCGGGCCTATTTGTCATGAATTCCTTGCTCTATCTATGGACAGCGTTTCGCAGTGTTTCTTGTGCAAGTGCAACCCCTCTTTTTTGGCAGCATATGTAACAAAGTAATGATAAGAAGATGACAAGATAAAGAACATTATATACAAAATACATCGAGAGAGCATACCCACAAATGATCACATTTACAAGAGCTTATCAACATATCAAACTATGCAACATAACACAGAGAAAGAAACAAGATTGCTTTCCAATTCATAATGAAATTATTTCAAGACCAACCTTTATATTTTTACTTGTATTTTCTCTTACATTCATTTTCTATCTTTTTTTCTTTATTATCATGTCTTTTCTCTCTCTCTCTCTCTTTTCTTCATATTTTTTTCTTCTTTCTTCCTTTTTGTTTCAAGACAGAAACGACACACATGCACATCAAACAAGAGGAGAGGGCCAAATCTGATTCTGACCTGTGATTCTATGACAGTGGAGCGATATTCAAATTATGAACATTACAAATAGATGGCATACAACAACACTTTCTTTGACAAAAAGTCATGTTATGGCATCAAGTAAACAACATATATAATTCCCAATCACTTCAAATCTCTCGATTGTACCCGGTACCACCCTGTTTCCCATTCCCATAACAAGCATGCAGTTATCCAAAGCACTACATTAACACAGGTTTCTCAGGCACGGATTATGTTACTACCACAACAAAACCATCAAAATTTCAGGATCATAAAAAATCTCGATTATGTTACTAATGAAAACAGGCATTTTAATACGAGCGTTGGTCCACTAAAACTGGGGTGGGCCCAAATACAATAAAGCCCAATCAACGTGCCATTCATAGAGAGAAGGGTGTATATGCAGACACTGAAACGATCAAGTCGATACTTTTACTTTAATTTTTTGAGAAAGAAAGAGCACCGGGCACAATAATTATAAAGATTTTTTTATGATGTTATTTTAGAGTTTAATTTTAATAAGCTGTATGTGTAATTTTATTATTATTAATTAATTTAAATATAAGATAAATATATATGTATTTTAAATTTATTATAAAAGATTTGATAATTTTTATAAACGTGATAATTCATGATCGAATGATAATACAAAAGATATTTTACGCTGTCATTTACTTATAGAAACTACCATATGAATTTTTCAATAATTAATTTAAAAATTATATTTACAATATATTATGATTGATTAAAAGTATAAAAATATTTACATTGACACATTCTATTAAAACTAAATTCAATTTTAATTTAGATCTTACGATTAAAATTAATAGTTTTTTCTATCTCATTTTTAAAATATTTTTAATTTATTTCCGGCAATTGATAATATTGTTAATTCAAATGAAATATTATGTTAGATTTGTTTTTTTAATATACATAATCCAATCATAAAACCTATTTCGTATAACTAATTATAGCAATAATTTATTACCAACATATTTTTCGCAGTTAATTCAGACATAGAATAAGTTGTTTATAATATATACAGCTTTCAACTTTTAAAGAAGTAAGATAATTTTGATTCACTTTCTTGATAAAAATGGTTTTGAGTAGTTCTTTCATGAAACAAGAAAGAAAACAAGTAAAACTTTAATAGAACAAGCAGCAATAAACTGGTATTTGATTTTATTATTATTCTCCTTCCACACCAAAGCACATCCTAAGGAAAAGCAACAGCCCACACAATTTTGTCATGACCCTACACCACGAGGCCACATGCATGCATTTCCATTGCAAGAAGACCCCATAACTTGGCCTTATGAAAGTTTATCTGTGGCCCAGAATGCAATGTTGCTAAGCAAAGATATCTTGCTGTTAAGAGCATTAATGTCAGGGTTGACAATCTTTTCACTAGCCAAGCCTCTGGCACAGGCGTCAGGTCCATCACCAGCAACTTTGGCATCATAGTTAGCAGTTTGAGGATCATCCGATATCTCATTGAGGGAACTTCTGAAGGATCCAACCACACCATTATAGTGAAAGTTTGCACATTCTGAAATGGCTCGAGAAGCGGTTCCCAACCCCTTCAGAAAGTTCTGACCCTCTATTCCCTTTTTCAAGGCAAACTCAAGGATCACCTTTGAAAGTTCAAGATAGTTCTTTGCTTCGTGGGTTCTAGGCTCTTCATTCAGAAGCTCCAAGCACCTGGCATTGTCCTGCATGGTTTCCTTACAAATTTTCCCAACAAGGTCTGAACCATGACTTTTCTCAGATTTAGCATTTGCTGCCAAAGGAGAATGAGAAAGGAGGATCAAGCAAAGGGTGAACACAAGGGAAAATAGTGCTGAAGTTTTCATTTTGGATTTTTTGTGGGGCGACTTCTTGTTGAGGATTCCTTGGTTTGGTTTGTGGGAGAATGAATTAATCGTTCGTGGTGTTGGGTTCTTTTATAGTAACTCTAATTCTAATTTAGGCTATCAATAATTATTTTTAGAATGCAAAGCGATTGGTTATGATGCATGGAGTGGAAATCGATCTTTTTTTTCGATCCATTTGGTCAACTAAGTTGGATTTTCAAGGTAAAAAAAAGTGATATAACAAACTCGTTCTCTAAATAATGCCGAGTTTTTTACTAACTTTAGTTTCAACTTTGAATTTAAAACCCAACAAATTTGGTCTAAATATTTTTTAAGTACCCTACTATATCAAATAAATAGCAAAGGTGTTGAATTTAGCGAACTAGGATAATCCTTTCTGATATAATAAACTACAGTTTCAATTTTCATTAAGAAAAACAGCAACATTTAATATTCGAAGACTTAAAACATATCCAAAATGCAGGGATAGTTATTAATAATATCTGACTTAAAATTTTAAAAAAAAAATTGTAATTCAATCTGTCAGGTTGATCAGTCTAACCCATCAAATTTTGGGGGACAAATTGTGATGGTCAAATTTTTTTAAAATGATAATTATTTTATATTTTTATTTAATTTATATATTTTAATTTTTTAATATTTAAGTCGGTCAACCTGCTAACCGTCAACCCGCTAAAAAAAAGGAAACGGTTGATGTTTTCAACCCACTAAAAAGAGAAGGGACACGTTGACGAGGTTTACCATCCCTAAGATTTTCCATTTGTTTAAAACCATACTAAGTTACCAAAATATCATCACATGTTTCGGTTTTACAGCAATAGCAAAGAAAAAGCTACGGAAGAGCCAGTTTTACAGTGCCTAAAACACAGTATATGTTTAGAATCTTTCAGTATGACAACTGGTTATTTACACAAAGAATAAAGCCAAGTAAAGATGATATCCATATATTGGACTGTTAAAAAATGAAAGAAAGAAAAGACACTTGGTTTCTCAAACAAATTACAAACACACATTTCTATGCCTTCCCAAAGAACTAGGATTACCACAAAAAGGTAAGCTAAGTTTTTATACCAAAAGTTCCAACCAATTCAGCTCCCATTTCCATTTCTTTTTCCACCTTTAGGATCCAAGTAATCCCACATCATATATGGTTGATGCCATAAAATTATCATAGGGACAAACCACACCCCTCATAGCCGCATTTCCTTTGAAGTAACGTAGTTTCTGCTTTCAGTCACATTCGAATTGGCAAGGACCTCTTGTGCGATTTCCCAGCTTCCACTCCTTTCCCAACTTGAGTGCCTTGCGTCGGATCGAATTGTCGGAGCTCGATGATCTGAGGACAAAATTGAGTCTGGTTCAGATGGATTATGGGGTGGTCCATTGCTGCCTCTGCCCCGAATGTCCTCTTCAAGTTCTTCGATGTTCCTACGCTGTGATATCTTCAACAGGTCTTCACCAATGTCTAGATCATCTTCAACCTTGGGGCGGCGATCTCCTCCACCCATGTCATCTGGTTCTCGTTCCCGGGTAATGACTGAAGCCATTGGCCTTGGTGCCTCCTCTTGAACAAAAGCCCTGAAATTGTTCCTTGAGGGCTTTACTTTCGTGCAAAACACTTCCAGAAAATTATTTAAACAACCTCGATTGAAAACATTGATCCTGCCATCAGCCCTGTACCGGAAGTTTTCATAGGTAGTCTGCAAGACAAGAGGCACTAACCTAGGTGATGAAGATGTTCATGTAACAACAAGAACTCGAGAAACAACAACAGTGCATTTATAAGCTCACAGTTCTGTGAATATAGACATGTTACAGCTTATATCCTACAACACACCTAGCAAATACTAAAAACTGGCAACCTAAGACACCACTAAGCAGACTTCCATAACATGAAAAACAATTGAACAAGTGAATCAGGCTTACATTGAAAAGAATAAAATATAGAACATAAAACATAATGAAATTTTAAAATTTCCCTTTATATGGATGCAGAGAAAATTAAGAGTTAAGAAAATAGAAATGCAAGACTTCAGCATTTTCCAATATTTTATTTCCTACTCATCTGAGCATAACAAATATATGCAGAGACAATAACATTCCATCAATAAGTACACAGCCTAATTTTTGGTCACCTCAAAAAAAGACCACTGGGTATTTTTTTAATGTCCAGTTCTGTTCATGTTTTGTCATTGTACATGTAACCTGAACTGGCATATGGATCATTTCATACTATCATGGAAGTATTGATTTATTTAAGAATAATTTCAGCTATTGCCTTTGCTGAAATTAACACAACGTGCATTTAACAGATTTGTCATAATCAGGCATATCAATTTCTGTAATAAAAGCAGTCTGAAGTTATAAACGAGTCTAAAGGTCCACAAACCATTGCTATATACACAAGATATTAAAACCAGAAATGTAATTAAACAAATTGACAGACCTGGTTTGTGCCTATAAGGTACAAATGAAAACCAGTTAGTCCACCGACAAACCACAGAGAGATGAAACAATAAGCCATTAGTATCACAGATGAAGGGGATTCTTTCATTGCCTTCCAAACTGTTCCATCATAATTATCCATCAGAACCTTGATGTAAAAAGCTGAGAGGGAAAACACGTAGATGCACAGCATAGTTGCTGAAGAAACGAACATAAAGAAGTAACGGTAGTTCCTCTGCACAGTGGAAAAAGGCCAAAGATACATAAGAACAAAGAAAACAAGTAAACAACCATAAATATCAATAAAGAAAATGTGTCACAAAATCAATCATGTCATGACTGTCAACTATCATACCAGACCAATGCATTGACCCACCCAAGGGCAATGGTGATCAAAACGCTCAACACAGTTGTTGCAAATGGAGCAATGTGAGCAGCGAGGAGGACGGTACAGCATACAAGTCTCACAATATTTCACCTTCACATTGAGGCCATTGACCATAACTTCTTTTGTTCGAGGAAACTGAAGGCTTGGCGTTTGTCGTCCAGCTCCCCCAGCATCAGCAGAAACTGAAGAATCATAACGAAACTCTTCTTCTGGTGGATGCAAATTCCTTGGAATGATGCCCGGATCACGTGAGGAAGTAAGAAAGAGAAGTACCAGGACCTAGAAACATAGATTCTGAAATTATGTTTGGCATACTATATGAGATCAATGAAGAAGATTAAATAAAACCAGTATCTTAATAATGAAATGCTATCACCAAAACAGCTCCCGACCTTCCTTTAGTAAATTAAAAAGTTATAAGAAAAAAGGTGTTAACAGAGGCATCATGATTTGCTTTCGTACGACAATGATTGAGCTAAACAAGCCACACTTTGGCAGTCTACAGCATTGTTCTTAACAGGTATACAGGAAGATGGATGGAGTATATTGTGGTTCCTGAACAGTAGAAAGCAAGTTATCTGTGACATATGATTACTTACATAAAATTTGGACCATGGAACTCACAAACAGACCAAGCCCCAACTAGCTATCCATACAAAACAATGAAAACATCAAACCAATAAAGGGGAAAAAATAACAGAACTTACATTGATAGTAAAGAGAATTGCCACTGCTAAAATAGCATATCCTGAGTTATAAGAAGAAAATTGATGCCGAAGATGCCTTGCTACAAATGCACAGAAGATTATAACTGGAACAATAATCAGCAACAAGGTGACAAACAGGGACCTAGCGTCAGGACCAAATATCAACCTCCCTCCAAATATGAATTTCTGCAGAACATTAGGAGAAAAGTACAAACTATGAAGTACAATAAGAGTTAACAATTGGCAGAAAAAAGTTCATGAAAAACTAAAACACTACTGAAATTAGCCAAAAGTTATGCAATATTAGCAGAAAGCTACATCATTCCAAGGGCATAATATTAGAGATTAGAAACATAGGTGTTATATATGAAATTTTAATAGACAGAAAAGGAGAAAGGTACAACTAGTGGAGAGAATAATGAATCCTCCGATCTGAAACAGAAAGAGAGATGATAGGACAAACAAATATAAAAAAGGAAGATGCCCAAGAAATTGCAGGCATTTCTCATCAACCAAATATACCAGAAAACTACAACACTGCACAATGCCAAAAAATTTCACACTCCTTGTTCCTTCCAAAACCTTTTAGACATATACAAGAGAAAGCTCCAATGTATGATAGGACAAACACATTTTGACTAGGAACCCCAAAAAATGCAGCAGGTGAACCATAGAAGGTGTCCATCTGTAGCATAAATATCAGCTTATTTATACCAACATGTCTCTATTTCTTTATAAACTTCATTGATGCATGCATTCCTAATCATATCATGCATGATATCATCCATCACTTTAGATGTTATTATCTCTTGCGTTTCTTATCCTATTCTATACCCACAGGGGAAAACAAAATATAAGACAACAAACACATCATGAAACATATAGTCACCCATTTTTTGTCACTTGTTGGATCACTTCATGTTGGCTACAGATTAGAATAATTGGCATGCTTCAGTTGGAATTGATAATTTAGCAACAACTAAACATTACCAGCCACCATCCATTTCCAATGAAAATTGCTGTAAACAGTGGCTATGCAGATTAGTACTTCATGTGAGCATCAATTTACCAAAAATCAAAACTAATTCATGCAGTGGTGGGGATGAGGGACCTCAGTTTCAGCATATCTTCAGGAGTAATTATTTTGAAAATTGAAGATTCTTTAATGCACCCATTAATCACCCTTACACTTAATATTTCTCATCCTTTCGGAGTGTATTCTACCACATGCCACCTGTCATCATAGAGAATATAGCAATAGCATGGACCTATCTATCTATGTGGCAAAATCTGACACGGATGACATCCTTCTACCACAAATTTTGAAAACATAAATAAAAACCGAATGATTGCAATGTGAGCAACTCAACATATTTTTTTTATATGAAAACTATCATTCAAAGATACAAATTGACAAGTGATCAAACTCAAACTAGCTATATTCAGCTGCACCTTCCTTTTCACCCAAAAACTAAAAACACGCCTCCAGCAAAAGATTTAGCAAAACTAGAGAAATAAAATAGTCAAATTCTGCATCTTCAGTACCTAGTTTCCCAAAAGACAAATTAATCAACTTGATTAAGCCTAACAATTCCAAGACACAAGATTAAAGTGTTGCTTCTCCAATAATAAAGAAAAAAAAAATACATAGCTGAGTGGAAAACCAACTCTAATCAGGCACAGCTCTACATTCAAAGTGTAGAACCCCCATTAAACAAAAAACACATAACCTCCCCCACTATAAGCTCAACATTTAACACAGACCAAGCTTGTAATTTTCAAAAGAAAGAAAGAAGAAAGAACTCCCAAGTCAAATTTTTTCCCACTCTATTTCCACATTTCAGCAACCAAAACTGCCACTGAAATTCAAAGCCTTCAGCACCAAGCAAATCACAGAAGCACAAATCCAGGGCATACCCAGATGGCACATCAAGCATAAAAAGCTAAATTTGCAACGAAGAAGAGGAAAAGAAGCGAACTTTACATTACTTCCTTTCCAAACTTGGTAGACGCGCTTTGGAGCCATGAATGAAGAGTCCAGGTAGACACGCTAGGCAGGGAAAGAGTGTGAGAGGGTGAAGTGGCAAGTGTTCATCTCACTCTCATTGACGCTGCAGTGAATCAGAGAGTGTTGGATTGAGGGTCAAAAATTGTGGGCCTTGTCTGGAATGTGATGGAAAAGCTTCACACAAAAGAAAAAGAAGAGAGAGAAAAAGAAGGGGGGGTGATCCCAGAGATGGCGGTTTTGGAGTTTGGAATTTTGGATTTGCGCTGAGGAATGTTTTGGGGAAAACCAAAAGAAAAATCTTTGTAGCGAAAGCAAAAGATGAAAATTTTGAAGAAGAAGAAGAAGTAGTAGAAGAACTTGGCTTGCCCTTTGTTTCATTTCATCTTCTCACGTCACTCTCTGTGTTGTGACAGTGAAATTTTTTCTGATATTCACTTACTCGTTTTACCACTGACACGTCAGCATATGGTGGGATCCATGATTCTTCGACGCATCCAACGGCTCTGATGGAGATACTCCCTTCTCTGTCATCGCGTTAGGTTGGGTTTCTAACCACAAAACAAAACAAGAAAAAAAAAATTCAATTTGAAAATTGCAACATGAGTTTCAAAAGATAATTGACTAAGGTGTGATAATTTTGTTTTTTAAAAAATATTAATGTAATTTTTTAGTTTTTTTAAAAAAATTGAACTTATTTTATCTATTTTGATAACTTTTTTGTAAATTGTTTATGAATATTTCATAAATTACTTTTATAAATGTAAATAAGATTCTCTAAATCTTCCTAATTTTATCTTTACAAATACTTTCACTCGTTCAATTTGAATTATTATCTCACAAATTGTTAAAATACTCCTTGACAGAAGCGTTTAATAATATTTAAAGCTTAAAAGAGACAGAACCCAGTTCATTCTTACAACAGTTGTTCAGAAATTGGTAAAATTACATGTTGTAAAAACTTTTTGCCTAAAACCTTGTGACGTCATTTTGGTAACTTGGTTATAAAACTGAAACTGGAATTTCAAAACAAATATTTTTGGGTATGGAAGATAAGGTTAATGATGTAGAATTAAGTTCTGCAAAATTATGTTTGTGAAAATTAATCAAATCACGCATTTCATTTGTATTTGTATACCATTGTCTCTTTATATCAAATCTTGCACTCTTTTAAAAAGAATTAAAAAAAAAGGGAAACAGTTTGAAATGGCAATGCATGAGTCCAAAAAAGCATAGGAAGCAAATGGACAAAAGAGAAGTTCCAACCTGGCTTTGCTGGTTTTGGCTTGACCATGCCAGATTCAGATGCTTTAACGCTTCTCCCATGCCATAAATTGTTGCTTTTCCTAATAATAATAATAGTAAATATTCCATGCCCAAGTTGTTCATTAAAGCATTACCGAAACCTAGGTATTCTCCTTGCAAAGTCAGCTTTTTAAGCATAGCATGTCTTTGATTCTTATTTGTGCCTTTCTTGTTAGGCAATCTGGACACAACACACCTACATTTTTTCGATTGCATAAATATTCACACTCTTCCTTTTATTTACACCATATTGTTTCCATTAATTAAAGTGGATATGAATCTCAATGCAAAAGAAAGTGAACAAAATTTGGTTATTCTTATTGTCTTTTGTAACTATCTTGTTATATAATAAAAGTGTAATTTTGGTTTTCATTGAATATGCTTCGACTTTTCTCTCATAATATTACTAATATGGAATTTCTTCATGTCATCAAAACAATCATCCATGGCAATCGGAAAAAAATGTTGACTTTGGCATTAGTTACAGCTTGTAAGCATTAACTACCTAGAATGGGTTATTGATTTCAAAGAATAAGGGACACACGAATGTTTATTTTTCCATGAATATATAGAGTAATATTTAAGAAGTTAATGTACTAATAATAAAAATAAAGGTAATTAGACCTTTCATAGTTTTTAAAAATTGAATATACTAATTATTGTGCATTTTATATATCATAGTATACTAATTATTTTAAAATAACTGTTTACAAATAAAATTCCATACTATTTTGCAATCAAGTGTTTTACTTTTAACAGTTGTATCAAAATGGTCCAATCCAACTTGATTAATTTAAATATATTCATTAAAATGTAAACTTTAGACTATTAAATGTAGTATTTAAATAAAATTAAAATTTTTAAGCTGTACGTAATTAAGTCTGCGAAAACAAAATTTTTTCTTGTAGACTATAGACTCGACCTACCTGTGTAACCTTTTTTTTACCCCCTTAACTCTAAATGATGTTATTTTTTTAAGAAAATATACAAACCTTTTCTCAATAGTTTAAATTGCCCATTCTTTTTTAGTAGTGATATATATTTTTTAAATTTATGCAATATTATGTCATAAAAAATTATTTATTGAAAATTACAGCATTTATACTATCTATATATAAAATTATATTTTTTTAATAAAAAATACAATATAAACATCCTTATTACATATAATTATGTACTTACTAAAATTATCTGTATAATAACGATACTACCAATAACAATATAATAAAATTTAAATGTAAATTTTAATTTTTTTTATAGCACTTAATAACACATAAATTTTATAATAACTTATGCTTAAAAGTGTATTTAATGTATTTTTTTCTATTGTTTTAGTTTTTCATTAAATTATTCGTTACAGCATTTAATTAAGAGAAATTTTGTTTTTTTGTTTTTTTTTTTCCGTTGGACAGACATGTTATGAGTCCCTCCGCGGAGTCCCACTCCACCGCCATCTTTGGCGTCATTACAACTGTTCTTCGCCGGAAACCTAACAACTCTCATCACTCTCTGAAAATCGTGCCGCAGCTTGAAAAAGCTCCTCTCCAGTGCCAACCAAGGTTTTCTCTTTCCACTGGGAACCTATAACAGCATTGCAAGTTCGTTGATCATTGCGCTTTTTTTCAGCACAGGTTTCATCCTCACAAACCATTTTTCGTTTCTGCAATCACCGCCGAACTCACTTTTTAGACTATGCCATATTCTGAATTTTGGAGGCAAAGTTAGTCCTATCACTGTTGTCGCTGGCACAAATTTTCTGATTCACTAGGTTTTAGGGTTATAGTAAAAACTATTTCAATTCTCTATTAATACTAACAGTTCAGGCTAATCCATTGTAGCAGCATTGACATTGTGAATTTGTGACTCAACAGAGTGAATATATGACCTATTGGCTTTAGGTTAGGTAATCTTTAAACTCCTTGTGTCCCTTAACTTTTACTGCATTTGGTCTCAAATGCGATGGACATAACATCCTAACCAAATAAAAGGAAAAAATAAATATAAAAATAAAGGAATGGCCAATGATTAGGTGCAAAATTGTATATTGTGTATTGACCTACCCAGAGAAACTTCTACTTTTAGTGTTATTTTCTGTAGGTTCGCACTCTTGCATTTTCGGTGTTGTGGGATTGATTGGACGGGGATAGAGCTATTTCTATCCCATGTTCTAATGGTGAAAAATAGCTAACTTCGTGCCCTTTTTTGGTAGGAGAATTTAAACAATTTAGATTAATCTTTGACAGCTTCCTTGAAGAATAAAGAAAAAAGAAAAGAACTTTTGTCCTCTCGTAGTGATTATTAAACTGAAGAGGAAAAGCTGTGTTTTTTAATTTTCTACATTGGCATTTTGCAAGATGCCGATGCTGATTTTGATTCTATAAGTTTGGCTTAATTTATTAGTTGATCACTATGCGTATAGAGCTATGTAAGATTAGAGCTGAACATATTAATTTATTTGCTTTGCTATCTCTCATCCATTATGCTCATTTCCTATTTTTTCAGGTTACCCAATACAACCATTGCTCAGATGGTAGTTTCTTTCTTTCTTTCTTTGTTTTTTCAGTTTTTGCCTCACTTTCTTTACGTCTATGTTTTTCCAATTTTTTTATTTGATTTTATTGTTATTTGAAAACAATATTGTTCATGTTATTATGTGTTTGAGTCAAGTAACAAGTTCATTTTTAATTGAAGGATCCGCATGCTGAAGAGTTGCCTCCTCAGTACATACATATAAGTCAGAATGAATTCTTTTTGCGAAGGTTAGTAATTTCTTTTTATAGCATTTCCTCAATGGTCTATACCTTTTATTTTTCTCTCTCTCTTTGTTTTCAACTCCAATTCTTTGTGATTATAGTATATTTTGATGGAAAATGCCTCTTAGTACGAAAATGAATCCGTACTCTATATAGTGTTAAACTTGATTGGCTACTGATTGCTTATGTCTGGTGTTTCTTTTGTTATCCATATTCTTTGGTCATTTAATATTCTTGGATCTTCGAATGCTAATCTTGATATCAACAATTTGGCCTTCCCCTGACCACAAGAAGTCTTTCATTATTCCCTATTTCCTTTTAGCTAATCCCCTTGGAAAGCAGGAGAATGAGTAATGGAGGGGATATTGGACAAACAAGATTTGGTAGAAGTTGACTGTCAGAGGAATAGTGAACATCCTTCCTAGTATCCAAATGTGTAGAAAACTTAGTAAGGGCCAGGATTCCAATCAAATAATTCTCACAAGGAACAAAGTTGGTGCTGCTATGATTGGAGTATAAATTGATTCTATAGTTTAGTAATTACAATTGTAATTATATTAACAAAAAAATTTCAATCCAAGCCTGACCTCCTGACCAGAAGGAAAAGCGGAGGTATGAAGTGGAATTTGGATGGAATGGAATTCAACAATTTCCATTGCATTCCATCCTATCTTAAAACACAGTCTACATTACAAGGACCAAGCTAGAGAGAACTGTGTAATCAAATGACTACTTTGCATCTGAACTCTGGACAAAGCTTTATAAGTTATATTGATTTGTTTGCTTTTGTCTTTATTTCTGTCCAGACATAAGAAGCAGAAGGAAGAGGATATCGCTGTATGTGAATGCAGATATGATGCTGATGACCCTGATAGTCCATGTGGGGATAGCTGTCTGAATGTATTAACCAGCACTGAATGCACCCCTGGTTATTGCCCTTGTGGTATCTTATGCAAAAATCAGGTGAGCTCATGTTTGGGTTTGTATGATATGATATTTGTTATATGTTATGTAACTTCATATTTACAGGTCAATTGCAAAATATACTATTAGAGATATAGTCTTTTGTTTACTCTAACCATCTTGCTGGTAGTTGAAGGTTGGTTGTGAGAAGTTATAACTTATTAACTCCCAATTTTTGCCTCTGAGGGAACATAATTGTTGTGTATTTATATTCTGTTTTGCTTTTAATAAACTTCTCAGTAGCATTCAAGAATACCCTGCACGAACTTGTATTTCATAGTTTTCAAACCTTTGACCTGTTTTTATTTTGGATGAAACTAACATCATTTTCTTTATTCATGTCTCATATGTCATGGTTACAGAAATTTCAGAAGTGCGAATATGCTAAAACAAAGTTGTTTAAAACTGAAGGTCGTGGGTGGGGCCTTTTGGCTGATGAAAACATCAAGGTAATAATATAATGAGTTGCTGTGAAATTTGGATAAAGAAAAAAGAACTTTCTTGCTAAACTTGATGGATGTCATTGCATTTTCCTTTTGGTATGGTTGAGTATTTAGTCTTTTTTTTAAGTGCAGTGGTGCCACACCTTATTTTATTTATTTCATACAGGCAGGACAATTTCTCATTGAATACTGTGGAGAAGTAATATCATGGAAAGAAGCCAAACGTAGATCCCAGGCTTATGAAATTCAAGGTCAAATGTCAATTAATTTGGTGTTTCTATTTGATTGGCATTTAATTTTATGTTCTTGTAAAACTTTTGTTTGCATTGCAGGTCTTAAGGATGCATTTATCATTTGCCTTAATGCTTCTGAATCCATTGATGCAACCAGAAAAGGAAGCCTTGCCAGATTTATAAATCATTCATGGTAATCACTTCAAACAGAAATGAGAAGATTAAAGTAAAACGAACCTGCTAATATGCAAATATAGCTGGCATGTTTTTTTATTCTCCTTGTTTCCCATTAACCAACATTTGACATCAACTGAATACTTTTAAGTTTGCAGTCAACCAAACTGTGAGACAAGAAAATGGAATGTGTTGGGAGAAATACGAGTTGGAATATTTGCAAAACATGATATTCCTATTGGAACTGAATTGGCATATGACTATAATTTTGAATGGTTTGGAGGTGCGAAGGTTCGCTGCCTTTGTGGTGCACTCAAATGTTCTGGATTCCTTGGAGCAAAATCTCGTGGTTTTCAGGTTAGTTTTAACTAAAGTAGTTGTAAGCTCAAGAAAGCTAAGTGCTGAGTAAGCCTTTCAAATGCTTAGGCATGGTGTTGATTTTTGGAGAACATGAGTTTTTTAGTCCCACCGATAGCTTGAAAGATGATGGTTAGTCGTTCTTTATTTGTTTGGTGGAAGATGATTGAATATTAAACTTAAATAATGCTGAAAATATGGTGCAGTGAGTCTTGATTCACAGGTTAGCTCTTCTGTTTTGTGATTATGAATTTTGATATATTATTAAATAAAAGGTAGATTCTTGTCTTAGGGGGTTTGGTGATGTGTGGAGAAAGTAACTAGAATCCTCAATTAGGAGAACCAATCGTATGGATGGTAGGCTTATTGCTAGATGTGGAGGGAACCTGAAAAAGACTATAGGCAAAACCATTGAGATGGATTTAGATATCAATGGTTTGTCTACAAAACATGATAGCGCCATTTAATCCATGCAACCAACCCCACCTCCCTAGTGAGAAAAGGCTTGATTGTTGTTATATCGGTTTTGATCTAATGGATGATTTTATTGGGGAAAAATCTAGCAGCTGTAATGATTGGAAATAACTTGATGTGTCTCGGTTCTGGGATTTTGTGTTGGTGTTTTCATTCCTTTTTCTTTTCTTTGATTATTGTTGATTTGTAATCATCTGTTTTTCTTCATGTTGTGAAACTACTGGCAGGAGGATACTTATCTATGGGAAGATGATGATGACAGGTACTTTATAATTTTTTATTTTTTTTATGCACTCCTCTAAATAACAGCTTTTATTTTCTCTGTTAGTGATGTGATCTGCCAGACACCACATGCAATAAGTCACATCAAATGATTCAGTATTGAATACCTGGTGCTTGAAACTAGTGTCATCATTTCAAAATTTTCCTTTCTTTGGGTTTGGGGAAATAAACTAGCATTTTTTTTAATTATTTTTATAAATCTTTTCCCCATATAAATATTTTTTATCATAAAAAAAAAAACTTAGTGAGATAAGGCTTGGTTGTTGTTATTTAGTGTTTTTGAACAAAAAAAAAAATTTTATCACCTAATCGAAAAATTATTTTTAACTTTTATTTTTCACTTTATCAACTAATGTAACTTTTTCAATTTTTTAGCTAATATAAAGAATTTTTCCTTTTTCTTTTTCTTTTTATTGTATTTGATGACAACTTATTAACTTTATTTTTTTAACAAAATTTTAATTAGTGCTAAAAATTAGATTAAGTTAAAAATAATTTACTATTTTAATATTTTTCCAGATTTATTTTTTAATTTTCATTGTATTTGAAGACAAAATATTAAGTTATTATTATAATTTTTAATAAATAAAATGTTGAATAATATTAAAAAAATCAGGTGAAGTTAAATAATATTTTTTATTTTTTTTAATTTCTTCTTATTGCATTTGAGCAATCCATCAAAAATCCCAAATAAAAAAATATTTTTTTAAAGTAAGAGGAGCCATGAAGAGTGTTGATCCAATAAAAAGGTGAAGGAGCGTGGAATCTCTATTTTGTGAAGTGTGTAGATAGATATTGAACCAAAGTTTAGAGGGTTTGAATGATGGCTTGAGAGTTGTAGATTATAGTTAAAAATGTTCAGGTTTTTCCTTATTCCCATTGAGGGTTACACCTTGAAGACACGGTAAGATTGTTGCTCTATCACCTGGTTGTTTGTGGTCGTGGGTTTTATTCACAGAAACAACCTCTGTTATGTGGGTAAGTCTGGATATGTCTATGTATGATCATTCCCCATTCGTGGACACCATAATGGTGAGAGCTGATGAGAGCCCTCCTGCATTAGGTTTGCCATTTATTGACCTGTAGCCATTCTTAGATTCTAATTTGTTATGGAGTCTAAGCTTTTAATAGAATGCCACTAGCATGTGGTTCCAATGGTTATTGCATTGACGGCTATTTGTTCAGATGCTCCAAATTACCGAGGACCAACCCTGTCCATCTTAATGTTTTATTGTTGTGGGATAAATTGGGACTCAGAATTAACAGACAAATAGTGTTTTATTGCCATGTTACTGTATTCAATTTCAAGGGAAGATGTTTCATTGAATCCCCCCCCTCCCCCCAATTTCTGTTGCATAGGTAGTGTGATTGCTTAGTAACAAACCTAGACGTGACGCACTTACATGTCTTCTCAACTGGAATAGTTAGCACTACACTATATTTTTTTCATGATGTTTTGACACAATTTTTTATATTATTGGTTACAGGTACTCTGTTGAGAAAATTCCTATATATGACTCTGCAGAAGATGAACCACTGTCAAACGTTAATGGACAAACTGAACATTCTTTGGATGTTATACTTAAAGCTGAGCAACTACCGGAGCCCACTGCTTTTCATGTTCAGCAACTTGATTTAGTTCAGATGAAAGGTTTAGATGTCAAGAAGATTAAAACTGATGTTGATGAGGATATGAACTTGTACTCCCAGGATACTGAACAGGCCCTTTCACAAAAGAATGCAATGATATCACGTGTCCGAAGTAATACAGAAGGCAGAAACTATCGCATTGGACCTAGGTCCATATCTACCAAAAGAGCAAAGGCTTGTAATGCTGGAAGGTTTAAAAATCTCATACAAAAGAAAATTGATGCAAAGTTTGCAGCTGGCCTCTTGGCATCCAAGGAAGCACAAGAGGAGATTTTGAATAATGAGGTATGCGTGACTTTTTTAGTTTTTTATTTTGGCTGTTTGCTGAACATTATAGCCTGGCTTTCGGTTCCCCCCAAAAATATTCTCCTTACTATTATACGAATATTATGTCAGAAATAATGAAACAATATCAATATCAATATCATCTCCAAAATAGTTGAGTTGTTAGGTATCGTTGATGAGAATTGTCACGACAGTTGGTAACTTGGTGCATTGTAGTTCATCCAAAAATGTTCTATTGTCATTCCATTATGCTATGTGACAACATATGGTTGCCATTTATATTTCCATGTCTAGTTTTGTGTTCATATCTTATATAAGGGTCTCCATGCAGAAAAGAAAGGATGACGCTACTGCTGCTCTTGATTCCTTATATGATGAAATACGGCCTGCCATTGAAGAACACGAGAGGGATAGCCAAGACAGTGTATCTACGACTGTAGCAGAGAAGTGGATACAAGCTTGCTGCCTGAAATTGAAGGCGGAGTTTGACCTTTACTCGTCAATTGTCAAAAATGTTGCTTGCACTGCTCAAAAGACTCCTAGCCAAGCAAAACCTACTGAAGTAGATATCGAAAATGAAATTAAGCTTTTGACAGGTTGAAATTCTTTTCACATTTTTTCCCCATCTTTAATCTGTAATCTACAATTTCATCAAATATATATGGGCAACTGAGGAAACTTATTTTTTTGAAATTCATGAAATGAAGGAACCAAGAGGGCGAGAAAAATCCTTTTAATATATTATTTATTATTTTACTATGTGTTTGTGTCAAGTTTTTATAGCAGGGGTTACCTAGTAAAACCTTCTGTACGCGAAGAAAACCCAAGTTCAGTTTAATGCGACGAAATTGTGGATGGTAATGTGATAGCGTTTCATTATTTTTTAATGCTGTACAGGATTTAATGTATTAAATATTATAATTTTAAATAAATTTTATTATTATTGATTTTTATTGTGTGTTTATTTATTAATGTTGTACAGGATTATGAATAATATTAAATATTATTTATATAAAATTAGAGACGAGTGATTATTTACTCCAATTATTCCAAAAGAGAACGAGAGTCCTCGCCAACAGTCTAGCTTTGTCTCACTGTATTAGGTAGGTTGTATTGATCAAACATGGACTTCATCATCAAGGTTTTATGTGGTTGGTAATGTGATAGAAAACAGGGAGAGTTAAAATATCTTGCTTGCCTTTGCTATCTAGGGGATCATAGATAATGTAAATTCACGGTTGTTGTTATTATTGACAGCTCTTTTAAGTATTTCGATCTCTTTTGTTATTATTGAAAAAGAGAGAGCAAATAATTAAATAAAAGGGAAATCGAGTAATTTAAATTGTGGTAATGAAATGTTGTTATCTAGACTTGAGTCAAAAGTCGTATTTGTGAATGGACATAAAATTCACAAGATGGTGGAAAGAAAAATCGTGGATCCTCCCAGGAACTTGCCAAGCCTGAATGGCTGAATCTGTGATTGTGGATGAAGAAAATAACAGGTAATAAATTTGAAAGGAGTTACAGAATAGCTGATCGGCAACAGACGAAAATGAAGTGAGAAACGAACTCTACGAAACCTAACCCATGCATCAGTCAACACCAATAATGAACAGAACAGAACAATTGAAGTCAACAAGAGTATTGGGCTGGCAAACCTAAACAAATCAGTTGACTGGTCTCCCACAACACCTTCCTCGAAATCACAATCCACTCTTTCCATTCAATGGCCACACCCTTCTCAACTCTAAATCAATTCACTTTCTCTCTCTAACCCCAACCATGGAACGCGCTTACGAAGCCATCCTAGCCGCCACCGCCAGCTTCTTCATCGTCACCCTCCTCCTCGCCGCCATCATCATCCTCTGCCACCACCGCAACTCCTCCAAAATCCCAACCCCAACCACTCGCATCCGAACCCGACCCGCTTCACACCACAACGCCTCCCTCTCCGTCGACGCCAGCTGGTCCTCCGACCCCAACCTCATCAAGATCTCGTGGGAGGAACTCGCACGCGCCACCGACAACTTCTCCCCTAACCTGATCGTCGGCGACGGCAGCTTCGGCCTCGTCTACAAGGCGCGTCTCTCCACGGGCGCAATCGTGGCAGTCAAAAAACTGTCCCCCGACGCCTTCCAAGGCTTCCGTGAATTCACGGCGGAGATGGAAACCCTAAGCAAACTCTGCCACCGCAACATCGTGAGAATCCTCGGTTATTGGGCCTCTGGGCCCGAACGCTTACTCGTCTACGAGTTCATCCAAAAAGGAAACCTCGATCAATGGCTCCACGAACCCTCCTCAAACGACGACGCCTCGCACGACCCCCTTCGCTTCCCCCTCTCTTGGCAAACCCGGGTCAACATTATTCGTGGCGTTGCACATGGGCTTTGCTATTTACATAGCCTCGAGAAGCCCATTATTCACCGCGACATTAAGGCTAGCAATGTCTTGTTGGACTCCGAGTTCGAAGCCCATATTGCTGACTTTGGGCTTGCGCGCAGGATCGATAACTCCCATTCCCACGTGTCAACGCAATTCGCGGGTACCATTGGGTACATGCCCCCGGAGTACAGGGATGGGGTTATGGTGAATGTTGTGAATAAGAAGGTGGATGTGTATAGTTTTGGGGTGTTGATGATTGAAACTGCATCGGGCCACAGGCCCAATTTGCCCATGAAGTTGGACCAGAATGACATTGGGATGGTCCAGTGGGCCCGCAAGATGAAGGAGCAAAATGAGGAGATGAAGATGCTTGATGCGAGTATCTCCAGAGAAGGGTTGAGGGAGGATAGTGTTAAGGAGTATGTCCGTATTGCTTGTGAGTGCACCGGTGAGTTACAGAAGGAAAGGCCCGAAATGCCCCAAGTTGTCCATTGGTTGGACTCAATCCCCCTTTGATATCTCCTCCAAATCATGTAAATATACCCTCTATCATTACTTTCTTTTTATTCTACTTCATTACTATAATAAGATTATTTTCCTTTACATCTGCTTAATAAATGTGATCAATTCTTCACTTTTCTCTTTTCTTTTCTTTTTTTGCCAATTCAGTTGTGTAATCAACTCCCAACTCCACAAGATGACAATTTTCTATTTCTACCTTGTTTTTAGTGTTTATACTCCAGTTTCTAGTGTTGTGAACATGACATGACAATGCAAATGGGTGGTCCTGTTCACTGATGGGCCCTGAAAAAGTGTAAAATGTTTTTTCAAATTAGACTTTTTACTTTTTAGCTCCGCAAGTTTATTCGTGAGAACAAGTTTGGGGTGTCCTTGGATTGGCCTATTTGGTTGAAAAATAATTGCACACAGAATGAAGAGTGGGTAGTTCAGTTGATGAGGGAAAATTCTCACAATCATATCTAGCAAACAGCCAAGGAAGCCCTACTTGCTAGATATGATTATTAAGAGAGTTATCATATCTTGTCATAATACAACAGAGCACATCTTTTATTTTACAAAGCGAAGTAAATATTCTGAGTAATTGTTAGCATAAATCGTTGAGGGGATTACTCAGAAAGTATGTCTCGGGACCTTATTCTATTTTGTAGTTTTTATGATTCAACGATTTTCCTTTCACTTATTGTTTTATATTTTTTGTATCATTCATTCTTCAATAGAAACAGGCACCGTGGACCGTTATTTTTTCTTTATAAGATTATGGGTATAATATTTTTTTTACATTTTATTATAAATTAATTTTTGTATAAGTTACATTAAATAAGAGTTGTAATGTATACAAATTAAACCTTTTACTTTGATAACATTTTATTTGTTTACTAATTAAATTATTTTTCTTAAAATTTTATTTAACAGTTGATTTTTTAGAGTAATAATAATAATAATAATAATAATAATAAAAAAGAGAAGACTTATATGATATTTATTTTTGTTTGAAGATTTTTAAAAACAGAGAGAATTCTTTAATATATTTTTACTCATATTTTTAAATTCTTTTAAATTATGAAATTTTATATTAATCAAAATTCCTTTCTCTCTCTTTCTTATTTTTGAAATTTTTTATTTTTATCTTTTTAAACTCTCAAATAAAGTCTAAAATAATAATAAAAAATATAAAAAAGTTATTATAATTTAAATTAATATTTTACAAAGTATAATTTACATTTCTTTTTAAACTAATATAAACCGAATCATGAACAGTGATGCCTCATTTGGTGCCTCTGATTGGGACGTGTGCCCAAAAAAGTGAGACTCGCGAAGCAAAATTCAAATTAACAATTTATATTATATGACAATCATAGGTACACGGATTTAAGAATCTGGGCTATGTATAAGGTATCATGGAATGTTTCAAAAAGAAAAACACGTTGAATACAGTAGTGTCACTCATCCCTTGGATCAAATATTGTACAGCAGGGCAGCCCAATGCCACACCATAGACCAAATTTTTCAGAGTAAAAACCAATTGAAGTAACTTCTTTTTTAGTAAAACATAATTTTGATTCTCTCACCTTTGGTTCCTGTGATTGGGTAAAGGTGCCGGCCACTTGATTGCCATAATGGACTAAAGAAATCCGTTGGTAATCATTCCTATCTCTTGTCAAAGCATGTTTCAATAATCGATAATTTTAAATTTTCATTAGTGTTCAGGAATAACAAGCAATAAATAAAAGGGAAAAATTTACCTTGGTTATGTACAATCATCCATGTTTCAATAATCCATAAAGGTTTCAGATGCTTACCAGAAGAACCAGAAGAGGAAAAATCAAGGCCATAGCAGTTCCAGGGTTGGTGGGTCCAGACTGAACGGTAAGGGAAACAGCATAAATAGCAGTATAAGCCCTACAAACCATTGTTCCGATGAAGTAGGATGACAAATTGGACATTGTGGTAGTGCAGAGGGCACAGGGAGGGTTATTCTCAAGTGAAGGTTACTGTTTTCTTGCAGGGCTTGGATTGTGGAATTAGGAACCGTTGTTTGGTGGTGATGTTGATGCAGCCGTGGGAGATCCAAGATGTTTGTAGACCACAAGAAGAGGGCACAGAAGGTGGGATCATATTTATTGATGAAAGGTTGAAACATATTCCAGCACCATTCCTAGGACTGATCTGGTTTCGACATTGTACCAAAACTGGCCTTTAAAAATTGGGTCACAACATAAAACAAAAGGACAAAATTTACTTAAAAACTGATTTTACGTAATTAAAAATCAGAGGATATAAATCAAATAAGTACTTAGGAAACTAAAAGTATAATTTAGCCTGTAATTTAAATTAAGAGATACTGTTAGTGAAAAAGGGAGAAAGAAAAATGCTAAATCCCACAAAATGACAGAAAAAAGAGGTATGTGATTAGAACTGTATTGGCCATCCAAATGTGCACGTTTAAATCAAACATGTTTGGATAGTTGCAGAACCCAATCCCTCTTTTATATGTTGTTCGTGTTCTATTTCACCACTCATTTGCTAAAATAAAAAGGCCCAAACAAATTATATATTAAGTCAATGAAATAGAGTGAGCTATGATAAAAAAAAAATAGTAGACATAGTTATACATGGAGATTACAAGTCCGTTTTAATAATTATGTTTGAACATTTTTTTTATCAAAATTACTTTTTTTAGTATTTGTCACCTAAACATTTCAAATTCAATTTCATTAAAAAAAAACTTGTAAACTCACATAAACATTATATTAGAAGTATTAAAATAAAAGTAAATCTACTTATACTTAAGATAACTCTAAATTTATTAGTGTCTTTTATTTTTATTAAAAAAATTCTTTTATAAAAAAAAAACAGTTTATTGTAAGTTTGTCACGAGTTGAGTGGGCATCCATGATGCTTTGAGATATAGCAGTGCTCTTGAACAGGTCGGTCTGTTTCATCAATAATAATAATCACATGAAAAAAATACTAGTACAGACAATAGTCCCACATCGATGGTATAAAAAGTAGACTGAATATATATAAGTACAAAGAGAATTGCTGGAATGCCGGACTTGGTAACTCAAGCCTGTAACCCAAGTGGGGGCATTAAAATGATGGAACGACGATGAGTGTCGTGGCTTTGGTTGAGCACACTGGTGGCCAGCTTCAAAGAAGAGAGTGCCCCTGCTTGTAAGTTTACCTGTACGCATAGGAATCCTTCAAGGCCAGGGGGTGCAATTAACTTGGATTGTTCAAGTTATCGTTGTCTTATCAGAGCAACGCTCAAAAAAAGTGGAAGTAATTCCAGTTGCTTGCCCTATTGTTCTCCTCTGTAAGCCATCACGTCACCATTAACCTTCATTTTTTATACTTTATTTGTATAATTTATCCTTTTTACTTTATTTTATATTACGAAAAATTATTATTATTATTCATAATTACAAATCAGTTTTGTTATTTAAATAATTACAAATGAAGAATGTAACAAGTATAATTTTTGTATATAAATGTTATAAATTTATTTTAATGATATATGATATATCAAATTTTATTAGCATGTGAAATGGGCATATACTACTCCTATATCATGTTGCTCATATAATAATTTCATCATTTGGATAAACTCATAGCAATTATACACTACTATATCATGTTTATATACATCCAAAGCTTAGAGTATGTACCTGATTTAATTATCCAAGTTTTTTTTTTTCAAATTGATTACATCTATAATATTCTTTCTTTATATTTATTTTGGTACTGTCAATTGGTGTCCATAAAATTTCACCTTAAGCAACTTATTTATTAGATTTTGAATCACACTTGTGGATTATTCTTTAACTTACTTTGTGACACACCGTATGGTAAAAAATGTGGAATGCTGACTACAAAAGTAGCTCCGAGACGTTCTATAAATAACTGTGGATGCTGCTCTATTATCACTGAACCAAAGCATTGCAATGACAGCTGTAGCTAGTTTGTACTCTTTACTCTCTATTTCTTTGTTACTTTTGGGTACCCACATTCATGACTCTTCAAACTCTCACTATGAGGTATTTGCAAGGCCTCCAATTGCCAAAGGATTGTCATGGGATTACTATTAGTTGAGTTGTCCCAAACTTGAAAGAATAGTGGGGAAGCATTTAGTAAAGGTGTTCAAGCAGGATAGTGGTCAAGCTCCTGCCTTACTAAGGATCTTCTTCTATGACTGTTTTGTTCAGGTAAATAAATATTGTTTACTACAAATTTGCTAAAAGTAATATAGTTTATCTCTCTCTTTTTCTATGCCAATATCCTAATGGTTTGACAACAAGAGTTATCAAATTATCTTTCTCAAAATAATGTTTATTAAAAATCGTAGGTCGATACAAATTGAGTCATGTTAAAAATACACTTATATATGTTTGTGGAAATAACTGCTAATTTTATTTAAGCAGAGAAATATATAGTACTTCAAAATGTTTTGATGACAAATCAGGCATGCATCTTATTACATAGAAAAAAGAAAGGTGTTGTTACTAGAAGTGATCTGAGCACAGGAATTAAAAAATTATCATAATAAATAAGTACATAAAAATGTTGATATAGAGGGTTGTTGCGATGGGTCAATATTGTTGGATGGAACTCCAAATGAAAGGGATCAACCAGCAAACATAGGGATAAGGCCAGAGGCCTTGCAGACCATTGAAGACCTTCGATCTTGTTCACAGTGGAAAGGTTGTCACTGTTTCTCAGGTTATTTCATTCACTTCATATTTAATTAGTGATCTTAACTATTCTTTTTTCATCTAATAAGTAAAATGAACGTGAAAAATCATAACTCTATATAAACTGAAAAAAAGAAAGAAAAAAAAACTCTACTCTTAAGATAAATATATGCTGCTGGTTTGGGAAATTTTCAAACTGTATGTTATATATGAAATGATAGCAGAATGAAGGTATGATCCATGAAACAAAAGATTAAGAATAAGATGTAGTTGGATCTGTAATATACAATTTTAAGAAATATGAAATGGTTTAAGTCCTGTTTGTAATTCTTTAAAGGGATTTTTAAAACATTTTTGGTGCCTAAAAGGGTACAATGATTAATTAACAACTAATATTTTTTTATTAAAGATTATAGTATTTAATATAATTAATATATAACAAAATATACGTGTAGAAAAATTATTTTAACAAGAAAAGTATATATAATTATTTATTGGTGGAGCCCCAAAATTTCAATAATAAAATATTTATTTATATTATCACTTGGTATTTTTTAGACTTATTTAGTAATAACATGCATAGTATTATAGAAGATGACGTAAAACAAAAAATATTTTCCCCTTGTTTTTGTTTATTGTATTAGGCCATTCCCCTTGTTTGAGCATAAAGGGAACAAACAATCTTCAACCCCACCTTTTCAGAACCAGTGAACTCCTCCAAGCATTTGCACCCAGAAACTTTGATGAATGGTGTTATGAGAAGTGTATGATATATGGTGAATACTGCTGTGGCTAGTGGTGCACATCTTTTTTATTTCTTCATTGTCCTTTCACTTTTCTATTTATATCCTCTCAAAATCATTGGCGTATGGATATGGCTCATATACCGTTCCTTTCTGTACAAACTCAGATGCAGCCACCAAAATGAGTCAAATTGATAGAAATTAGATTATTAAATTTAATATATAGATTTTTTTAGGTAAAATCTATGGTACTCTAGATAATTGAGAGAGTTTATACCTTTCTTATACCTAAAATAATCTTGACTACTAATTTTACATAAATAGATAATAGAAATAGTAATTTAGTTAAAAAAAAATGTTATTAATTTAAAGAGAGTATAAAATATCTTCTCAAATTTAGAGTACGATAAGAAACAATTTTTTTTATGATCGTGTATCAAAGAAATGATTTTTTTTCCTCCAAATGACTAAGAACTTGGGCCATGGTAGTGTTATTTTTCTAAACTGACTCCAAAGGTAGTGGTTAATTAGTCCAAAATGGATGAGGGGGACTCCTGAAAAACATACACATTGAGAAGCTTCATGTTTATGATAGGAAAATCAAATGTTCACATTGAGAAAAACATACCCACCATTTGTTTCTGTGGGCGAGAAGAAGAAAAAGATTGAAAGAAAAGAAGTACAGAAAAGAGAGAAGGTGTAAAAATGTGAAAATATAAAATTTATTAACAATATGCTCCACCTGTAAAATAGGATGTTGTGCTAGTTTCTCATGATTGGGCTTGTTTATGCTCAATAGGTGTATGATTAACTTTATCTAACTTATTTTTTTGGAGATTATGTTTACACAACTATTTTTATTATTAATACCACCCTTTATATATCATTTTTTGAATTAAATTTTTATAAGTGCATTCTACGTCTTCTGAAATTAAAATTTGAAAGTCATTTATAAATACCTTATAGAGTTTAAATTTTTAAAATAATTTTATATTTTTAAAAATTAAATTCTATTTTTTGTAAACTACTTCTAAAATTTAATTTCTAGAATGTTCTAAATATATTTCCAAAAATAAAGTTATAAAAAACAATAAATAGTACCGATAAAAAAAAAACACAAAAGTCAATACTCATCTCTTATATATATAAAGTGAAGTGGATGGGTTTTGAAAAAGACAAATGGCCAATATGCTTTTGTTAGTTACCTGGGATTTTCAGAACTTTGAAAAATCCAAAGGTTTTAATTACAAGAACGGTTGGTCAGTGGAAGAAGAACGTGTAGGTAAGCTAAATATCACATCATTTTAATTGCTAATTTTATTGCAAACATGACTATGTATTTTACAAATTTGGTAGTCAATAACAGTTTTTTTTTGCTCTTTTAGGCTTTAGCCCCATTTTTTCTTGCCTTTTTTTTCCGTAAAAGAAAAGACAAACCAAATACAATTAAAAAATAATAATTTTAAAGATAAAATTATTTTACTACTAAAAAATAACAAAAAAATAAAGGTTTAGAATATGTTTGATTTCTTTTTAAAAATTGTTTTTAGTTTTTAAAAATAAATTGTAGCAAAATTTTTTACTACAATTTATTTTTAAAAACTAAAAACAATTTTTAAAAAGGAAATCAAACATACTCTTAGTGATTTAAAAAAGGTTAAAGATAAAAGTTACTTGAAAGAGTTTTTACTTTTTTAAAAAGAAAATTTCTTTTATAAAAAAATCAAATACCACCAAATAGTTAGTAATTATCAAACTAAAAGACTTATTCTCACAGGTATGAAAAATTAGATGTTAGGATTGTTTTTATTGATATAGAGACTTTATTTAATAAATTTAAACTGTTAATATAGATATTGTAGGGTTCCATAGTTCAAATAAAGAAAATAGATATTAAAATTATGGCATATGAGGTTTTAATTTTTTTATACATAATGCATGACATTACCGCTTATAAATACAATACATTTAGTACATTTGAATCTTTTTTTTTTTAATATGAATACATTTTAACTTTCATGATCTATTTCTCTTAATTTTAAAAATATTTCCATCGTTATTTGTTTATACCTTTTATGATTTATATTAATAGACCATTCATTTTACTTGTAAGATATGAATAAATTAATCAACGATTTAAGAAGTTAGAACTTACCTCTGGCTAATAACGAACACGAATAACTACTAAAATCTAAAAAAAAAATAAAATTTAAGTTTGAGATTGAATTGATTGTCAACGTTGTGGATGAAATAAATTTAATATTGCTTTACAATAAATAAAACATATTCAGAATACTTTTCTTTAAGAAAATATTAATATTAATACAGTAAACATTGAAGAAATTAGTGCAAAAACAAGAAAGTTTATACCCCATAAAAATTAACTTAATGATCGATGAGGATTGAGAATAATATAAAAGATCTTATTATTATAATATTTTAATATATAAGAACGTGTTAGATCTATCTAATTTTTATAATTTTAAATATATTTTATTTTAATTAATAATAAAGAATGCATTAGAAAGTTTATTGTTAATATTCTATTTAAAAACATATGTTAGTAGGAGGTAATTTGCATGAAATCAAAGTCGAAATTTCTCCAATATATCATAATTATATAAAAAGAATCTTGTGTCTTCTTTTAAAAGAGATTGACAAAAAGGGTTCACTGGCCATCAAAATTGAACTGAACTTATTCCACATTATTGAAATAGACATGCCACTTTGTTCTAAGTTCTGCCCTCTATCTTTATAGTTAATTTCAACAAGGGTAGTTATGGAATGTTTCAACATTGTGCAGTTCACTTGCACTAAAAGCAGTAGCCTAAGCTTAACCCTCTCAACAGGGTCCGTGCTTACCACGTGACCTTTTGCTTATCCTTGACGCTCCATTCTATTCAATTACAAAGACCAATATGTCTGATCTAGCTAATCTTGTATGCTCCTTTGGTAGTGTCATTGTCTAATTTGCTGGCAACAAAGACGTCCTTGAACCAACCACACGGCTGCTAAAGGAAATCAATCATCTCATGTTGAAATATTACAGGACAAAGTTATACACAAGTTTTATATTTATTTATTTTAATAGATTTTAAATAAGAAAAGTTTTGTAAAAAAAATAAAAAGACAACTTATACATTACCCATCATGTCATGTGACTGACTTTAAGAAAAATAATGTTTGCCTAAGTGATCAATTTGTATTAATACGCTAAAGTCCAAAAGAAATATATGAATATATTCACACAGTGGTTCATGAATTGTCATGCACCAGTTCATGTACTCAAAGTCATTACCTTATCTTTAAATACTAGAGGTACCTAATGCATATAAAGTCATTGCTTATTTACGTACACATGATCATGGCATCTGCTTCTTATAGGAGTGTTTTTTTCACCTTTCTTCTGCTCTCTACCTTACTTTAGGTTTCCCACATCAAAGTGTGTGAGGCACAAGCCAATCCTCCTGTTGTGAAGGGGTTATCATGGACCTTCTATGATTCAAGCTGTCCTAAACTTGAATCCATCATCAGAAAAGAGCTGAAAAAGGTCTTCAAGAAAGACATTGCTCAAGCAGCTGGCTTGCTTCGCCTTCACTTCCATGACTGCTTTGTTCAGGTAATTAACCTCATAATTGATTAATATGAATTTTACCAATTAACATACATGCACAAACTCTTTAAAATACTTTTATTAGTACGCCATTTAACAATAATATGAGTTTTACTAATGAATCTTATATACTGATGATATTCATTAGTATATTAACTTTAATTAATCCAGTATCATTAGACTAAATTGACATGTAGCTAGTTATGTTTTCAAAACAAGTTTCATGTATGGATGAAGCTTTTTTTTTAAAAATGCAGGGTTGTGATGGGTCAGTGTTATTGGATGGATCAGCAAGTGGACCGAGTGAGAAAGATGCACCGCCAAACTTGAGTTTGAGGGCCTCATCCTTTAGGATCATCGAAGACCTTCGTCGTCGCGTAGAGAAGAGCTGTGGAAGAGTTGTCTCTTGTGCTGACATCACTGCCCTTGCCGCTCGTGATGCTGTTTTCCTCGTAAGTACCCATAACCATTTTTGGTATCACACGAGAAAATAAACGCTCACAAGTGAGACAACTCAGTTTAATTAACACGTTTTTTATTATTAAATAGAATTATTACTAATAAGTGACTAGAAGATATCAATTATGTAATTAATAAAGGTAAAAGATTTTAAACTTTCTATTAAAAAAACACATTTATTTATTAAAATTATAATGAATGATTTCACTTTAATAAATATTACTATTATTAATTGAGGGTGTCCATTGCACACTCGTGTCTATTTCACTCTAATTTAATAAATTTTTATATAAAATATTCTTAGTGTTAATATAGTTATTAAATGAGTGATAATAAACATGTAGAAGTGATAATAGACATTTTTATTAACCGCTTAAATTCAACCGGTTAACATTTAAAAATAAATAAATTTTGGGAATCAATATCGTTAATATATTGGTTAAGGAGTTTCTTTTTTATTTTATTAAAAACACATTAAAAGTCACAATAGAAATACATTTATAAAGTTTGTGTTGTGTGTACAAAATGACAGAAAACAAATTACTCGTCACATATCTAGCTACACTTCTATGAATATAATAAAATGTTGACTTAAACTCCTTTCTCTAATATCTACTTATATAATCTCATTTCAATTTTTCTGAATCCAAAAAATTAGGTAGAATACATGGTAACCTTAGATTTTTGTTTCCTTTAATTTCCCCCCTTATATGCATTATTCAATTTCTTTCTTTGTTGTCTACAATATTGCAGTCAGGAGGACCAGACTACGATATTCCCTTGGGAAGAAGGGATGGGTTAATCTTTGCCACAGAAGAAGTCACATTAGACAACCTTCCACCACCATCAAGCAACACCACTACCATCCTGAACAAACTTGCAAGCAAAAACCTTAACCCCGCGGATGTGGTATCTCTCTCAGGTGGCCACACCATAGGCATTAGCCACTGCAACTCCTTCACCAACAGACTCTACCCTAAACAAGACCCTGTCATGGACAAAACCTTTGGCAAAAACCTCAAACTCACTTGCCCCTCTTCCACCACAGACAACACCACCGTGTTGGACATTCGAACCCCTAACACTTTTGACAACAAATACTATGTTGACCTCATGAACCGCCAGGGCCTATTCACCTCTGACCAAGACTTGTACACTGATAAGAGAACCAAAGGCATTGTCACTAGCTTTGCTGTCAATCAGAGCCTCTTCTTTGAGAACTTTGTCACTGCTATGCTCAAAATGGGTCAGCTTAGCGTATTGACAGGAACTCAAGGGGAGATTCGTGCCAATTGCTCTGCGAGGAATAAGGATACCAAGTCCTTGTTGACTTCTGTGGTCCAAAATGTGGCGGAACAATTCATAGAAATGTAACCGGGTCATGCATGTGTGTTGTATATATATGTTATGGCGATGAATAAACATAAATCCTTGGTTCTTTTCAACGGTTTTAGAAGGATGATCTTTTATGATATAAGGAATCATCTAATGTTCAAGTTCTACTTCAGAAACGGATAAATCTAAGTGAGAGCTTTTCTTTTTCTCATATATATGCTTCTCATAAAGTTTGGAGAAATTAATAAAAGCTTGCATTTAAATGTTTGTTAAATATTCATGTCGATGGATGTTTATAATTATAAATGTGGTATATAAAACAATATGAAGATTCATTAGTCCTTTACTATAACGAGGACAATCACGACAGAACACTTGTGGATTTGTAATTAACTTTGGGCCGGTGTGTATAACCATTGAAACCAAATCTTACTCATCAAATTTAAATTTCTCTCTCTCTCTCTCTCTCTCTCTTTTCTTTTTTTGCATTAAAAAAATCACGAATTGGATGACTAGCATGAAACCCACCCACATGGGTCGTCCTGAGATGCTACATGAAAATAGAGAGCAAAATCTGCATAATTTAGTGGATTTCACAAAATGCAATAAATGTCACCTAATACTTCATCTGTCTTATATTATTATTATTATTAAAAATATATAATTTAATATATTAATAATATTAAATATAATCATTTTATTAATTTTTATGCCCCTCCAAAGACACATTAGCAAAAATGTTTTATAAAGAGATGTGCTCATTTATGATTTAAATAAATCTTAAAATATCACCATTTATATTTTCTTATGTGGTTAAAAAGAAGAAATCTAGTTTGTAACATTTGGGGTACAGATAAAACTTACACGGTGTATTTGCATGCTTCCCGGGAAAGAAACTCGCGTATGAAGTTGCAAAAAATAATATCAACTGCAAAATTTTCAAATGTACGGTGTGTTTACTAAGAATTTATTAATAGAGTTAATTTTTTAAATATAATATTAGCCTCATAATAAAATATATACGAACTATTGATCGATCTCTACGAAATTAAAGGGTGCATAAATATGTTCGATGTGTATGATATCAAGTTCAAATCTTATCAATGCTAATTATTTAATGTTTGATTACAAAAAGTATGAATACAATTGTGAAGATATATTATAGTGAGAGAGATGATTAGTAAAAATACGTACAATTATCCACAAAAACAAAAAGGTTAAAATACATACAATACAAGTTGGCAAACCAATTAATAATAATAAAAAAGACAGCCAAATTTACTTTCTCTTTTTGTATAAATTAATAAACATTGAGTCCTTGATACTATTTATTACAGCAAAAATTAACACTCCTCGATACTATTTAGACTATATTATTTAATCATTACATTGGACTTACTGCTACTAATCTCTTGATTTTCATTCATTCATTAATATCACCACGTTATCTTAATTAATCATCTCACTAAATCTATTTCATGCACACAACCCGTATGGATATAGTCCACACACGTACGTAAGTTCATTACTATTGAAACATGACATAATATCATTTATATGATGTATATATTTCTCGATCGTGTACACACACAATACAATATAATTTTAAATGATTAAATTATTATATATACACATTGATTAAATATGTGTAAAGCTTTAAATGCTCATCTAATCGAATCGATCAGCTTAACTTATAATTAAACTAGTCTAATACCATAATTAATCCTAATTCATTTAATTAACTTGATTTGATATAGATCGCCCTGAAAATAATTAGAAATAATGGGTTAATGGTTATGGAGAACCGTACATAATAGAGTCTACAAGCTATTAATGTCACAGCCCTCCATGTTTGGATGAGGAAGAACTAGTGTCCAAATTGGTATCAAACTAACCAATTATCTAGATTTGACATGAATAAAGGAAAGTGATTGAAAAAGAAGATAAGAAAACGTGCAACGCATATAGAAACAACGAAAGGTGAGTGCTTAAAGACACTGTAGTGAGATTGGGAGTCCAAGAAACATCCCTAAATGTACGGCTTCTACAGATGACACACATGTATTCATCCAATTTAACCTCATCAAACATCATGGCCAACTGAGAACGACCATTTATTGGGGTTCTTAGCATTTCCCCTAAATGAACCTTCCCAACTCCCCACTAATTCCTCTCCGCACACGAGACTTACTCAATCATGGGTTTTGCCTTAAATATTCTCTTGTGCACGCTCCATTTTCTTTCTTTTACCACTTGTATGCATGTCATTGTCGATGTTATTCTTCTTCTTTAGGAAATAATTTTAGCTTGAAGGGATATTTTACCTTAATTTTAGGTGAGAAGAACTTATAAACTAAAAAAATGCTTTTAAAAAACTGTATTTATAGTATCACCCAAATTTAAAACCAGTATTGTTAACGGGGTTCATTTATATATCACAATAACATAACTTGAATTGAAATTCAGAAATTTCCCGTTAACAAATAGTCTTGTTATCGATATTTGATTTTTTAAAGATTTTAAATTCAGGTATTATATATATATATATATATATATATATATATATATATAAACTACTGTTATTATATTGTAGATGTAAACAAACTCTCCTTAATTTTAAAACGTCTTGAACATCTATGCATTACAAAAAAAAAGTTATTTACGATAGTTTAATATAAAATTAGCCTCTGTTACTATGTATTTTTTTTTACAAAATTTAAATTATTAATATAGACATTATGAATTTATATACCACTTAACAATAATATATTATATTAACAATTAATTTTATTGATAAAAAATTAATACATATTATCAATAAATTAAAATGTTAGTACAATGCATTATTTATTAGTATAAATTTTTAAATTTCTATTAATAATTTAAATTTACGTTGAACAAAATGTATATTGATAAATGTTATTCTTGACAATTTTTATTTATAAGTAAATGATACCCCCCCCCCAACACACACACACACACAATTAGATAGTACTATGCAGTACCCATTCAAATTAATTTGTGGTAAATAACTGTATATATTAAAAAAAAGTTAACATAAGATATAATAGTTCGTTTAAATTACTGTTGCTTTTAGATTGCATTTGTTTAGCTTGTATCCTACTTTTCTTATTATTATTATTATTTTATCAGGTGTCATTACTAAGAAAAGATCACGTATCCGCCTCTTAATTTAGTGATAGGTATATATAAAAATCACAGTGATAGGTAAGCAAAGTATAAAGAAATATTTAACTATGATCGTCAGCCATTAATTTACAATTATGAGAGGAGCGGTTTGAAAATTAACTGTAAAGGATCCTCATCCACTATAATAGTAGGAATTTTCTATTTCTCCTTCAGTCAACCTAAATTTACCTGGCCGCAGTTTAAAAATCCAAGTTTAAGTGCCCATGCAAAAATAAAATAATAATAAATTATAATTTTGTCTAAGTTAGCAAAATAAATACTATTGTTTATTATGTTTTAAGTCAACAATTTTTATCCGTAAGAATAAATAACATTATCATAACTTAAGAATGTTATAATATTAAGGAAAAAGACTGTTCGAGTCCCCTGAACATGCTTTGAGCTCTAGGTTTGTTAGAAAGTGTTTTATATTTTTCATTTTAAAAATAAAAATAAAAAATTGATTGATATTACCATGTTTACTGATTATCAAGATTTTGTTTATTAAATAAAATGACAAAAAGACAGGCCAACCAGCGAACTACTCATCTCTTATTATGCCTAAACGTCCATGCTCTCAACCAAAACTATGGCTGAATCTTTTAAACTCTCTCTTGTTCATTTGATGACTAATCCTTATCTACTCTTTTATTAAATATATGTTTTTTAAGATGGATTCATCACAGCAAGCTATATGTGCAACAAATTACTTTGCAACGTTCATTTTAAACACTACAGAGCATATTCATTATTCACCTATTTAATAGTTTTCGCCTAATGCAATGATCATAGCAGTATAAAGAAAAAAAAATAGCCACTAATATACAAGACATGATTGCAATTTGCAGCATTTTTACTCCACTCCATATAAAGAACAGTTTGTGTGCAGGCCAAGCACTAAAAGGGGAAATTGCAGCTGAATTTAACATAAAAAAAATAAAATAAAAACTTGCAGATCATTATTGAATCAGAATAGGTAATGGAGTAATGGAATGTGGATAAATCATTGTTATAACTGGCATGAATCGCTAATTATTTTAAAAATCACGAGTACTGCATGCTGAAATGGCAAGGGATGATTCTATGGTGCCATCATATATGCAGCATTATGATGTCTGGCTTTGCTGTAATAAACTTTAAATGAGAGGACTCTTTCACCCAACTTTAGTCAATGCAAAACCAGGTTAATTTTCAGTTGCATGCTTGCTTTTAGCATGAAAAATATTCGTACTTCGGAGGAGTGTGTTTATTGTCTGGACTTCAATCAATAAATTGTGGTCCACAATAATAATTGGCATTGCCATGCTAATTTTACAGTATCCACATTAACGAAGATTACATTAACTCTCTTTTTTTATCTGATTTAGCGTAATCCACCTCTAACTGACTTAGCATTATGTTTTGCTAAAACACATGTACACACATAAAAAAAACTTAACACAAACGTGTTTGTGAATTTTTCGGGTCAAGATATTTTTCTTTTTTAATATTTTCTTACTATATATTTTTATAAAAAAAAAAATTATTTATGGGTTCTTAAATTTGAAATTAACAAAAGCCTTTCTTTTTAAAAGCTGATTGTTTCACATCCGATGAGTGCTACGTCTTCATTTTTCGAGAAGGATTTCATGAAAGTTATTAATGTAGGAAATAACATTATTCATTAATATACACAAATATGAAGTTTGTGTAGCTATAACCTATGCTTCCAGGTTTTTCTTCTTCACACATTCACATTCTTTATCAATCAGTACTATTCTGTCTCAATCTAGAAGCCCTCCAACCATACGAATGCATTTATCATTATTTGACAGAAGAACGAGGAAAAATTGTAGAAACAATTCGAATGTCTAATCTAACCGACACGGTTGACTTGAAAATAATTTATTTAGTTTAAATAATTTTTACTTTTATTGGTTTAAAAATTGTAAAAGTATTATTTAGTTAAAATCTATAAAAATTAATATAGTAAGGCTTATATGTAAAGTTTGAGATTTTATCCCCAGTATATAAAATGTAGAGAATTTAGAATATTCATTGGCATTGCCTAGAAAATAAAAAAGGCCAAAAAGATGGGTCATAAACCTTCATTATATTGATGATTAGGCTTCTGATCCCCGAACCATGATGTTATTCAGGAATCAGCAAAGTCCCTTTTCAGCATCTTTTTGGTAGAGGCTTGCAAGATTTTCTGGTTTTGATTCTGGACAGAAAAATGATAAGAAAGATGCTTGTTCTAAAAAAATTCAGACCAAATTGAGACTCAAATTTGTTTTCTTTTTCCATTTCCATTTTCCTATATATTTGCATTCTACTTAATTTTTCAACTTGAGAAGATTCATGAAAATGCTGATACTGAATGGACCAAATCGATCAAGTGAGACATTTTTATGCTATAAATATTTTGGAGTCTATTGGAATAATAGGGAGAACCAAAGCTTTTATAGGCCAGTTGATTTGGTACTCAAACTACAATACATGTGGGTCTACATGTATCCGAGAGTCTTTAATTTTCAGTTTTCTAACTTGTGCAATCACCACAGTTCTACACTAATTAAGTCATACAGAGACTATGATTTCTCTTTGTATTTATATAAACTATTATTAAATTGAATTTCATTGACGAAGGTTGAGATTTGAGCATGTTGATATGTGATAGCACAACCTGATGAATACCCCAGTTATGTGTTAAGAATTCTATTATGTTGAATAAGATTTAGAGGAAAATTTCAAATGAAATGAATATATGATAATCATCCATAAAAAATTTTTATTAGGAAATGTGGAGCACTGATGGTTTTGTCCCATTTGTGCAACTAATAATGATATTAATTCTGTCAATCATATATAGCTGATCATAATTCCATTAGATAATTTCTATCTTAAAGCAGACGGATGAAGATAATCTCATCAATCCTTGAACTGCATGAAAGTCCAAAGGCCCACCTAGCACTAAGTCACTGACTTTGTCTTTGACATAAAGTGGGAGATGACTCCCATTTTCTTTTCATTAAAAAATGGTTGGGACACAAGAAGTTCCCCATGACCAAACAACATAAATGTGAATGTATCATAGCTTGCAAATGGCTATTCAGCATCTGTTCAAATCAAAGCCTAGTGCCTTATCTTGGTATCAAAATCTAAATAAAACAACCTACTTGGGGTCCCCCCATTAGAAAGGGAGGGACCATACCCCTACCTTGAAAATTCATATTGTGTCATCACTAGTAGATGGTGGCATCTCCTACAAGTGTGTCCCACTTCCCACGCAACCAATGACCCTCATGATTCTCCAAATCCAAAAGGGCACTATCCAACATCACACATGGGGTGCCACCACACTGGATCATGATGTTGCCTCTCCCTCTAAAAACCCACAACCAGCTTGTCCCATTTGTGCTTAAGCCTTATGTAATACAAATATTTTGCTGTTTAATGCAGTGAGGAGATTATAGAGCAAGTTTCTTTGTTAAACTTGGTGGATTTTGTCATGGAGAAAAGCAAGTCATTCCCTGAATACTCCTGCTCTTACTCTGAATTTGGGTTCAGAGAACGGTCCAATTCATATAATTTTAATGGGCCAAGCCAAAAGGGTAGTGGGTTTTCTGCATCAAATGATCCAGAGCTCAAGAGGAAAAAGAGAATCAAGGCCTATAATGTGTTAACGGTGGAGGGAAAGCTTAAAACAAGTGTCAGAAACAGCTTCAAGTGGATCAAAAACAAGTTCACTGACATTCGCTATGGTGTGTGAAATATGACCAACCTTAAGGATTGTTTGCCATGGGCTAGCACCTGTTCAGTAATACTATCATCTTTGAAGGTAAGACCTTTATAAGGGAAAATATTTCAGAGGTGTATTTGTGAGGTAAGATGTTATGCATAAAAAATGAATGAGAGGACTTGGTGGGTTGGAATCTATGTATGTTCTACAATCAAATGTAATCAAGGGTTTCTTAGCTGGCCTTTTGTAAGAGCAAGAGCAAAATTGTATGCTTTGTATCAAACAAGCAAGAATTCAAAATGATTCCAAATTGTGATTAATAATAGACTCTTATTCCTATCTTTAGATGTACTGTGCTCTATGTTCGTGACTTCTAATCCAATTATCTGAAATAGTAGAAATCTTAATATAGTTTTCTACTTTGTAATTTTAACAATGAACCTTTTCTTTATATCTTTTTTCTAGATTCTAAATATTTTTTGAACCCTAGCCAATACAGTTAATAAAGTAACTTAAAAGGGGTTCATTAATTCATGTAATATAAGAGCCAACTCACATTTAAAATTCGCTTTTTCCGCATAAATTTGTAATTCCTTGGAATAAGTTTGGAGATGGTGTTTGTCAAGTTCCAATATCTGCAGTCTAAACGCAGTACCTTACTGGCTTCAATTTCTGTGAACTTTTTTCAAGATGCAGACAGGTCAAAGCCTAAACCCGCCTAATTTAACTTGACCATCCACTGAAATATTCTCGAGAAGCTAATCTAATTTTTTTTTATCTTCATACATGCCTCAAAACGCCTGCCACTGTTACAATTTGAACATTAGAGCTTGGATTTGATCGTTGAAGTTTCAATGTTCAACACATCTCAAATGATTTTAAACACGTTTACTTTAGTTTAGTTTTAAAAAATTGTATTCATTATTTTAAAATTTGGTAAAATTAATTTTAATAATTTTTATTTGAACCATTAAATGTTATTAAAATATGTGCTAAAATTAATCGTAACCAAAATTTCATTTTAGAATATGTATTATTATGTGTAAAACTAATTTTAAATAGTAAATAAGCATACACAATCGTTTATTTTTGCTAATTTTTTAGAAAGAAATTTTGAAAAATAAGTTATTATTGCTCTTAAATTATTCTCTACCAAACACTCATTAAGGCTAGTAATTAGCAGTTCTTTAAAACTAATCTCATCATTGTCTCTTTGCTGTCATATTAAAATCTGCGAATCCAAATTCAATGGCTGAACTCTTTCGATTGATTAATGAACAAAAACCAACATATGTGTAAAACAAACAAACTAGTAGGAAGGATTATAAAGATTTAGAGTAGGGTATCATAGAATGTGACACCCCAACTCACAGCACGTCATGTATGATGGGGACAACTAAAAATAATTAGGCTTCATAATGATATGAATACTTACTTTAATTATTGATACTACAGTGGAAAATAATCAATTACAAGTTCCAATGCCAATTGTCTATCTGAGTGTCTCTAGCTCTATTTTAAATTCATTACTTTTTTCTTTTTTCAAACTTGCAATATTTGATCACACTAACTAAATTGTTGTAAAACATTTACTACACTAATTACAAAGTATATCAAAATAGTTTTTATTAATTTCAGTCTTTAAAATTAAGGATAAACAGTTAATAATAATAAAATTTTATTATAAAAAAATATTTATTATATTTTTATAACTTTAATACAATAACTTTGTGTTTTTTTTATAAATTTTTTTTATTTGTGATGCTTAAACTAAAAATATGCATAAAAAAAATTGAACAATTAACTTCAAGTTTCTTCCCACCAAAATTAAACAAAATATTTTTCTTTATTTCTTTAGTTGGGGATTTCTTTTAATATGACAATAATGCTAGGTACACATCACTTGAGCTACTTTTGTTCATACTTGCAAATGCACAGTTTTCAGCATCTTATTATAGTTAGTCCCACCTGAACAAAAGCACACGTACGCCTCGATGCTTCCAAACATGCAGGATTTGATTGAGTTGATGTGCACCTTAGATGCGTGTTCTAAGAAATATTATAATTTTCACAACGATTTCATTATTTAAACATCACACAATTGATAATGTACACAGTTATTTTTATCTCTGTTTTTTATTATCTTCTACACACACTTCAAAAATACTCTCCCAAATCGTAGGGCACTACAGAAGATGTCCCACTTGTAAAAGAAACAAAATGATATTACAAAAACAACATTTTTCTTTCTATAAAATACTAAACCGTGTGCAAAATGTATAATACAAATGGTAAGTTCATTTACAAGCTGATGCTTACTGAACAGAAGAATCAAAAAGTTAGGGGCGTGGGTCGACAAGTAATGTCACACCAAGAGAGCAAAGAATATGTAGAGCTGTCAGAATACATCAAATGCTAAAATAAAAATAACCGTTTTGGGTTTACATAAACTTTAATAGCCTAATCATCAATTTCAAAGATTAAACGATCGTCACGTTTTAAGTATCTGAATTCTCTAGTGGAAGCTGACTTGAAAACCTGGTTTGGTCTGTATCTGTTGTCATCTTTCTTTATAGCATTAGGTTTTGACTTGGGTAGTGGAGGAAGTTTATTGATGTTTTTTTCACCAACATTAGCATGGTGATGGAGTTTAGGAGACAGCTTTTGATCTGAACCTTTAAATGGAGATAGAAAGAAAGGTGAGTGATCCTTAGCCCCAGCAGGGTTTACACTAGATGAGGTACTACTTGTGCTATCCATTTCTTCAGTTGGAACATAAGTTTCAGGTTTAACATTCCTTATCAATTCCTGAAATAATAAATGAATTCAATACATCAATGAACCATACATCAAATTGGTTGTAATAGTAGCAGCATTTACATAATCAAAAGGATAACAAAAAGAATTAAAAAAAGCATGAACAAACATCAAAGTTTATATCGGAAGACATGTAACACAGTACAACATCTGTGGTTTTAAATTATTGATGTATTTATCTTTTTTCTTTTGGTGCTGTGTTCCTGGAGACACAGTACCAGCTTTATTTCATTATGTGGTCTACTGTGAACAATATTCCCACTGTAACAAGTGTGGACCAGATTGATATGTTAACCTCAAAAGTTGTTCCAATCAAACACTTTCTCTAGCATAATGTGAAACAAGTCAACATAACCACAGGAGTTGAGGAGCCAAATAGAAGGAAACTTAACAGGGAAGTCCTTGGTTCGATCTGAAGGTGGACAAAACAAAAATTTGAATCCAACCCTGTCACGCATGAGAGAGGGAAATTTTTCACCAGGCACAGTATGTTCTAAAGCACTATGTATGATACCTCTTTAGAAGATGCAGTGTGTTCTATTGGCCTCTTAGATGCTAAATTCTTCTGACGCTCTAGATATGTACGAGAACGCCTGATTTTAGAGTTCATGTACCTGTAAACACTAGCAAAGCAATAAGATATTTTTGCCAGCACTAAAATGAAAAATTTAAATCTTTTAATCAAATTTTTTTCATATAATAGTCACACTGTAAAAAAGTAAATCTGGATTAGTTGTTTTGTTCAATGCCACATCTTGAACAACAAAATTCCATAACATAAACATATGTCAAAATCATCCAATCCAAGTACAAATACATCAACAATGAAAAGAATTGTATATAGAGTAATATGCACTTGGCATTGTCTTCCATTCGACTTCTAGTAAATTCAAATAGAATTACTTTATTGACCGCAAAAGATATTAGAAAATGACTTTCATAAATGCCATCCAATAGTTAGATCACAAAAAGGTACTTTGGTCAACTAACTGCATTTTATTATGATTCAATGAACCCATCGTCTGCTCAATTCTGAAAACAGAGTTGTGCATATGGCGATGGCACAATCCTCTCTACGACAATAAGAGATATACCATGAATCACTGTTATGTATACATATACACATATGCGATGACAGAAGCATGTGTATTTGTGTAACAAGTTGACTGAAACCATTCTCGAAACATTGTATAGCTAAACATAACTTACTTGATCTGTTCCTTCGCTTGAACAAGCTCATCATCCTCTCTGTAGGTTACAGGCAGCCCAGAGAGATCACATGCCAATGGGCTCGTAGAGAAAAACTGCATGCAAAAGGTACTTGTATGAGGAAATTTTGGAGGAATATAGGAATGGAAATATTTCAGGCTGTTCAAAAGGAATTGCATGCTGAACTTAATATCATTGCACATGCTTGTGTTGTGACATTCTAAATCTACAAGTGCCACATGATCGTTAGCTAATACTGGTTCAACACGAGAACATAAAATCAATATAATGTATTTTCATCATGTAAATGATTAGTGAAATCAAAATGCACAAAGTAGTTAGACCATTAAGCACATATATGTAAGATATGTACTCTATTAATTGGCAACTGGAATTGCAAATTGGTTAGAGAATGTAGTTGAAGTTAATGGTTCGAGGTCAGAACCACTTAAGTCAGGAAAAGCTGTTGTTTTCTTCTCTAACCTGATTTTTTAGAGCTTTAGATGCACTGCCACGAAATGCAGGATCCAAAGCAAGCAAAGTGCATAAAAGACCCAAAGAAGATGGAGGTAGATCCCTGAAAGATTCTACCAGGCTTGGTCTATAAGACTTTGGAGGTCTAAAAGTTGTAGAAAGTTTCAACTTTCTCCAATACTCCTCTGATGGTGTGCCACATAGCCTGAAAATTTTATGAAGTTGCTCAACCTGGAATTAGGTAAACTTCATGATCAGCAGATCTAGACAATTGAAGCAAGATAAGCAGACAACATAACACAAATTTATACAAAGCCAAAATAAAAGAGTAAAAAAGGAAAGAATTTCAGTTTCTCACAAATAATCAAAGATACTTGAAGATAAAAGGCAGCTATTATCTCAGCATGATCACCTCTGTTCTTCCAGGCATGATTGGAATTCCTTTAAACATTTCTGCCAAGAGACATCCAGCACTCCATAGATCAACACCAACTCCATAATCTGTGGCACCTAACAACAACTCGGGAGCTCTGTACCATAGTGTCACAACCCGACTTGTGAGAGGCTGGTGACGGTCTGGAGCATAAAAATTGGCAAGCCCAAAATCTGCAATCTTAAGCATCCCATTTTTATCAATCAAAAGGTTTGACCCCTTTATATCCCGATGCAGAATTCCCCTATCATGGCAATGCTGCAGACCTGAAAGCAATTGATGCATATAGCACTTGACCTACATTAACTTTTTAAGATTATTAAGTAGAATAAAGGGATCCAAATGCTAAAATGTCCAAGGCATCAAAGAGTATCTTTTAACCTGTGGTTCAGTTAATCTTTCTTCGGGACGAGCAATAATTCTTGCCAAATCTGTTTGCATGAAGTCAAAAACTAGATATAAACTGTATTGCATTCTTGAAGTAGCTAATCCTTTAAGTTTTACTACATTGGGATGATCCAGTCTCTGCAATATCATAATTTCTCTTGCCATAAATTTTATGCTTTCAGGTTCTGATGTATTGAAGCGGACCTTCTTCAGGGCCACAATTTCTCCCGTGTCTCGATCCAGAGCTTTATAGACATTGCTGTAGGTTCCTTGCCCTACCTGCAAAACGGACATAAGTTAATTCAATTATCTTAACCCCCTTCTGCACCTTTTTCCAATTAGTATAGCCTTTTAGTTTTGGTTGTTCCTAAATAAACCGTACATTAATGAACTTTGTTAAACTTGTATACTAGATAGTCAATGATCAAGAAACCAGAAACTTAAGTCGTTCCATATAATAACTTTTAATCTAGATAGAAATCAGTATCATGATTCGATGCTTACTTGAAAGTTTCATAATTTAGCTGACCCGATCCTTGATTAAACTTAGTACATACTAATGATTAATAATGCTTTCAAAACGATCATGCATTATGCAAACAACAGAAGTCTGCTTGTACCTTACATTGCAAACAATAATCTCTAAACTCAAATATCCTATTCTCAATGCAAACGTAGATAATTTTACAACTCCTTAAGTTCAAGCAGAAAAAAGAAAAAAAGCATGAATTGCTGAAGACATGGCACATCATGAAAAATGATTGGAAGCATCTTTAAATACGATATGGCATATTGATGTTCTAGAGCTAGCTATCTGCACTATGCGCTGAAAAACCAAATAAACAATTTTGCAAGAAATGCTTCGAAAAAGCATATTTATACATAGAACTTTCCATAACCCTGTATCCTAGATTTTCCAAATCCACAACATAAAACTTACACAAAACTAAGAAACAAAGACCTTAACCTTATCAATCATTTTGTACGATTCAGCACTCTTAGGAACCAGAGTAGCCAAAACCTGTTCAGGAACATTATCAACAAACCACCTGGGCCACCCACCAACCATGTCATCCACAAAACACTTATTTGACAACTTCTTACTCCTCTCTCTGCCAACCAACTTGTCCTTATGACCCACACCAACAGCAAGGCCTTGCCTTTCACCATTGGCAACACCTCCAGTGGATCTTCTGTGAGCAACAAAGTCAGAACTTGCAACATACCCATTATCCAATTTCAACCTCTCTAGGCTTCTATAATCTGAAGCTTCCAAATCCAGTGACTTAGCCTGAACACAACCCATAACGGGTCTTCACTCTTCACGTGCTGCTATGAGTGTGGCTACAAAGAAAAGGAGAAGAGTAGCCGACCATGGACGGCACAAATGGGAAGGTAGGAGTGAGTACAGAGAAGCACACACAGCCAATGTTCTTTGGTTTTTCCTCAGAGAGAAAATGACTGCGCGGTTCTTACTACTTCTTAGAAAGCAAAGGTTGGAACTTGGAAGTGAGAGAGAGAGTGTGTGTGTTGGGCGCACGTGTCTGTCTGTGGCAGAGATGTTTGGATCTTTTATTCTTTTGTTGGGTCCCATTCCGTTTGCCGGCAACATTCTCAGAATGTCGATACCCAACAAGAGTCCGTATGTGCTAACATATGTCCGTATTTCGGTATCTCCCACCTTATTATAATTGCTACATGCTAGTTATATTTTTTTTCTTATTTAAAAATAAGAAAATATACAATTTCTTATTTAAAGCTAATTTTTAAAAATATTTATAAAAAAGAAATGTTGTTTCGTTTTAAGGCAAACAAAAAGTTATTAAATTCAAAAATAATTATAAAAAATTGTATTTATATACTCAAAGAAACGAGTAAGAGTTTAAACATCCAATAGTATTTTACTAGCATAAAATTATTTTAAAGAATTTGTTATAATTTTTTTAATAAGATTTCTTGTAATTATATTCTTTATTTTTTTATAAAAATATAGTTAGAGGAAATAAAGTAATTTATTAGATAAAAAGATAGTAAGATAATGTGTTTCAATATTTTAAAGGTAATTTTGAAAATTAATTAAATTATTAATAAATTTAATGTTATTAACAAAATTTAGTATATTTATTATTTTTTGTAAAGTAACTAAAATGATCTTGTATTTAGGACTTATTTTATTTCTTGAATATTTTATTTTGTATCAAATTATTTCATACAAAATAAATTAACATAGGGTTAAGATAAATTTTATAAAACAAAACTTTTAGAAATCAAAAGCAAATTAAATGTTACTTTTAAAGATTAATTTATGGATTTACTTTTTTAAATTATTCCCCAAAACACAGTTGTTCTACAGAAGGAAAAAAAAAAAACGTTGCAATACATTGGTTCATAAAATAAGACTAGTTTTTGAGCAATATTTAAAAATAATTTTTAATTAAACCTTTATATTTCTAGATTTTTTTGGTGTGTGCTAGAAAATAAAAATTAAAAAGTAATTATATATAACATTACATATAATATCAATTTTTAATTGGTAAAATAAGAAAACTCATCACAAGTTAAACTAGTAGGCAAGGTCCACCATATCCAACGAACATAGAAAACTGACATGTTAATTTTCTCAATTAATATGGTAATGACTTGTCTAATTCAAATAAACTAATGTATATCTCATCAAAACTTGTGTCAAGTTGAGGAAATAACTTCTGAGGTAACAAATTTTATCAATGATGAGTGGTGATGGAGAGAACCAATGTGAACGGAAAGCGTTAAAGACAAGCAATGAGTGAGGTGAGCTGGTGCGCTTCAAGTGTTGTTTTTTTCTAACGTAGGCAGTGATTTGAGATGTCATTGCACTCTCAAAAGTTAAAAGAATTCCAAACTGAACATTCTACGGCTATCCATTCACCATTGTTTACACATTGTTTGCTTTGGGGAAAATAATGAAAGAAAAGAAAAGGGTGGTGAGATAAATTTTTTAAGTTGTTTGGTAAAAACAGGAAAAAGAAAAGGAAGAAAGGTAAAACTTTTCTCTCCCTACAAAACATTCTGACAGCATTGCATACAACGTCATTGGCATCTTTGCTGGCCCTTTGTACTTGTCTAGAATCAATTTCACTAAAATCCAGCAAATAAAGAAAATATAACATAAATTTTTTAAATTAATTATAATTTATTATCAAACACGTAAATTAACTGATAAATGATTTTTTTACATCTTGAGTTTAGAGTTCAAAATTCAGTTAATACATTTATGTTAATTAGTCAAGAGAAAAAGTCTCACTTGAAATAGATTGTCTCCATAAAAAAAATACTTATGATTTAGACAAAATAAAAAATTAGCTTTGCCAATTTCATTTGTCTTGCTTTTTAAGGTAATGAATTAAGATTTCAAATATCATCTAAGGGTTCTGGAAAAATAAAATATTATTTTAATTCTTAAAATTTGTCAATTATTTTAGTCGTTAAAAGATAAAAATTGTCTTTTCCATCTTTAAAAAATGAAAATGTTGATTGATTTAATTGATGAAAAGGATTAAATTGATCATAATTTTTTATCTCTGAGACACAAAAAGGCTAATTCTCATCTTTATCAGGATCCAAATTATCTATAATTTGCGCAGAAACTGAAAGTCCAGTCTAATTTTTGCTTAAGCGAAAATTGGTTAATTTCACATAAATTTATAACAAAATAGCTTCAGCCAATTTTCGTAAAATAAATAATTTAAAAAAAAAATTAAGTGACAAATGACTTAAACAAAAATATTAGGCTTAAGCAAAAAATAGAGACAGAACTTTAATTTTCACTCAATCTTGTCTCCTCCTTCTTCCTAAACTTAACATTCCCTCTTCAACCTCTATATTCAACCCTATTTAACCTTTATATTCAACATTCTTCTTTCTCTTATACTTAATTCTTCTCTTTTTTTTCTAACTCTTTTTTCCTTCAATCTCGTACCAAATTCTTCTCTTCCTCTTTCTCTTCTCACTCCACCCAATACCTATCTCTCCATCTTTTCTTTATACTCAATTCTTCACTTTTGTCTTCCTTCACCGACACTCTTATTATATCACTCGTTCTCCTTATCTACATCAATTCTTAGTCCTTTCTTTTCTCTACATACAACCTTCATCTTTTCAATATAAAATTTGTTTAAGCTAAAATAATTCGTTTAAGCGAATTTGCACAATTCATTTAAGCCAAAAAAATAAACTTATGCTAATTTTGAATATAAAAAAATTGGCAATGAAAGAAGAGGAAAATGAAGAATTAAGTATAGAGAAAAGAGGGAGAGATAAGTATTAAGTGGAGTAAGAATGTGAAAAGAAAAAAGAAGAGAAGAATTAGGTATGAAGTTGAAAAAAAAAAGAATTAAAAAAGAAAAAGAAAAATTAAGTATAAGAGAAAAAAATGAATTGAATATAAAGATTGAAGAGAAAATATTCCGTTTAAGAAGAAGGAGAAAAGAAGATTAAGTAAAAATTAAAACTCTCTACACTCTAATATTTTCGTTTAAGCCATTATCGCTGAAGTCTTTTTTTTTTTTTTTTTACTTAAGCTATTTATTTTATGAAAATTAGCTCAAGACACTTTGTTACAAATTTAAGTGAAATTAATCCATTTTCGCTTAAGTGAATTAGAATTGCTTAAGCAAAAATTGAACTGAATATCGAGTTCCATGCAAACTAGAGACAATCCAAATCCTCTTTTATCATGAGACTCAAAATTGTGAAGAGACAAGTTGCACATTCAAGTGGTACATGTAACAAGAAACCCCATCTAAGGGGAATGAACAATGATGTTCTTACGTAAAATAGTTGAGGCTTTGATTGTGACAATATTACACATCTCATTGATGTTATCTGAAATGCACTTAAAGGCCTACCATATCAATAGCAAGAATTAAAAGAAAAAGGAAAATCGCATTATTGTTATTTAATAGAAGTAAGACAAAGCAAGCTTGCTTGCTATATAAGAAGATGAAACAAATTGATGAACGTTGTTTACACTATGAACAGCAACAAGAACCTATTGACAGTATATATAATATGAAGGTAGTCACTCCAAATCTACAATCCCAAAATTCGATAGAAGTATCTTTACTTGATCAACAAAATTGGAGCCTGTTGCATACTCTGTTAGCAATCCAACAGCAAAACCAAACATTGCCCATCTGTAGAAACAAAATTACAGATTCAAAGGTCAAATAAATAGGCTAAGCAGAATAAGCACAAGCATGCAGATATTCCATACAAGAGCAAAGGTTTCATCTCAAAATGAATATACATATTATTAAACACAAGTAGGTAAATCACAGAAAAGATGCTTCTTTGAGATTAAGCTTGGAGTATAAGGTAATTAACAGCTATATACCACTGAATGGGGAAAAGTACTACGAAATCAATATCTATTGTCATATATTTCATTCATATACAATAACAGCACATCAGAGACAAAAAGAGCTTCTGCCTCATGCTATTTTTTCAGGAAGTAGTGGACAGGATTATTTATAATTGGAGTTATTAATTTGATGTCTTTGTCACTTTATTTTAAGCTGAGCTTCTTAGGTTTCAAATTAAAGTCAAGGATACAGATAAATGATTGAATAAATTACCCATTTAACGGATCAACTGTTTCTGTTCATTGTCATCTTCACAAAGAAACTAAACTGTATAATCTATTTTCTAAGGTCCATAACTATTCAAGTAGCTATTTTGAAATTTGAAAATATTAGAATATAGATTACAAATAATACTAATAATTCGACCTGGGTAATTATTTATCTTAGTAATCAGATTTACAACAATTATCAAGATGACTTTTCTACCAGTTACTGACTGCATATAAATACTAATTGGTCTATCTTTCATTGTGAATTCTGTAAGACTACCCTTGAAGGTTTCTTCTTTATAACGATGTAAGAAAGCTTTAAACCTTCAGGACATATGCATATAAAATTTATTTCAAAGGAGCCTAAGAAGGCTCAAGACACAAAACTAATTTCCCTATGGAGCATCCAAGAGATTTCACATGGATTTTATTTCCCTTAATTTCTCTTCACTTGGAAAATGATTCAATACAGAATGATATTTAATTTGACTGCCACTCCTGCTTGATATGTGTGAGCGCACGCATTTGTATTGCAGTGTAGCCAATAGTTTAAGCTTTTGGGAGAGGTTGTTATAAACATGATACCAGAGCCTCTATGATCAAGTAGACAAGAGTTCAATCCAGGCCTCACTCACATTCTTCTAAATAAAAGTTCAATTTCAGTAAAAGATAGGTGAGCATGTTTATTTTCTATGCTTCAAGCCCAAATACTCTTGCATAAGTATATAAAATGCGAAAACCATCCACAGCCTTAACCTAACAGCTTAAGATTTTAGGATACTTGTTGTTTTGTGACATGCTGAAATATGCTAGGCGATTTGCTAGTCAAATAGTTAGGACAAAGGGTACAATTCCAAATTTGAAGCATCTTTATATTGCAATAAGTTATTGTCTCTTATTACTGATGAGTACTGTAATCAATAATCATAAAAAAACACTGCTGCTTTTAAGAAACAATATAATGGGTTTTCTGAACCTGGAATAATTGTTCCTTCAAAGTATCACTACAAAGGGCAATATAAAATTTGGGGTGCTTTTTTTTTTTATGTTGGAAGTTCAATCCTCCACCAAGCCACCGGAATGTAACGATTTTGGAAGTATCCCTCGAAATTTGCTAGCCTATCATCACAACGCAACTGATAACTGGGACAGATTTGTGTGTATGTTTTTGCGTTTGCAACCACACAAACAGCCACCGGAATGTAACGATTTTGGAAGTATCCCTCGAAATTTGCTAGCCTATCATCACAACGCAACTGATAACTGGGACAGATTTGTGTATGTTTTTGCGTTTGCAACCACACAAACCCAAGTTTCCTCAACAGCAACAAAGTGTTGCTTCCCTATGTTGGTACATCGGAACTAACAAAAACAACTCAAGGTTCATCTAATATTTTGATGAATAGCACATCACTCCAGCATTAAACCAAATAGTAGCTCACAATTAACTAGTTCTACCCACATAAAGAAAACAAAATCAACACAAACCCTCATAAAGAAAAGCTCTAACTTCAATATGACCCAACAGAAAAAATAAAAATAAAAAACAAAATTTTACCTCCCGTTGTTAATCTCATTTCTCCCAATGAAGCCAAACAAAGGACCTTGATCTGCTTCTTCAAGCTTCTTCTGTTTAAAGTATTCTTGCAGCTCCTTAGCCTTTTGCCTTTGAAACTCTAACGTAACAACACTCTTATCATCTCCAACAACAGTAGCACCCTTCTGGGGCTGTGGTGGAGTCTGAGAAGGAGGTGAAGGCTTCAAGGGCTGAGGGACACTACTTGATGGTTCTCTCACAGGAGGAGCCACTGGTCTTCTCAGAGGCCCTTCAGTTTGAGAGTTCCTTATGGTAACTGCAGCATAAGGCTTGAAAGATGAAAATCTAAAAGAATAGGATGGAGTTGATGGAGGTGAGGAACAAGCAGGGATTTTGATGCATGGGAATGAAGATGTCACAGACATTTTTTTCGCTTCGTGATATCCACAATCCTAAGATTTTATTTTTGTTATTTTTATTCTCTCTCTTTTTTTCACTTTTTCTACAACTGGGTTTTGGTTGGACCTGGGGACTTGGACATGTCTTATCAAAATCAGAGGCTATGTGTGTGGACAAGGTTTCGCCAAGTTTCCACAGGAAGAGCAGTTGAGAGATGTAAGTGTCTTAACTTGCACCGTGAATGTCGTATATACCTCTTTTGAGTTCTGCAGTGTTTGACTTAAGAGAATTCGCGATTATACTCACATTTAAAAAAAATTAATAAAATTCTATTTGCATTGCCATATTTTGTTTATAAAAATTGGAAGTAGTAAATTAAAGTGAATCTTAAAATTTATGGATATCAAATCCGGTACTAAATATTTTTGCGGTTATCCGGGTTTCGATAGGTAGCCAGTTTATTGTCGATTGTATGATCATAACAATATAATTATATTTTATGCAGATTAAATATCGTTTCCTCAATCATATTAGAATTAATTACATATTCTTTTGGCTAATTGCTTATATTTTGTTATAATAGCTTACCCATTTGATCAATCAGTTGTTATCTGTATTGATAATCGATTTTAAGGGATTAAAATGAACTAAACTTAATTAATCATTATCCGTTAGCAACTAAAGTGTAATCATGTACATGGCGGTAGCGAAAAACAATGAAGTAGCCTACGAAGAACCAAAGAAAATCTCTTTTAAAGCATTTCTTTAATCACCTTTCAGGAATTACCCCAAAAATTGTTGCACTGCATACGAGAGAATCAATCGCTTTAGCAATTTCATTTTCTATTCATAACATCAAAGTAACAAAGCAGTCAAGAAAAATAGGACACAAATGGGTATCCCAAATTGCAAGAAAAGTGAATCATCCTTAAGACATGGTGAATGAACGTTAATTTTTGGAAAATGATTGTTGACGCCCTAAAATAGGCAGAGGGAGAAAAAAAAAAGGAAGAGAGAGGAGGGGGAAAACAGAAGATGTAAGTGATTATATGATAAAAAATAAGAGAGAGAAATAGAAAACTAAAAATAGATATAAGAAAAAATAAATGTAAAGTTAAAAAGATTTGTTAATTTTTAACCAGAGTAAGCGATCCCAAACAATCAACAGCCTATAAAGGAATCGCACGAACACGAGATTTTTATACTTTTTAACATATAAACCTCCTTAACAAATCCTAGTCTCATCACAAGTTTGTTACCAGGAAGCCACACTGATTTTTACAAAATCTTACATTTGTATTATCTTCCTTCAAGATAACGCCAGTGCATAGAACGAAACCTTTGTTAATCCATATAAAAATAGGAACATAAAGTACCATAAAAATTATGAATCAAAGGCAAAAGAATTCACACATGACAAGAATTATACAAATTGATGAGGAGCAGAGGTGCAAAATTTAAAGCCGCAGCAAGCAATGACAGAATCAATCACTCAGATAAAATGTTGGTGTATATATCTCCACAGGACTGAAAAATCTTTGCTTCTCTTGCTTCAAACCGAGTAGGATTGTGTTAGCTGTGATTGATCCGATGAATGAGCCTGTCATCTTAATGAAACTCCAATTTACATAATCGCACAGGAACAAGTTCTGTCATTTCCACTATCAAATTCATCATCCGATCCATCCACCTCACTGAAGTTGAATGAAAAATAGCATCTTATTAAATCAATTACTACAAGTAGGTAATAAAACATGAAAACAAAAGAAACAAAGAAATATGACTAGGAAAACGTTAGAAACTTTCATCACAACCAACTCATAAGTATAGGAAAAGATATCATAGCAGAATACAAGACATGAATTGTTGTGAACCTATCAGGATTCAGGATACCAGAGATGACAAATTTCCATCAACAGGAATAGTCTGCCCCGTTCAGGACTCTTTCCCTCGATAGTATATTTGGGGAAAGGAAAATGCTTTTTATCCTGTGGACTTCCCATATATCGAAAATGACAAAATCAATCTTAATTTCATATACATGCATGTTTTTGTGTGAGGGAAAGAGAGAAACTTTTTTAGTATTGTCCTCCATATAGTTTGATATATTAATGTGTTTTTAATTTGTTAAAGGAGACCTGAATTTGTCAAATAGCCTTATTTTTTTAATAAGTTGTTATTATTACTATTATTTCACAATTCCAGGGTCCCGAAAAGAATCAGCAAGGGATTGGGGGAATCAAGGATGGAAAATATTTAACTCAATGCAAGAATTGAGGATGAGAATGGGAGAATAATAGGGAAGCAGGGACAAGATACAGGGAGGTTCTTCTCGCTCTAGTGGTGTGTGGGTGCCATCCCTACATGGTTTAGGACAGGCAATTGACACACTGTAGTATGGCCTCACTTATGATATTCTTGTTAGCGATAGTGAACACAGTTGAGACATAACCCCAAAGTTTCCATCATTACAATAAACTTTTTATGATATTGGATTAAAAAAAACTAAATTAAATTTTTGGTCGCTATAGTCACATGCAATTTTAACAAGTCTTAATCCTTACGCCCTTTTATTAATTGAGTGCCTATAATTTTATTCCACTTTTTATTGGATCCTGACATAAGCAGAAGTAATAACACTGACAAAATTTGTTGATGTGGCATATGAAATGTCCATGCATTAACATGAGCTACCTTTTTCCATGTCAATATCACATGTGAGAACTCAATGTTTTCAATATCATTCAATTAAAATAACTAAGCGTCTAAACCCCCTCATTCTCCTGTAACCATCTCACAGGGCCAGTAGAACAAGTCGGCTAGGGTATATCCACCATACATGCACTCTTGGCCATATCCAGTCTACCAAAAATGTGATATCCACAATCATCAGCAGAAAAGAGATGCATTTGAATGGACTACCTGTCAATGCTGTCACGCTGAGGGGCATAGACTTCCCAAAGTCTAACACACTATGGATTGTTGAACTGAAACCAATTAGCCACAAGATGATAAGAACCAAAAACAAGACCTTCTTTATCCTTACAAAAGGAATTGCATTCTACTAGGCCAAGAATGGTAACAAAGACAAATAGGAGATGTGTTTACCAGACGAGCATTAGAAATCTAGATGGGACTATTTTCAAGGATGCAATGAAGGCATCTTAATAGGACCACCAAACACAAGTGTTCACCCACAAAGCTTTAATGATTAGAATTTAGAAGTTGTTAATGTTGGATTTTAAATTTCAATTGTTTAGTGGAGTTGAAACAAGGAAGGAACTCTACAGAAGAAAGAAAGAAAAGAATGAAGGAAAAATTGAGTCCAAAGATGTGGTATCAACATGGAAAAACCTTAACAACGTGTACACACATGTCCATTCAGTCTGCTGGTGCCACCTTGGCAAATTTTGACTGGGTCATAAATTCTACTGATGGCATGGACCCAATTACAAACAGAATAAAACTATAGGAACTCAATTAATGGGAAAAAAGTGCAAGGAGAAATAAAAATTAAGTGAAGTTATGAATACTAAAAGATTATTTAGCCCCAAAAAAAAAAAAAACAGCTACATATGCAAAGCAAACTTTGGTTAGAGTAAATAAAATTGATCTTTAAGGACCCAGAGAAATCAATACTACACATGAGGAGATCACAAACACGATATACAAATACACTTTGTCTGGAATATTACATTCATATATGGACCAATGATGCAAGGCAAATAAATTCAAAATATAACATCAGCAGAGTTTTGCCTCAGTAGACCATTATTTAGCCTCCAAAATAGTTGCCACATCAGAATGGTCCACAATTTGTTTAAAAAAGTGTGCTAAAAGTGGTTTGGTTGTATACAGGTTAACAAGGTGTTCAGTAAAAATTATAGCAAAATTCTTATGATTATCTATAGATTCAAAGGACCTATTAAAACAAGGATTTGCAATATTTCTGCAACATTCATGGTATCAAGTATGGAAATTTCAAAAAAAATAATCTCCCCAACCAAGATGCAAGTTATTTACATTTTATGCAAAACCAGTAGCACACAAGATGCCCAGGGATCAATCGAAGAGTAAAACATCTATTTACTATTAGCAAAGATTTGCAAAAAAGCATTGTTTAATGTAATTAGTATGGGTTAATAAGATAAATAAATAACTAACATAAGCATATGATGTAGAACCTTGGATAAATTATGTGAATATACACAAAGAAAGTTCCAAATAAGGAGAAAGTAGTCAGCGGTGTTTAATGATAATTGTTAAGATATTAAGATAAAGCTTTGCAGATAACAATAAAGTGCAAGAAATGAAATAACAGAAATTAAGTGATTGCACACCCAAAGGAAAGGAGCAAAATAGGGAATCTCTTATTTTAGATATAATTTATGTGGACAAAAGAATAACTTTGATCACAATGGAATTAGGACAATTATAGACACCCAAATGATGATTTTGTAAATTGCCTGACAGAACCTGATCAAACAAGGAAAAAAGAAACAGACATCTAATTTATGTTGAAACCTTAAATAAAGCACCAAGCAAGGTCAAATCTTGGGCACTAGACATAATACCCCTCCGGGATTCCATAGAACTATAAGTTTAGAACCCCCTAACTATGAATTCAACCAGATATCCTGACTTCTTTCTAATCATTTGAGAAAGAAAATTGATTTCCCTAGTGTTTTTCTATAGGTCATATTCTAAAAATAACCTTTCTAAAGCTTCTAAACATATCAGTGATCCTTGCAAGTTTTATATTTTTGCCACATAATTATTTAGAGTGAACTTTGGTTATGCAAAAATGGAAGGAATGAATGACAGGCTTTCAACATTTGTGTCTGAATGCATCCCCACATTTCCATTCAATCATCAAGCACAGCACCAGCTTAGCCTTCAAGATAACAGTTGGACATAACAGAGTTAGATCGAACAAATGTGAAACTCCTTAGTGCTTTTTGAAATCATAGATGCACCTTCTCTAATCAGAATTCAGTTCACACTTCATTTTGCAAAAATGAAAACCTACTTCACTCAACTCAGCCTCAAACCAAAATACTAAACGCTTGATACATCAGTTATCATCATGATATCAGATACTCAGGTCATTAATACTAAAGATGGGGGGGGGGGGTGGTGGGGAGGAATGAAAAGGCCATCCAAACATATCTGATTCACTTGTGTAAATCACAGAAAATCATCATGAGCACCCATTGATAAAATCTAATAAACAAGACCTTCAAAATTCTGCATTTGAACAAAGAGAAAGATTCCCTCTTTAATAATAGCTGATATAGAAGATAAAATATTCAAATACCTGGGCTCAAATTCTCGTATTTCAACAAGCTCACTACCACAATTATCTGTCCACTGCACTTTCCTTCTTTCTGCTTGACCACCAGGAGTACAAATCCCCTGCCCACCTGATGCTTCGTGCTCATTAGTAGCCTCAACAGGAACTGATTTATTAATTTGTGGCTTTTTTATGCTACTTTTAAGTGTAACCTTTCTGTTATCATTTTCATCATCTACATGTGCAGAAGGATCCTTTCCCTTGTTGGAAACCAATGGCCCTGGTGAGACATCATGCTGTTGGGCAGGGCCCACTTTAAGATGAGATGGAGTATCAAGCCCTGCGGAAGTGCGACCAAAGCAAACAAAGGAGGCACACCCGCGGGAGAGGCGGTTCTTTGTGGAAGCCAGCTGGAGCTCGGGATCAGATTCTTGGTCTACCAACTGGTACTGGTTCCACGGCGCAACTCTCATGGGTTTATCCTCATTCCTCTGACCCAAAAGGAGAAGGCTCAGGCCCTTAGTATACCCTGAAGCCGAAGCAGAGAAGAATCCTCCTCCTTCTACTGCCAATAACATCAGTTCTGCTCATCGGCACACCATAAAAATGATTTCTATATGTGGCTCCCTTCTCTCTGAAGAACCAAAGTCACAGCCTTTTCCAACCAAAAGTAATCAGAGATCAGAACAATTTTCCATAATTCCAAAATCTTTCATTTCATATCTACTTTAACTGTTTTTAATAATATTTTCCAATCCATTTATTCCTTTCAGCTACCAAAAGACAGAATATGCTCAGCTGAACAAATTCAATGTTGATAAGATAATAAAAGCACATTTCACAGTGAAGATACAGATTTGAAAGCCTTAAGACTTAAGACAAGGACAATCTCACAGAACTAAAACCACTTTAGAACTTCCTCAAGTTTGTAGATGCTCCAAAGCATGGTGAATCTGTTTGTTTTAAAAAAAAAAAGCAACTAAAAAGGCCACAACATAATTAAGTTTTGTTTTTGCAGAAATCATCAAAATATACAGAAAAAAGTTCAAAACAAAAATTAAAAACATAACTCACTTCATCACCACTCCCAACCATCTCATGTAAACCACCATGTATATATCTGACCTACCTAATGAACATGCATATGACACACACGAATTAAAAATTCCTCTTGATTCATCACCGAGAGAGAGAGAGAGAGAGAGAGAGAGATAAGAAGATCTCTGCTTCTATGTCGCAACCACACACGTTAGCGAGCAATTTCTCAAACGCAATCTCAACTCCAAAAAAGCAAATTAAATTGCAAAACCAAAAACAGAAAAAATAATAATAAAAAAAAAGGAAAGCTTATCAGGTACTTCGCAAATGCAAGAGAAAGGAAAACAGAAACAACAGAACCAAGTCCTGGACAACACGAAATCATACTCAAATCGAACAAAGCAAAGCGAGATTTCAAAGTGTCGGTTTTCGCTCACTTTATCGAGAAATCTTAGATCGAAGAAGGAACGAGTTTACTGTACCAAAACAGTGCCGTAAAATCAACAAGGAAGGTCACCGGCGCGTGGATCAACGGCGACGACTTGTAGCAAGTGAAGTCGCCAGTCGCCAACTGAACGAAAACTCGGCGAGGAATTGAATTGAACAACAATAAGAAGGGGAAAAAAACGGTTCTGTATATTTTTCTTCTGCTTCCAATTATTTAAAAGGAGGATAGGATAGTGACCCACACGGCGCATGATAGCGACGTGTCCCCATTATTCAATATGCGCAATGGCATGCAATGTTTTTATATATATTATTAGTATTAATTTGTTTAATACACCGATTTTAATTAGTAAGTGTGTCGTTATTTATTTCTTTAGTAGTTAAAGGAATAATTAATTTTAATTTCTTGCACATGGTTTCCTTGGTGAGAAAATTTTGAGACGATAAATCTGGAAGAGAAGTTACTTAAATTAAATAATGAATAAATTAGTTTCATTATGATGTTTGGAAAATTCTAGAAAAAATAAATAGTGTAATTACATGTCTTTTTTTTTTTTATCTCATTTTGCTTTTTGTGTTGTGAATCTTTGGGTGAAGAGAAGACGTCAACTAAAATGGTAGACATGATGAAATTGATGAGTTGAAATTGTTGCATGCAGCTTTTGACAACAAAAGAGGGATCAACTTGAAGAAAGATGTCTTCCTTCCTTAATTAGGATAAGTCAATATATGTTTACTAAATAGAACTTCAGTGAGCAAGGTGTTATGGATGCAAAGTGTCTTCTCAAGTACATCATAAACTTTGACATCTTTTATATTTTAATCAAATAATAAAGGTTTTGTCAAATTAACTACGTATTCTTAGTGGCCAGATTCCCCGTGGGTAAAGTGAACATGTATTGTCATTAAAATACCTCAAAAGTAGTTTCAACTAATTATTACAACAGATGAACCGAAATTGTTTTTAAAATGAAAGTTGAGTAAGATTATTCAAATATATATGTGCATAAATGTCCAAATTAAGCATAATATAAAAGGTAATTTGTGTAACTATAGCAAGTTGTACCAAACACTTAAAATGTGGTGGTTTTTATTAGAATAAGTAATTATATTAAAAACATTTATTCATAAAAAAAAAATTGTATTGTCATATTATATATAACATCTTTAACATAGAACTTTTTACTCAACATATCGTTTACGTATATATAAATGTAATGGAACCTTGCAATACTGCGTTATTTTTCAGGTTATCTTTTGAACTATGCATAACGCATATCTAAACATATTAAAGGAATTTTAATACAATTTTTTCACACATTCATTTATTGGTTAAAATTATAGAAGTATAAATAAAAATTTTAAAATTAAGAGCAAAATTTACATGATTATAGAAGTATAAATAAATTTTAATTAATAATAAATTAAAAAAAGTGTTTTGCCTATTTCTGAATACATTATAAATTTGAATGAACAAAGCATTCCTAAAATGTGTTTCACTGGGGTTTGGATCCAATTTCATAGCAAAAGGTTAACTTCTAAGACTGCACACAGGAGCGTCATTTTAAAAGCTGTGGTAGGAGCTGACAGTTGCTCTTCTGAGAAAAATTTCCTAATTTTTATACAATTGTTCCAAACCAAAGCAATATATTTGCACTTCCAAGCAAGGTAACAAGATGTGCGTGGCAGACTCTAGTCCTAGATTGTGAGCAGTGGAATATATTCTAAAAAGCAAAGGTCCCAAATTGGGTCTCTTAAATGAAAAGCAAGGGTCCTAAATTGTCCCTTTGAAACAAACCTATGACATTGGGATCTATAGGCTTTGACCTTCCGAAGTGATTATCTCAACAGTGTACACATGGGGGAGAAATTTCACTTCACGTGGATATCTTAGGAGAAATATATGGCTTATAATTTTCATGCAACATAACTTGTTACACAAGCCACCAAAAGTTGTTCTCTGCAGACTCTTCCCATTCCTCTTCAAGTGATCTATTCTTAACGTTGAAGCCTGTGTATGTCCGTGCCACAAAGTTGAGTCGTGTATAGAAAACTTTTTGTTTCTATTAATTTTATTATTTGGTCACTTTTATTTGTTCTTCACACTTCATCACAACCTAGTAAGATACCCAACAATTAAACACACAAATGCCCCATAAAAGGACAGGTGTTTGTTATCAAATGTCAAACTCGTACCAATCAAGTTTCTTCCCCCGTCATGTTTCTATGTGGTGTTGACGATGGTTTTGTATCAAGTGTTATATACATATCAACAATATTCTTTTGTCATTAGATTGGGCTAAATGAGGGTTTATCTCTCTTCACTTGTACGGGTTTCTATTTTAATTTTTCTTTCGATGAAATATTTTATTGAAATATGGAAGATGGGTACTTAGTTAATTATACATGACAGTATCTAGGACTAGTCATTAATTACCACCTCTCATTATTAACACTGAAAGCAATGTTTCCTAACATTTTTTAAAAGGTTTTGGAAAAGATCTATGCTTGCCTTGTTGTGAAACATGCTTTCAACTTCATGAAGTAAAATATATCAGCTAGAATCTCACTGCAAGATCATCGTCTACCTCTACCTGTGAACAACGCAACTTATAAATGGAAAATGTTAAATGATACTCTCTCCGTCTCTAAACAACAGTTGTTTAAACTTGTAGGACAAGAAATAATAAATGTATTTAATAATCTTATTTTTATTAAAAATGAATTTTAAGATAATTATTATTTTAAGAGTAAAATTAAAAGAAAAAATTGATTCTGTCTTAAAATTATAAAATTATTATTATTTTGAGAAAAATAAAATTGATTAAAGAGATTCATTTTTTAAGAAAAAAAAGGGATCGTAATCCCTCGTGTTCAAAACCGAACATGACCGTCATGTTTGTGTAATTTTGAACATTTGCTTAAGCGAAAATTTACTCGCTTAAACAAATGTTCAAAATTATACAAATATGGTCATGTTCGGTTTTAAAAATAAGAAGATCCTGTCGCCAAATAAAGTATTTTAAAGAAATTGATTAAAGAATTTAAAATAAAAAATTATTATAAAACATAACAATATTTTTATTTTTATAATTTTTAATGTATTTAACATAATTTTTAATGAAAAATTATTATGTTATAATTTTATAAAAAAAATCTAATTAGCGTGACCCTTAAATAATTTCAGTTATACTTTATTTATTTATTTAATATAAAGTATATTTGTATTAATCTGTTATCGTTATTGTATTATTATTAGTTTTTAACCTCTTAAAGGTAAAAAATATATATCATATTTAAATGTAAGTAAAAGTATTATATTCAAATTTAAGTAAAAAGATAACACAGTCAAATTTATATAATATATACATGTATGCATGAAGTATATAATACAAATATAATATGGGTAATTGCTAATTGTTAAGTATAGGTACATCACAAGCAATCACTAACTTATATAATTGGTGTTGGGTTAATTATATAACAGATAAGTTATATTATATATGTTTTACAATTTTACACTTTCCTTACTTTTTAAAACTTTTCTTTCATTTCTTTAAGTTTGAATTAAAACTAAAAAAGTTAAATTAATCTTTTTTGCTTAAAATAACGTTAAGATTTGAGACTTAATATAACCAGAGTTTTAATTGTCTTACCCGTTCGACTTTTTTGTTGGCCTCTGTCTAAAGATGAACATACAGGCTAATTAGCATAAGTCTGGTCATTAAATGAGTAAACCTACGAAATAAACAGACCCATAAAATTGTTGGTCTACATCTAAGTAGTGAAACATGAAAGTTCCGATGTGAATCTAGTTTACGCATCCACGCAATGATTGTGAGAGCATACCCTGTTGCAAAAATGATTGAGTGGTCAAAAAGCTCACACGGTGCCGTCCATTATTTATCAAAAAAATATGCAGTTCAAGTTAATGGAAATAGTTGAAGTGATTGTAGGGTCTGATTAGATGCAATGACCTCTTCAATCGGAAAGAAGAAGATGCCGATTGCAACTTTAAGAAGGAATAGCAAAATATAAAATCCCATTGATTTGCTTGGACTCTTCAATTAAAAATCTGATTTCCAAAGGCTTGCTGATAGGTTGATAGAATTATCAAATACTTTTAAGGCCAAAACAGAGAGAAAATAATTCGATGCTGAAAGAGACGATTTTGGATTTAATGCATAGTGATGTCTTTGTTGCCATGAAAGAACAATTTAGAGCCAGTTTGTATTGACAGTGAAAGAAAGTTCGAGCTAAAATTATTTCTGTTCCCTTTGAAAACATGGAACTCTCTCCAACATGAAAAATCGCGTAACTCGCATTTAACATTATTTTTTAAAAAAATTTATTTATTAGGTGATGATATATATATATATAAATAATGGGCAGTCGCACTTATCTTGTTTCTTTTTTTATAGACATCCCTATTCTTTGTAATGTAAAAAGCTTCAAAGATTAAATTCTAAACATCAAATCATAGAAGTTCAGAAATAATGCCAAAAGCTTAAAATATTTTAACAATAATAATGATTTTTATTTGTTTTATATCAAGAGTATCTCCTTACTAATAATTGGGATTTTTTTAAAACACATAAAAGTATTAAATAATTTTATAATAAAAAATTTTATATATACAATTAAAATTTAAATTATTAATATATTTAAAAATATAACTATTTATTAATTGTTAAAAAATTTATTATAATAATTTTTATATTGCATCTTTATCACTTGATATATATAATTTTTAGGTTAAATTATAAGTTTAGTTTATATACTTGACATTATTTTATTTTATTTTTATATAAAAAATTTAATTATTATATAAGTAAATGTTTTTTATTACTTCTTATTAAAAATTCATTGACAAATTTTATGAAAACAATTGAAACATAAAAAAATATTTATATAAAAAGTAACACATAAATATTAATCGTAGAAAATAATAATTTCTAAATAAATATCAATTATAAAAATTTAAAGTGTATTTAAACTAAAAATAAAAAAAATTAAAGATTTGTTTAAAAAAATTGAAATATCAAATAAAAAAATTATGAAATTTTTAAAAACTACAAAATTATATCTTCAATTAAACTTATATTTATTATAACTTTATATTTTAAAGATAATAAAAAAAAGTTTTTAAAATATAAGATAAAAGATAAAAATATTAATTTAAATTATTAGGACTAAATTTTGTTAATATTGAATTTAAAATACACTTATTCTGGACTAATAAAAATATTTATTTTATTTCATAATTTTTGTTAACTTTAATCTTTACAATTGATTTTAAACATTTAAAAGTAAAAAAAATAAAAAAAATTATGTATTATATTAAAATTATAAAAGTTTAAATAAATACTTCTTATTGTAATAAAATTTTATTATAATTAATTGCTTAAATTTAATCTTAAAATTTGAAATTGATATTTATTTATTTCATATTTTTATCTTAACTAAAAATAAATAAATAAAGTATTAATATTAAGTTTTTTGTTATAATTTTTATTATACATAAATTTCTATAAAATAATTTTTTTAAAAATTATAAAAATAAAATATTTATTATTTTTATATATAAAACTACACTATATAAGTTTAAAGATATAAGTTTTAAATATTTTATAAATTTTTTGAATATTTTATTCGGTGCCTTATTTATTTTTCTAAACAAATTTATAATTTTTTATATATTTTTAAAATATACATTTAATTTCTATAATTAATACTTATTTATAAAACAATTTTATAATTAATATTTAAATTTTAGTCTTTATATAAATAATTTTTTAACTTTTATTCATCGTTCTCAACATATTTTTAAGAATAATGATTAATTTAAAAGAAATTAAAATAAATAATTATATAAACTAAAATTATAATTTAACGAATTTTTATATATGAGATTATTTGAGATTTAAAAGCACAAATGAATTCAACCGGCATTCATGAATCACGATCTGACGCAATACATCATATCACCGTCTCATCACCTCCGATATGGGAATGAATGTTTTATTTTTGGAATATTTAACGATGATAGAAAAGAGAGTAATGATGGTATCGAATTATAAAAAAAATAGATAAAGTTTTTATTGAATTAGATTTGATATTATATCAGAAATAAATAAGGTTTAGCATACGCTTATAAAATTTTTAAATTAATGTAATTCATTTAAAATAAATTACATTTTTATTTAAAATCACATATATTAAAATATTATTAAGTATTTAACTCGTATGTGTTGAGTTAGATAGGATAACTACAAGTGATGTTATTATTTTTTAATTTTGACTCTATATATATAGAAAAATAGAAGTCAACATATTTCAATTTTTTTGTTGTTGCTATTAACATATTTCAAATTTTAACTTATATTCGTATATTTCAAGCATGATGTATGCTAATTAATATAAAAAAGTTCTCAAATAATTAATACATTTACATATGCATAAACCAATGGATATTCTGCCATTTAGCATGATTGGATAGTATTATCTGTAATATTTCCCTATAAATTTTCGCGATGTTATATAATATCATTAATGATTTGACCTTTTAAATGAAATGCATTCTAACTTTGTACAGGGTAAATGGATTTGTCAATAATACACAATCCCAATTTTTTTTTTCTTTTGGAAAATTACAACACAGTGTTGAAGTAAAAAAAACAGTCTTTGCAAAGAAGATTCTCTTTTAACAAAAAAGGATTATTTAACAAAACTATTATAACAAAGGAGTAAATTGCAAATATATCTTTCAGAGAATATTCTACGACTACCAACCAGTACACCATGGAATCTGTTGTGCACCGTAGACTGACCCATGAAAAATAATTATATATAAGAATCTTTGCTGTTGACTTGATAAACATAATTTTATTTTTCACATATGCAAACTCTATTTATGTAATTGTTAAATCAAAATGTCTTTATTGATCCCTCCCTCAAAAGTAAAATAAAAAACCAACAACCAGATCACGAAAAGGAAGAAGACTTCTCCCTGTATCCTGAAGTCAACGATACATAAGCTACGCAATATTATTATTAATAACATTATCCTAGCTCTGCTAATTCTCAAATAAGCTTGAACGTGCCACCATTCAACTCTATCACACGAAGATGGAAACCACTACTTAAACAGCATTTGACTTGCAACTCAAATTGCGGCTACAATCAAAATGCATTACGATATTTTATTTCCTGATTTAGTTTTCAAAATAAAAATAAAATAAAATCATTGAGGATTACTATTCAAACCTTAAAATTGTCTCTGCATTGTGCAAATTTTTGCGCCGGTGAAACTACTTGCTCTGCATTGTGTATGATACAGAATTTTATGTTGAGTATTGCACTAACAAGGAGTTTAGGAAAAGCGGCTAGAGGTATGTAGGAAGACATCAAGCTAGGAGAGTCCTTAATGAAGCAATTCTACATGTGGACACAATCTTAATCTTAAGCTTCAAGTATACTGATGCTAATATACCTTCTATGTCATCACATAAACACAACAGCGCAAGCAATTCCATATCAACCCTTCCAAGGCTCCAATCAGAAACACCTTTTGTTCCCTTCTTTCCTGCACCATCCATTTCCAATTCCATGCTTAACATTGTGGTTTCAAGGACCCTTTTCTTTTTCTTTCTTTTGTTTTTTATATTGTTCCCTTCTATGTTTTAGAAATATCAAGCTTTGACCAAGCATATACCATAATGCATCATTAACTAAGAACTTTGTCGTATGTATGAGTTGCAGCCAAATGGGTGTCTTTATTCCCTCCCTTAACAATACTACAAAGAAAAGTGCAGTGCGCAGACGCAAAGAAATGACAAAAGTAGAAATGAAAAGCAAAGTGATAATAGACAAAAGATGCCTGAAGTTGTAAATTGCCGCATATAGAATCTACGAAGAGGACAGATATACATAGGAAACTTCAGATAGAAGCAATCCCTACATTGAAAAAGTTGTCTTTGAGAAAGAGGAGTGAGGGAGACAATCAAGGTACAAATTTAAATGCCTTTAAACTATTTCAACAAAATACTTTACAAAGAACATTTAAGATCCAAACTATCACTCCGATGAAATAAGCATTTCAATAAGTTAATACAAGTGGTTCAACCCTGCTGCTGCTATTTGTTGTAGGATGCAATGAGCAAAACCAGATATGGCCTTCCATTAGTTATTCACTTCTTTTGCAGGTAATGTAGAAGGATGGTCAAACAAAAATATTCATTGGATATAACAATGGGCAGGACTAGTCTGCATGCATGTCCATGGCAGAATCATTAGAACTGAATGTGGCAGAGTCTCTGCTTTGCTGATGAAGAAAGCCGGGTTCAATGTTCCGGTTTCCATTGCCAATGGAGAGACCACTTGGGTGGTTCCCTCCCTCACCAATTTGATAATGCTGAAGACTGCGACGAACAGGGCTTGACAAAGCATTTGAAAACACAGAATTCTTCGATTGATTTTCACAGTGGTCAGATCGGATTCCCTGCCCAATAATTGTTTGGCCAGAAAATCCCGATGTTACAGGAAATCCTGAACCAGTGACATGCATTAGTGGTTGTGACTGTTGATGTTGCAATGGAGCTCTAGGGGACATGGACGGCTCTTCTCCACCGTAATCCAGTTCATTCTGCTAGCAGAAAAGTCACCTTTTATAAATGCACTTAAACAACAACATAAACCAACATTTCATTAAAGTACAGAGGAATCCCAAGTAGCCCAACACCCACTATGTTATCAATCACATTTTCAGAGGTTCAAGATATCTAACTAGCCACAGGCACACACAAGTTCCTGAAACAATTTAAATTTCTGAAAAATTGTGAATCCTGCACAGCAGAAAAAAAAGGACATCTCATTATCTTTTCCATCTTATTAAGCCATCCTTTCTACAACTATTGTAATATAACTTAAGAATCAAGATAGATAGACAAACTGCCACAAGAATATCCAAGTTACGAAATCATACTCGCCATTTTAATTTCTGAGAAGTCATATATTCTATAAATCTTTAATATGGCATAAAAGAAACTTGTAATTGTCTTTTCTACATCTCTTTGGCAATCAGCAGTCCCCATACTGTAACTTCCTGAAGTACGCCAGGGAAATATATAATTCCAAATGTTTTTTTACAAAAAAAATTAAAATAACAGATTCCACAGCTTCAACAATTCTAGAAAATGATGAATTAAACAAAGAAAGGATCACATAAAAGCAATATCCATCAGACAAATCATCTGGCTTTCTCCCACTTAAATTTTACCAAATTTTCCAGACCTCTTCTAATTAAAGTTATTTTCCACTGAACAATTTGTACCTATAATTTGAAGTTTTAGCAAGGCACAGTCAAGGAAATTTTCCAAGATTCTCTGTATGTTACATCTTGCATACAGACAATAGCAAGCAAAACACTCATTTCCGTGACACAAGTTCATAAACAATATCATCAATAAATTGAAAATAAGCAATCTAGTTAGACATTCATAAAGGCCAGGGAAAGACCAAAAAGATAAAAAGGAAAAACAGCAACACTAACAGGACATAAAGCAAAGCAAAAAGAGAAAAGGAAAAGGCCTGCACGCCAAACAAATATCGTGGATGACAAAGTTTCCATCATTCATCCTGCCTACGGAAACATAATATAACTAACCAAATAAGCAAGTATCAACACCAGTAAACAATTTCACCAAAACCAGTCAAAATCACAATCTGAAGACAACAAGACTAATATGACATTTTCACATATTATTTTCCTTCTTTTTTAAAAATGTTCTCCATCAACAGCACTCATTATTGATGACATTCACAAGTGAGGGTTTGGGCAAAATTCTATAAACGAATTTGTTAGGCTCGGCTTATAGTCCTTCAAAACTTGACAATCACGGGGGCAGGGATTAGGTCAACACTCAACAGTCCAGCATTGGCAATCAAAAGAGACATGCATGGAATTAAGAAGCATAGAAGAGTAGGAGAGTTTCAAACAACCTGAATGTAGTTAAGTATATCAAGGGTTGCAACTCGTGATCCACCCTCTTGCTGTCTCCAGATCCACTGATAGAGTTTGTCCTGAAATCAAAAGCACGGTTTAAACCACAAACATAAGGCAATTAAAAAATTTAAAAAAAAAAAAACTTTATTGAATGATTAGATTAGACGCAGAACAGAAATGATTATGATATCATAAAAAAAGTGAGAGTGAAGTAAATTAGAATAACGATAAAGTGGAGAAAGAGAAAGAATTACGAGGGAGTGGCGTTCGCCAGCTTGGAAGGAGAGTTTTTGGTGGTTCATGGCTTGTGTGTAGAGGTGGGAGAGGGAATTTGCGGCGGTGCAGAAGGAAGCGTACATGGTTCGATCGACCTCGTCGAGGCTGGTGGCGATGGATTTTCTCTTCTTCCCCATTTCTAATGCCTCAAAGGTAGAGTGAGGCTTTTATAGGATTCACAGATGAGAAGGGAAAGGGACACATCTTATTTGCAATAACTAATATTAATATTAATATTAAAGGGCGTGCCAGACACGTGATCATTGTTTGGAAAGGGAAACACCCTAACTCTTACTCTTCTTCTATCTATCCCTGGCAAAATCAAGGAAGACTCTCGTCTTTGTGGGTTGCATGCAATTTTCCTTTCCTCTTTCTACTACTGGGCTTTCCTTGTTATTCTCAAGTCCAACTCACATCTTTCCCTCCACCCTTTCCTTTGCCCATGATAAATGTTTGTTTAAACTTTTAATTGATTTTTTTTCTTTACCAAAATAAATCAAATTTTTTTAAATAAAAAAATTAAAATATTTTAATAATTAATTATATTGATTATTATTATAAATAAGTTAAATTATATATTGAGTTCTACTGAATCTATTCACCATCCTACTTTTATATTATCATAATTATAAACTTATAATCTAATAAATATTTATGTTTTTTTATGTATATGTTTATGGTAAAATTTGTAATTGATAAATAAATAAATTTAAATAAGTAATTTGTGATTTAATTTTTTTTATTTCTTAAATATGTTTTTAATATAATAATTAAATCAATATCATAAAACAAAAGATTAAAAAGAAAGTAGAAGTAGAATGATACAATCTTGAAATAAACATCAAAATTATATAAACAAACTTTAAATTGAATTAAATTGAAAAAATATAACGTAAAACTTTCATTCACAATCAACACATGTTTATTGATCTCAAAGTTGTTGGATTTAACTAAATTGTTAAACTTTGGTTTAAAAAAATTTTGGGTAGTGTATAAAAGTGTTAACCCTCTAAAATGTAAAAATTATCTATATTTATATACAAATTATCTTAACTGTTTTTTTTCATGAATATCTTTTGTAATTTTTTTTATACTTTTTTTCATAACAACTATTATTTTCTTACCCATAACTTGTTCTACGTGTCGTGATCTTCAATCGATAGTAACTGTTGATGATTGTTAATAATTACTTAAGAATATTTTAAGACTAACATTTTTTTATATCTCTTGCATTTGCTTTTATTGTTGGACATGTTACAAATTCCTTAAAATACTTTCTATAAAATTACATTGAAGTACTCTTTTTGATATATTTTGATACTTAAGTTTAAGATCATTAATTATGTAAAAAATCTTTGAAATATTATTCCTGTTTCAACATAAAATGAAGCTCTTGTATTTACTTTTATGAAAACATGTTGAAATATGATATTTTTCACAAAAATTATAAACTTTTGAGGTCATATGTTGCAAAAATTAATCAAAATGCAAGATATTAAAGTTACATCAATTATAGTGAAAATGTATTTATAATCAACAAATTTTAAGATGTGCTGTACTGTACTTTTAAAAGGTATAGCTCATTCATCTATCGTGAACTTTGACAATAAGGTTTTATATTTTAGAATTTATTTTTCAAACAATATGATATTTCAAATACATTATAATTATTATTTTTTTGTGACAGTAAAGATGTAATTTATTATATGTTATTACTCTACTAATGCAGTCATTAAATTAATAATTAGAGTACCTTTTTTGAATATGTGATTTCTTATTCTATCATCAATCTTGTATACTAGTTTTGTAATGTTATTATTTAAAATACTTGAATTTGTTTCTATTAAACTCACAAAATATATATGTACCATATATATAATTTAATTTTAATCTAATATTGCATCAACACTTATCTCTTCTTTTTAAAGGTTTTCTTTTCCATTTTAAGATTTTTTTTACGTATTTCTAATGATTTTTTTCTTTGGTGAAAGCCTTTTTTATGATTTTTTTTTCATTGCTTTACTATTTCATTTCTATCTCTCCCCACCTTTTACCACCCCCTCCCCCTCTCACATTTCACTGTTTTTTCACCACTCTTTTCCTTTTTTAGCCACTAGCCATCCTAACCCTCTTAATTAATGCCTTTATTTCCTTGCATATGTCGTTATCTCTTTCATTGAACCATTCAGCAAATAGAGAGGATTCTCTTCCTCCTTTCATACAAATTTTCACTTCTTGTCTTGGGTAAAATTTTCTTATTATTCTACTATCTTTGCTCATATGCCATAACTTTTCTTATTATCTACAATTGAGCGAGACTGAAACACTAACAGAGTTAGTGATATTTTAAAGTTGAAAATCTTTAATTTCAAAGAGAAGATTAGTCATAGGGAAGCTTAGCAATTGTTTGATTATTTTACTCAATTTCCATTTAATTACCATTAAATGAGCATGTTGTGTTTTATAATATTTTATATTGTAGTATCAGATAACCACATCGGTATTCCGTTATTTATTTTTGTATGTGTGGCTTAGCTGCCTTGAAACTCTAAATGATTGACAAAGCATTTTTTTAATTCAAAGGAGAATGATTTTAGTAATTACTATATCGGTTACTATTATAATTAACTATGTAAAATATTTTATATATATATATATATATATATATATATATATATATATATATATATATATATATTGGGTATAACAAGTGAAGTGATTTTAAGATAATTTATTTTATTTGAATTATTTTAAAATAAAACATTACAACAGTTAATTTTATGTTTACAAGCGATGTCAGATATTTTACGTATTATTTACAGTAATTGAAATCATAATTTTAACTTACCATGCGATTAATCTCTAACCATTCTTATTTCGATCGATAAGTGTAGTTTAAAGTTAATAAATAGTCTATATAAATTTAGTTTAGATAAACTTTTTAAAAATTACTTATAAGAAAGAAAAATACAAATGTAGAATAAATAAAATGCATTTCATAAATAAAAATTAATGTATACATCTTAATTTTTTTTAAAATAATTCAAAACCGTCATAATTTAATATAACGATGAAAAGAAAGAAAAAGAAAAGAGAACATATTACGGTTATACTTGTGTTGTTTGTCCCAAAATGAAAGTAAAAGCAAGGGAGAACGTGCATGTTGGACCATACCAACAAGAATACGTGAAGGAATCAGAAAACATGGATTACTCTGCCATACCATAGCAACCATAACTTGCTTATGCTCGTGTTGTGTTGTTGGGTGCGTACCGCGTGCCTCTCCTACTACAATCTGCAAACCAATTCCCTTCTTCCATTTTCCCACCTTTCGTATCATTCCAAGTTCCAATGCATTCTCAATTCACGGTTTGCTTCTTTCTTTTCCTTCTTCTCTCTCAACCCCACATTCTCATTCCTTCAAAAGCTTCACCTTTTTTTAAATGATTAATCGTATCTTATATGTTTCTTATTTGAAGAGCAGAACTCGATGAATATGAGCTTACCCATGTTTGATCTCTTTCTCTCTTTTAAGTTTATTTATTTATTTATTAATTTTCAGTGCTACCCTTCTGGATCTGAGACTGCTTTTGGGATCTGGTTATGATGGATTTGATTTTTTTTAAAATTTAGTTAATTTATTTTTCCATAGAGCGGAGAATTGTTTTGCATTAGGAAATTATTGGAGTTCAATTCAGATGATATGGCATTTTGGTTAATTTAGGAGCTTTGTTTATGAAATTGGGCCAATTGGCATTTCATTCAAACGGGATATAATGTCTTCAAGGTTGTGTTTGTTTTGATAATCCACCCGGAAAATGTGTGAATCACTTTAGGGGTTATTACCGTGTATGATTAGAATAGAAATGTACTTATATGTTAGGTTTTGGATGAAAGATCTACTTTATTCATATTGATAGATTACTTATATCATTCTTCTTCTATTGGGCTATTGTACCGTTAGTGGTAGAAATGAATTTTGATCGCGATGTTTTACATGTCATATATTAATTCTAAAAATGATTTCTTGCTGATTTTTCCTAATTTTGAATAAATAATTATATATAATTTGAAAATGATATTGATAAAATGTATCATTATCACCACTTGATGAATTCAAAACCATACCATGTGGGCTTGTTTTTAAAGAAACCATGACATGATTTTGTGAATATTTTTTCTTATTCCTTCACATTACCTTTTACAACTCTTGGTCAATGCATAACTATAGTTGGCTTCGTTGATCGATTTATACTCTTGGGGAAAGGAAGATGCTATTTGCTGAGAAAAACAGGGCTTGCTAGGCGAGAGAATAGAGGTGTCATGTTAGCTGAAGGTCCCCAAAGGGGATGATGTGGGTTATGTTGAATCTAAATTAAGGAGATGCAGACTTTTCTGATTCTGAGTCTTGAATGTATCTTCTGCATTTCACATTTTAATTTTATAAATTTAATTTGAAACTCTAAGCTCAAAGGCTTAGTGATTCTCATATTTTCAACGTGTCAACTCTCTGTGGAGGTAGATTATTTTCATAACTAGGAGAAAAGGAACAAGGTAGAGTGCTAAATGTTGTGCATCAACATTTTTATCAATAAATAATATTATCCTGGGGGTTATTGTTAAAGATGATGAGATGCATATCAATTCTTTTGTTTGTCAGCTGTCAATTTCTGATCCTTTTGATGTCCTTAAGATTTTTATACAAATATTCATTTTTCTATCACAGTGAATTTGTGATATTTGTGGTCACATTTCCATTTGTTTTCTTTTTATTTAAATATGATAATTTCATACCTTCCACTTTACCAGGCTTCGTTGTTTATTTAAGTGGGCTGACCCATGCACATCATTTGAATGGAATTTTATGGAGGCTAGCTAGAAGAGATCAGTGTGAAATTGTGAAAAATAAGAAGGAACATGGCGCCAGCTAGCAAGGCTGAAAAGAAGGCAGCAGTGGATGCAGCTGCATGGATGTTCAATGTTGTAACTTCTGTTGGAATTATCATTGTAAACAAAGCTTTGATGGCCACTTATGGCTTCAGTTTTGGTAAATTCCCTTTCCAAAATTTTAATGATAATTTTGTTCTCGAGTTACAATGTCCCGGTTAATATATTATCATGCTTTGATGCTAATTTCTTATCTTCTTAATATAATTTGCCTTTGCGTGCAGCTACAACATTAACAGGTCTTCATTTTGCTACTACTACTTTGATGACAGTCATACTAAGGATGCTAGGATATATCCAGGCTTCTCATTTACCCTTACTAGAAATTCTAAAGTTTGTTTTCTTCGCTAACTTCTCCATTGTTGGAATGAATGTCAGTCTAATGTGGAACTCAGTCGGATTCTATCAAGTGAGTTGGGCTTAATTCGCTATTGGTCCATTAATGCATTCAGAAGTTAAATTTACTTTTTAACCACTGGCAGATTGCTAAGTTGAGTATGATCCCTGTATCCTGCTTGTTGGAAGTTGTTTTTGATAAGATTCGGTATTCAAGAGATACAAAACTGAGCATAGGTGTTGTTCTTTTGGGCGTTGGTGTTTGCACTGTTACTGATGTGAGTGTTAACACAAGAGGGTTCGTTGCTGCCTTTATAGCAGTGTGGAGCACTTCTCTGCAACAATATGTAAGTGTGAATTCCACTACATGTAATATACTGCATCTGTTCAAACATAAATGGCATAATTGAATCATAAATGGATTCATGCAAGCACAAACACCTGCATACACAACATTACAGAGAGAGGAATGGAATCAGACTAACATTGTCCTTTCTGCCTTATTATTGTGTTATGCTTATATGTCCACATGAATGCATTTTAGAAAAGTTCTGGTATTGTGAAAATTATCATGTTTCAGCCTGCTATTAACACTCCTATTTGGTTTATGGAGTGTAAGGATTAAGGAATCTTAATCTGATTTTTTTTTCTGACTTATTAATGAATTTTCAAATCTCTCATGTGCAGTATGTGCACTTTCTTCAACGGAAGTATTCGTTGAGTTCCTTCAACCTTTTGGGACATACAGCACCTGCACAGGCTGCATCACTCCTGTTATTTGGCCCTGTTCTAGACTATTGGTTGACAAACAACAGAGTTGACAAATATGCTTATAACGCAGGCCCTTTGGTATGTACAATGGATCACAAAATGATATCAATTTCAACATATGAACCATAGATAATTTATTTTTTCTGAGAAATCGAGTGCACAAACTAGTAGATTCACATGGATTTGCATATTATAGTGGATGGCTTGATGTGTTAAATAGATATTGATTTCACCTTTAAATAGATCTAGACAATTGTGTATATTATATATTTGGTCTTGTTTGTATGCCTGTGTGTTACATGACTGTTATTTAGGCATAGACATTACTATGCCTATCAGTGTAGATAAACACACAATAAAACAGATGGATTAATGCATGCTGACCTTATGTTACTTTTCACAATCTTATGTGGGTTGATATTGACCTTGCCTAAGGTTGTCATCTTATGTGTTGGCTTTGGCAGATATTCATATTTCTGTCATGCACTATCGCGGTGGGGACCAACCTGAGCCAATTTATCTGCATTGGAAGATTTACTGCAGTTTCATTTCAAGTACTAGGCCATATGAAGACAATACTTGTTTTAATAATGGGATTCTTTTTCTTTGGGAGGGAAGGTCTCAACGTTCACGTGGTTTTAGGGATGGTAATAGCCGTGGTTGGAATGATATGGTATGGCAATGCCTCATCAAAGCCTGGTGGAAAAGAGCGCTTGAACCACTCTCTTCCCACCAACAAAACAGAAACCAGATAGTTTCACAGCACTGGCTCGTTCTGGTGATTTTATTTGCAAAAGTTGAGGATAAGAAGATAGGAGTAGGAAAGTATTTAATTATTTGAAATTAAACCTTATTCGTTATAATTATTTCAACCTTATTTGCTATTCTTTAAATTTTCATCTCGGTTATGAAAGTATATTAATTCCCCACTCATAATTGTAATATGTGCTTAGATGACGACGGCACTTTTTGATGAAATTTTCATGCTGACACAATAGTGCAAATTGCAATGACTACATGAACCATATAATATGACACTTTACTCTTAAAATTATATATTTTCCTTGAAAATGTATATTAGGTTTGTCAGAATTACTGATGATTTAACGACCCATAATGAAAAATATAGGAAAAACGAATAAAAAAGCAAGCAAAATCTTAGGGAAGACCATTAATATAAATTCTTAGAAAAGAAAAATGAGATTTTGGGGAGTACTGAGAACCATACCCTATGCCTCAACGTTCAATTTCTCCAATTAACGCAAACGTATAAACTTGGTTACCTTTTTCAAACGTCTTCCATCAATGTTCACGAAAAATAAGTAATTACGTACTAATGTATGCATACAAAGCAGTGTGAAAACTTGCAACAAAATAAATTATAGACGGGTAGCTACCAAATCAAGTGTTTGGAATAAAGTAGTGATATTGTCATATTAAAGAGTTGGAGAAAATATAGAACTACTTAATTTTCAAATACATTTTGTGAATCAAAATCATCATTGTCTAACAATATGAATTCCATATAGAAAGGAAAAAAATTTCTTAAAAAAGGCTTACTTATAAAATGAGGAAAACAACGATATATCCACCCTTAAATTCTTTAAGGTTGGAATTATCACATATTTTAAATTATACGAATAGTAAAGGACTTCCTAGTTTTTACTTTATAAATAACTCACTTTTAAAAAACCTTATGAATGTGAAAGGACCACAAACAATTTTAATATCTCACCAAGTTACAAAATGTTTTGCGTCGCCAATTTATTGCCAAATATCATTACTTGAATACGAAAAAGTAACATTTTCCTTTGAGGAACATAGTGAATACGTAATTTCATCAAATACTATTTAAGGTTCTCTACAACTAAGAATACCAACATTAAACTAAACGGAAGCTTAACGCAAATAACAAACAAAATTGAAATTGTCACCGCATTTCACAACTAATACAAAGTCGGTATGGAAAACATGTCTAATGTACTTGAAATTTGCCTCCTCAACAAAATCTAATCTCAAGCCAAAACATATCAGCTTAACGCTTCTTGGAGACACCAACAGTTTTCCCCCTGCGGCCAGTAGTCTTGGTATGCTGACCACGGACACGAAGGCCCCAGTAGTGCCTCAAACCACGGTGGTTTCTGCATGATAGTTAGAATGTGAGTCCCAAGTGTTATAACAACAGCCAAAATTTACTTAAACATACAATGCATAGGCTTTCCACAGTAATTCTTAAGTATGTTGGTAGACTTTGATTTCATTACACATTCAATATTTGGACTGACATCTAGCAACTATGTGGACTAACAGAAAACCAAGCACAAGCTATTGGACGACAGGCTAGCAAACTAATATGATCAGGTTCTTTTGAGGAGATAAATTAGATCAACGTTAAGATAAATATTCCTATCAGATAATGAGAACCTGTCCTTCCATGATATCATATACAAACATCGCAGGCAAAACAATCACATAATCATAAAAGGAAAGAAATAAAAAAAAAAGAACAGATCTGCGTCCAGCATACATTCATGTTGCACATATCAGAAGACAGAAATCTAGTAGTCAATTTGACTTTGTCAACAAGGTAAAACTTATTCTGATTTTGAACAAACAAATATCAGATTCACCAGGAAAACAATTAGAACATAAAATATATGAAAAGATAGGTAACTAGTAGAGGTGAGTGAGTAACCTAATTTTCTTGAGTCTCTCCAAGTCATCCCTCAGCTTCATGTCAAGTGCATTAGACACAACCTGCGAGTACTTTCCATCCTTGTAATCCTTCTTCCTGTTCAAAAACCAGTCTGGGATCTTGAATTGCCGAGGGTTATAAACCACAGCCATCAGATTTTCCAACTCAGCAGCACTCAACTCACCAGCTCTGAAAATCCCAACACAACAAAACACCCATTTCAACAAAATGGAAAAAAAGAAAAAAAAACACGTCAGTCAATGTGCAATTGAACAGAACAAAAGAAAAAACAAAAACCTTTTGTTCATGTCAACATCGGTTTTCTTGCAAACGATGTTGGCAAATCTCCTCCCAATACCCTTGATTGAGGTAAGAGCAAACATTATCTTCTGCTTGCCGTCCACGTTCGTGTTCAGCACACGCAGAATGTGCTGGAAATCCTCGTTCGCCACCAGAGACTGCAAGACCCACAACAAACAAATTCAGTTACCTTTCAAGGTTTCTCAAAATTGCACCTTTGTTTCTTCCAATCAACTCCGTGCACGGAGGGGGCCAATCGAGATGGGAGCCTACCATTTTTGCCGCGGAAATGTTGTCGGAGAGTGAGGGTCGCCGCCGAAGCTGTTGGTGCTGCCCAATTGAGGATCTGAATTTTTAGGGTTCGTGAGCGAATCAACGTTATATAGGGTGCTGCTTCCAGGTCTTCGCTAGGGTTTTGTTCGTGTGCCGCACAGAGTGACAGGTGACTAGAACGTCGTCGTTTGAGTTACTAGAATTTGTGGGCTAGTTTGGGCTCCATCGGCCCATTTCTAAACTGCTTTTTTAAAAACATACTGATGCTTTCGACAAGCCCAGACTATTGTTGACAAAAAAAAAAGGAAAAAAGCCAAGGCTATTTTTTAAAATAATCCCAAGAAAATATTAATAACAGGGTTAAAATAATGATATGTGAATAAATTTATGAACAGAAGGAAGGGGTCAGACATTTCAATAATTCATATTTTTTGCTCACCGTTATGCTATGTTATGTTTCAGTACTATGATGGTATGCTAGTGGCATGTACATGTTTTTCTTGAATATTTAAAAAATGTCTAAATTTAGCTTCCTCCCTTGCTCTTCTTTAATATGTTGTTTTCCTTTCTCCTATAATGGTTAGAAGCAATAAATGAAAAGAGTCTTTTAAAATTAATGTAATTCCAAAATAAGCAAAAATAATATATTAACAAGTAAAATTTCAGGATGAACGTTAAGAGTATCTTAAAGAATTATATATTATTAATTCATTAAGTTTTTGTTAATATATTAATTTATATTTTTTTATCTTTCAAAATATTAATTTTAAATATATTTATTTAAAATATAAATTTTGCTCTCTTTTTTTCTTTCCTCCAAAACTCTTCTTCCCAGATAATTTTTAAGAAAAATAAATTCTAGTAACAAATTTGGTAGGCAATCATTTAGTTATTAGTGGATCCAGATCGCCTGTAATTTTAACTGGAGCTGCAACATCTTCTTCTTCCTGTATAGTTTCGCTTAAACGAAAATACACAACAAGAAGAAGATGTTGTCTTTACTTCCATTTCAACTCTCTCTCTTTCATCCACCCACTCAGCCCTTCTTCCTCTCCTCTCTTTCCTTTCCTATCCAGCCACCCTCTTTCTCAGTCTCTTTCTTCCTCTCTCTTTATTTAGTTCTTCACCCCTCTTTTTCTCTCTTCATCCGACCATTTTCCCTTCCTTTTATTATCCTTCTCACGCTCTCCCTCTCCCTTGTGCTCTTGCCTCATCTCCTCTTACCTTCTCTTTCTCTCTTTTTCTTCTCTTACTCTCTTTTTCTCTCTTTTTTCTAGTTTTTTGTCACTCTTTCTGGCTTAAACTATATTCGCTTAAACGAATTTTTTTGACTTAAGCAAAATTTGCTTAAGTTAATTTTTTTTTGTTTAAACTAAAATCACTTTTTACTAAATTCGTTTAAATAAATTTTGTTTCGATTAAGTGAATTTTGTTTCGCTTAAGCAAATGAAAAACTGCAACCAAAACTGTAGGTGATTCAAATTTGTTATTGGTTCTATAATGTTTTCAATGCATATGAAGAAACAAGACTTATGAACTCAAAATTATAGAGGAAGGTGATGTTCCTATGAAATATGGTTTGCAATACTATTCATCTTTAAATTTTAATATGAAAAATGTCAAACAATACACTTCAACCTATTTTTTTAGTAATTTATAGTGAAATAAAAAAATATTAAAAAAATAAAAAAAATATAATTAAAATATTTTTTAAAACTTAAAAATTTTAGAACAATATTAATGAATGGCTCAAAACACTTATTAAATATTTAAATATCAAACAAAAAATTATATATTTTTATTGTTTTAAATACTATAATTTTATTTAAAAATATTTTCTTATTATTTATCTAATGCCTTAATCTATATTATCAATCTTGATTAATGAATAAGATAAGAAAATAATAAGATAGAGATAAGATATAATAAAAGAATAATAATCGCTGATCCTATCCTATATTATAGGTTTGAAATAAATAAAAAATAAATAATATTATGTTTTGTTATTCGCAATCTAACACTAGCAAGTGCACTAGGATTGCAGCAAGTAATGAGTAAATTTAAGATCCAAATATCGTTTCCACAGGAAATTTAGGTTTCAAATACCACTTCATAGAATTATAACCATTTACGCTTTTTTGAAATTGGAAGGAGAGTAGTAACATGTAATAACAGCAAACCAGAACAATTAAAAGTAAAATGAACTTGCAGAAAATAGAACAATGAACAAACAATTATTTGATAACAGAAAAAGAAACCATAGCTAGGGAATTGCTTCACCAAAACTCCAATGTTTAATCAATAAAGTTCTAAATTAACAAGCATTTGGAAAGAAAGACAACCAGTTTCATGTTCTATTGTTCAGAGGTTAATTCCTTAACTCAGTGAACCTAACATTCAATTAAAACATTCTAATTTCTTAGATCTGATTTAATTCAACATTGCTTTAAGTATAAGAAACCAAAAGATTGCAAGATCAAAGTTCCTTATCCCTAAGAAAACTATAATCTTGGTGATTGGTTCAGATCTGAAGAACAAATTCAATTTCCATTGACAAAAGTTCCTCTGAAATTAGTTAATCAAATATCCATTCAATTCCTACGTAAAGTGCAGAATCAATCACTCATTCTATTCCAAAGCTTGAAATCCAGATCCAAAATCAATTCAACATATTCGTTTCAGATCTACAATTCCTAGCTATGAACAAATTACACAACCATGGCAGCAGAGAGAAAAAAAGAAAGAGAAGAAGAAAATCAGAATCGCCATGGAAGCTTGCTCCACTCCTATTCCTTTTCGTGAAGTTCCGAGATTCGAATCCCTACTCCTCTCTCTCACTTCCTCTAACAAGAATCTAACTAAAAAAACTGAAAATAAATAGAATCCCCTTTTTTCGGATCATTTCTGGTATTTATAGAATTTTTCATATTTTTACATCATCACTTTTATGAGAAATAGTAGTTACGCAGAGGGTTTATTGTTGCGCGTTAACACTTTTTCCAGTAATAGTGGCCACGCGCAACTTCCTGATATTGAGAGCTCTCTGAAACTATCACTCTTGCTGATAAAAGTGACAACGCAGATGCAAAGTAGTTGCGCGTTATCACTCTTACAGATAAAAGTGACTACGCGCAACTCGTCAAGTTGAAGACTCTCTGAGCTCTGAAGTGATCATTTTCTTATTCTTGTATTTTTGGAGTCCAGACTTGCTTCTTTCCTCTTCCTTTTCATCAAACCTCCATGGATATGATCCTTGCTCAAATTATTCCTTCAAAAACAAGATTAAAAACTTAATTCCTAAGCAAAAATTTCACAATTGCTAAAATAGCTACAAATTTAAACAAAACTTTAATTTCTTCTCTTTTTTTGAGTTTTTCTGTTTTATATATTTTTCTTATCAAATGTGTTAGAATTATACTAAAATATCAGTCAAAATATAGATTCATCATGTATTATTTTTAATATTTAAGATAAGTAAAAATTAATAAAATAAAATAAAGTTATATTTAAATAAAAGAGTATTAAAATTAATATATTTTATAATATAATTTTTTTATTTTTCCATATATACATAGATATAGATTAAAATTTTAGAAAAAAATTATAATTAGAACAAAAAATTACAAAAGCTTTAAAAATGTTTTATTAAATGATTTTTTTTTTTATAAATGTTACTTTAAATTCACTTTTTCTTTAAAAAGTTATGAATTTTAAAAAAATAAAAATAATTTGTTATTGAAAATGTTCATATAGGTTTATTATATTTAAATATTTTTTTTACAAAATATTTAAGAAGATAAAAAGTATGAATAATTTTTGTTTTAAAAAAAGTTATGATAATTCTTAACCAGCACCTCCTTGACATGAAAATTTGAATTAGGATAATTCAATGAAATATAACCATCTTATCATGTTAATCAACATTGAAAATAAGATAAGATAAATTATCCACTAAACAGGACGTTAATGACTTTCTAACTTCTCATTCAAAACCTTAATTTATAATTATCATGCCTCTGAACATGTCCCGCAATTCAAACAAATCATTGATCACGATCATAAAAGGAATATGGACCACTAAATCTTCGGTATGTCATGACAGGAGATGGAGGAAATAAAGCATCTCGTGTATATATTTTTTCGGTTAATCTACTGTGGTATCCAGTTGATAAAATCGAATACAACGTAAAAATAATAAAGAAAAAACACATCTCGTGTAAAATGAAAGCCAACAACAAAATTTAAAAAACACATATACTCAAGTACATACATCGGTCTAACAATTAGTACTGAATTTCGTTACAAGCTAAATCAACATAAGCACAACACAAAATGAGACAATGATGAGTAAAGTAAAAGAAAGACCTGGTTACAGCCTCGTCTTTCGTTACTGTACAAGTCTGTTCTATTGAGAGCACAATCATGATGAGCAAGTCCATGATGAAACAATGCTCAGGGTTGATGTACACATTACATGCATGATACAAAATGAGCTTTCTATAAACATACTAGAATTATGACTGCGGCTCTTTTAACAGGACTAGCAGAATGATGTTGCTTATTTGCAAACCCGTTAGTTCCAAAAGCATAAATAACATGTCTTTTTTCCTATAGTAAAAAATTGTCACAGACTAAGATGGTTGGTTCTACATGGTTTAATTTCATTTCATATGGAAATAGTACAGCCTAATTCTTTGGCAGCTGTATCAAGAAACGTAATAGACAAGTCACTGGAAATTCGGCTATGCGCTTCCCATGTCAAGCATTTTTCTATGTCAGCTTGCCAGTCAATGACATCCAAATTGAAGTACTGGAAAGACGGGTTGTGGATGCCATTTATTCGCAGTGGTTTAGGACTAGATCTGATTGAACCAGTGTGCAAAATGTCACGAAGTACCGATATGCTCAGGGTTCGGACGTGTGCACTTGGATGAGAGAGGCATCTAATAGTAGCCGACAGGCGACACTGGCATTTTCACAATTCTAAAATATCAGTCAACAATGTTATAAAAGCAAAAGAAAAGCACGATAATTGCAATAGTTCTACATTTGATTTCCCTTTCACTGATCTCATAATCTAGAATCAGATTTGTAAATGTATCACCGTAACCCAGCCATATTACAAGTTATGATGACGAGGGAAGTTTTTATTTACCTTTAAAAGATTTGAAAGGCCATCCGCCACAGCTAATCCAGATTCTCCAAACTCTAGCACCGGCTGAACTGCTCTAGCTGTTGCTTCCAATAGCTGACCATTTTTATTGTTGAAATTTGCATATCAGTAAAGCTCAAGTATAAAACAAAATATATGAAATACCAATCCCTTCTACTGTGCCACTAATAGCTGCTCTACCTATCAAAGTTTGTCTTTGGAAATTAGGAAATCATAGTGTACTAGCAAGCTGGCTCATAATATTAGTAAACTAAGTCACATTTCAATATAGCTTTCTTAATGAGTTGGTGAATCATCAAGTCCACTCACTCTGATGATGTTTTGTACATTTCAAAAACCTAAAATGAGCTCTAGCACGATGAATATTGTATGCTGGTTCTTTTTTAATGATCATGATCACTGTGAAGTAGAAGCTTTATTAGATGTCGACTACAGCACTATGCTGGTTCTGTAGAATGTAGGACTTGGGGATACTGTGAGTTTTTGCTGTGGAAACCTGCTTTCTTGGAAAAGTAAGAAGCAAAATGTGGTAGTATGGTCAAGTGTAGAAAAGGATACCATGCTATGGCTGAGCCTACACATATCGGTGTAATAGCCAGGATATTATTAAGATAGTGTTTAGTCCTGCTTTCCCTGAGCTAACAAAGACCAATGAGAAACTTCAGCAACGATTCATTTCTACTACTTAGGTGAGAATGAGCAGTAACAACCAGATTCAATGGAACTTTGTCGGAGGAGCATAGATACATTCATAGCAAACTGAACATGATTAGATACCAAGGCCTAACTCCATAGAGGGAGTGTTAGGACATAATCAACGTTTCAAAAATTAGAGCATTCACTAAAATTGGTAATCAGATCATTGGTATTTGGTCCAATGTGGTAGTTGAACCATGGTAGAATCAACAATTATATATAATGAGTAATAAATTAACATAAATTAAATAAAAAAACACATCTCGTAAATTTTTAAATAATCATTGAAGAACCAAATTTATGTCCAAGAAAAAAACCAATAACAAAGATTAATAACAGGATATATGTAGGCCTTTATTAATCTCAAAATATAATTTAGAACAAATAAAAAATCTTAGTAAGTAAAAAGAGAAAAAAGTTCAAGTTAGTTTTTTGATACTGATTTTCATGATGATCATCAGTTTTAGACTGGTTTGACCAGTTTTTTGCTCCCTAATTTTTAGGATTTTTTAGACTGGTGAATTGACAAATTCACAATTTTTCCATCTGAACCAGCTGGTCCAGTCTATCAATATATGATGTATCAATGTTTTAGTGTGTTATGTGACATTTGGTATTACTCGTGTACTAACTACATCCTATTTACTTGTAGAAAGAAACAAATAGGGGGCATTAACATCAAGTTAGCACGGTCCTTTATATAATAGTTTGCAATCTATTCATTCTATCTGTGTTTCCTTAGCAAAGTTTATATTCGAGACTTTAACAACACCAGTTTTATTTTCTTAATATCTATTTAGAGTTTTGAATTGAAGGCTACATCTTGGTTAAAAGAATTTATTTAATGATATAATGCTTTTCAATAAATAGTCTGCTATACAAGTATATAGCATAAAATTTCCTTTGAACTTTTAACTTATGGAACAAATAATTTAATGCTCTAAAATCTATAATTTCATTTAAAGACACCATGAAGGAGTGACATTAGCTTGATGTATGGGATCATTGGGATGTGTGCATACCAAAGAAAGGCAAATATTTATCTGGAAAAAGTTGCATGACATGCCTGTATGAGTGAGGGGAAAATTACATAGTTAATGTACATAAAATGAGGAATAGCTAAAGATTAAATGACAATAAATACTATTATGCAAGTATATTTTAAAATAGACACACAAATATGTGTTTTAAGTAAGAAATGAGTCAGTTTTCTGGTTGTGTGTGAAGCAGAATTAGGTTAACTCAGTAAATGAAAAGAACTTGAAAATTGATAGACGCTAATGTTGAAACAAACTACCTCCAGCTGTGGTAAAGTGCAAGCTTCTCCATCAACCAGCATCCCATCTGTGGCTCGCAGTAGTAAATCTGAGGCACTTGCCACAATTACCAACGATTCAGCAGTGTCATGATTCCGCATTAGTTCCACTATCAATTTTACAATCCGCTGATTGATTCGCCACATCTTCTGACCAAGATCATCATCCTTAGCAATCCAGGGCTGCAATTCCCTCTCCGCCTGACAAGCAAACAAGCCCAGGAAAGTGACTAAACAAGTGAATGTTGGAAATAATAATTAAAAAAAATTACAATAAACAGTGGATAGATGACATCTTCAGCATCAGCTATTGAACTTTCAAGACATTAAAAGACAGTTTTCAAAGGTATTAGGAATGATAGTTCATAAATTTTGGCAATCTGTTTAAAAAATGGTAATATATTTTTTTTGGGTGGGGCTAAAAAAGGTAATTGCTATTGCTAAACAGAATATGCGTCCAAGTTAGAGCTCAGAGTAATTAAAGAAACCACTCATGAGAAGACGAAATTTTGGACCTGAAGAACAACTGCTGTAGCTGCTTTTGTTGGTGAGGCTGATACAACATTGCATAATGCATCAACAACCTATAAAACATATAATAAAAATTAGTCGATATTGAACCCTTTTGTGAAATACAATATAAATAAGATATTTGGATCCACACAATCACATAGCACAGCCACACATACACAGTTAGAACTAAATCTTATTATGGGTCTCGATGGGGTAACTCTGTGTTTCGTTTCACTAACCCTTTAATACTTTTTTTTCCATTTAAAACGTCTATCTCCCCATGTGTAGAGTTGAGTTAGAAGAGGAGGCACTTCACATATGAATGTGATTCCTCTCCTCAAGCTTCACCAATTTGTAGCATTCAAAATATTGAAGTTTTCAATGCATGTGTTAATGAATGTTGCCTGCTCTGCATTTTAAAACTCCAGATCACAATTTTCTGTATGTGTTGCTGTTTCAGAATTTTGGTTGCATCTTTCCTATGCTTCATGTGTACACAGGATACACCTATTTATCCTCATCTCCAGTTCTTGTTTTATTAGAACCCTACTTCTATTATTAACAAGAACTTAGGTGCTCCATCAAGGAAAATTTCCTCACAATTTGTGTCAAAGGTTAAAAACACGTATAATTCTACCATTGGATGAAAAAAATAATTAAATTCGGTTAAAGTTTCTGCAGTATTAGTTTGGCACTCGTACCTGTCTCCATCCCTGTTGGGCAGAAGTGCTTTCTGCGAAAGGTTGAGTTTCAGGAGATGCAATCAACTTGTGCCATAATAGTGAAACTACAGAGAAACATAACTCTTGTTTCTCTGCCAGCATTGATCTCAGGAAAATTTGTGCATTGCAATTAAGTCCTATATGCCTGTCCATTGTGAGGAAGTTGGCAAGATCAGAAGCATCCAATGAGAAACCTGTGACACCTTTACCCAAGCTACACCCCGATGCTTCATTTGAACATGGAGTTCTTTCAGAACTATGGTTAATTTTTGACGGGAATGAATCTTCCATAGGTACAACAGATGTCTGCCCAGGGTCAAAGCAGCTACTACTTTCACACTGATTCTGTCTTTTACCATCAAAACAAACAAGAGAGTCCTTCCAAAGAGGTGTGTGAATTAAGTTTGCTTCTAATGGCTCGGCCTTGTTCACTATAGATGCAACAGCTTTGCTGTGAATGTCAATGAGATTATACAATGATGATGCCCTGGAGTGAATTTCATTGTCCCATTTGCAGCGAATCAAAACAGATAGAGCATGCATGCAAGCTTTTGACCTTCTAAATAGTTCAGAAACATGTGCAGCAACCATTGCTGCTGCAACTATTTCATTTGAGCTGTAACTCCATGGGGTGCCGACAGAAGATGGCTTCAATGAAAATAGGGCCTCTAAAATTGCCAAAATTCTGTGAGTATGACGTACTGCTGAATCTAAGCCATTCCGCAACTCATGGGATGATCCATTTAGTCTAACAGGCTTGGCTATATCTTGCACATTATTGGAAACTGAATGATTATTCCCTCGGGATATCAAAGGGAACAACTGAAGCTCACAGGCAAGAGCACAAACAGCAGCCAAAACGTAAGAATCAAATGCTGCTACCGGACCTTGCTTCTTTGTTTTCCTATTTCTTCTCTCTTTTTGGTTCTCAGATGTTGTTTGCAAGTCCTCACCAATTTCCTCCACTGAATAGTTATCTTCACCTCTAGGCCTCTTGCTTCCATTGAATTGGGCTTCATGACTAACACAGACAGTTAAGACAACAAAAAGTAGGCGTGAAGCAAGCTCTACAGATGCACACGATTCCAAGAACAGTGAATGAACCATGGTACGAAGTTCTGCCACAGCAAGGTTTTTAGAGGCAGAACCAATTCCAGATAGGTATTTTGATTTTCTGTTTTGTTCTCTAGTGGCCTCGGGGGGAAATGTCCTCTGAAGAATAGCTTCTACCGTAGCAGCAAATATTTTCATGAGACATGCTTCTGATGGGCTTCCACGAGGAAGATATTCCAAGACCTTTAGTAGGGGAATGTACAAATTCCATGACAGTATGGGAGGTTGTAGGGGGGTTGCAACTATAATATCTGGAAGATCAACAGCAGAGGAACTTGTAGGAATCAGGCCATAAGCAGCTTCCCAAATGGTGCATATTCTCCATTCAACCTCAGGACCATGGGCACAAAGCATTGATGCAATGCCTTGGGCAGTAGCCTCAATTGAGGCTTCAGCTGCAGGAACTTCTATCTGATCAACAAGAGATTTTTAGATCTTCAGTGTATAGAAAGAATTTGTCTGAAAAACTTGACAAAATAAAAATAACAGAGAAATAAAAATGCAACTGACAAAGATGAACACAACCTGCTTTTTATATGAAGAAATATAACCACCCAAAGGTTCGTGCTGAACTTCAACTCCATCAACTTGCCTAAGAGGAGGAAAAAGCAATGCAGGCTGAGAAAGTATTCGAAAAAGCAGAGCAGCAGCAGCATCTGCAGCTATACCAACTCTCATGGACATTGCAGTCCCTATTGCACGCAAGAAATGCAAATGCATCCAATTTCTAGGAAGCTGCATTAACACATAAAAGAAAAGAAAAACAAATCAGCCAATTAGTTTAAATCTTTAACTAACTGACTGATTTTGTTAGAAGGATACATGATAATCTGTCACATTAAAAATTTCTCAAATAAGGGGAATGTTACTTAAACTAAAAAAATAACCCCTCCTCTTCAGTACCATCCAAATCTATTGAGGCATGTAATAAGAGTATACAATTTAAACCAATGGAATATACTGTGTCCCTTTTCCACCTCTCCATGAGCTTCCTCAAGGCTCACTTCTGTGGTGGATCTTCCCTTGAACGAATAAAACATGTTTGAATCATATTATAATTTTATTTAATTTATGCATATTTCAATTTCTTCTTCCTATACTAATAATAATAATACTAGCATAAGATTTATATTTCACATCAACTACAGATTTGATCAAAGTAGAATATATAGAAGCTAAGGTAATTATCACTTTAAGAGCTAGCTTTTGGAACTCAGTTAGAATCTTTAGATATTAGCCCAAATTTAAGATGTTATCCAAGTTTACTGTAGATCTGGAATTAGGTTACCCTCAACTTGCGGAAACAAAACTTAACTTGGCCCTTAGATTTCATAATGAAACCTACCCAGCTTTCCCAATTCAATCTACATGGTTTGACGACTTTTTTAGTGCAATATATATTTAAAAAGTTATTGTTACAATTTTTGCACTCCAAATGTCCAATCTTGAGCATGAGGGGTGTGTGTTGAGATCTCAAATAACCATAATAAAGCTTATAAAGATTAAAGCAATTTTTATCTTACAATTTAGCTTTTAGGATTAAGTCCAATCCCAAATTTAAAAATAATATTAGAGTACTAGTAATATATTTACCTTAATGAAAGCATCACAGTATTCTCTATCTATCAATATTATACTTACCCTTATGCCAGATGCATAATCTTCTGCAGCTCGAAGAAGCTCCACAAGCTGCACTGCAGCATCAAGTGCATCTGGAGCCCATGATGGGGGCGCTTCTAGAAGTCCAAGAAGAAGTCTTTGTGTAGCACTTGGAGTAGCAATTGCATAATATCTGCAAAAGTTAGGTATATACATTTTCTTAGGCACATGAACTCTATGAACAACTAAACAGCAAGAAAGGTATTAAGTTCAAAATAACCTATGAAATAAACGTGCATATGGTTCTAGGGCTGGTAATCCAGCAACAAGATGTTCATCCACAGCTGTTGTTGGAGGGGGAAGCAAAAGTGCAGGGACTGCAGCAGCTGTTAAAGTAGCAGTCTCATTACGAGCAACTTCATCATCACAAACGCTTAATATAACACCAGCACCATTGGCAACAGCCCATCTTGGAGTTGAAGGCACGAGTTGAGGATGCTTCCCAGAACCACGAGAAGAAGCTAAGATAAAAAACAGACATATCATCATATTCGAAACATACACATAGGCATCAATACAATAGTGAAAATTGAAAAATGATAATTTTGTTGAATAAAATTCATTGACAATATTTTTACATAGCTGTTCATAGGAAAAGAAGAAAATTAATTCTGACATGTCCACTTAGTATGTTCAATCATTAGAATCACACCAGAAGACTTGTGTTAAGAAGTACAGTTAAGTGTCATCAATAAGTGGGTGTATAATGAAAAAATTCAAAAAATATAGAAGATCAAGTAGCCACATTGTTCCCACATTGTATTCAATTATTATATTTCTACAGAGTTCTACTATTATATTGGCTAACACAATGCAATAGCATGAGGTCAAGTAGGCCATGCTCTGATCTAAACATTTAAACAGAATGGCTGCATGCAAAAAAATACCAATAGTATGGATGTACATTGAGCTTTGATTTTTCAAATGAAAGTCCCCAAAGAGGTTGCCACTGATGCTGTAACTACAAATTTCTATTCAGTAATTTGTCTGTCTTATTTACTTAACTGCCAAGTTCCCTGCTCTATCTTCTTTCTGACTTTAGACTTTTTTCTTTCTTCCTCCTCAATTTTGGATGCCATGAAAAATGTATTTTTCTTTCAAAAACATGAGTTGCATGGCAAGATTTTCAAACTGTGTTTAATTTAAAAAACCATAAACCAAATTACATAATCATTAATAAGACTGCAACATAATATTCATCTTTTAGTCTTAAAATGAAAAATAACTATCTAAACTTAATTGGCCAATAAATTCTTCATATCATATTTGGACTAACTGATAAAATGGTGGGTTGAGTTGTGACAGAGGAGAGGCACAAGAAATAAAAGGGGGATGATGAACATGAAGATTGACGCATAAGGCAATTCCAAATTCTATGTACATAGTCAGCAAATATAGTGTAAACATGCACCCAAGCTCGTTTGACAAAAACCTTTTATGAATAGAAGCTCGTGTGACAGAAAATACATTTGCACCTTAAATAAATTCTCCACTCTATGAAGAAATGTCTCAAATATTTTGATATAATTGTTCACACAATATTGTGAATGAACGTCATCTAAAACAAAATAACAAAAATTACAACATTATGCAAACTAAATTTAATGTACCAGTTGATGGAGGCTTGAGTTCTCCTGCAGCATATTTACCCATAACACCACTGCACCTGTTAACATATGGAGAAATCCACTGACTTAAATAAAAATATACAAATGCCCACAACCCACAAGAAGATAATTCAACACATTACACTATGAGTCAAAGCAAATCAAGTAAGCTGTTTCTTTTATCAAGATAAAAGGAAGAACAGCTATTACCATACTAGGTAAGTTGTTCTAATTCATACTACTAAGTAAAATATAAAATTCTGCACCCCTAAACTTCATCATGCTATATTCTAATAAAGGAAAGCACTAATGAACATGAGTTCAAAAGCTTCCATTTTCACTGCCTTTGAGAGGTGATTATTTACTTCAATCCATATACTTCATCTAACAAACAAGAAAAGCTGCCAACAAGCTTGCACCTGTTTGGTCCTTTAAGATTAAGAGTGATAATTGTTGAGAAAAAAAGAGAAACAAGAGACACAAGATGAAATTCATGTGTCTAAACTACATATTACAAATAAACTATATAGACTAAAGGAAAAAATATACATAAATTACAGTTACCCTAATTACATGATTAACATATAGCCATCTAATGGACTTGTAAACAATTAAAAAGTTTTACAACGCTCTCTTTCAACTTGAAGCATTTAAGTCATTTGCATCAAGTATGTTACATATATAACATACTCAAGTACCTCCCAAAGTCATTTGTCAGCTGGTCAATTGAATAGACAAAGCAAGTGGCAATGTTTCAATGTAAGACTTTCTCTTTAATGGTATGACAATTCACCTTAATGTGTTTGGTACTGTCACAAAACACTAAATTTGAGGCAATATTCAAGGTAACTTGATTGTCATAAATAAGAGTTATTTATGTAATCTCCTCAAACTTAAAGTTCTTGTAGTTATTGCCTAAGTCAAATGAATTCACAAGCCGTAGATGTCATGGCTCAATATTTAGTTTCAATACCTAACCTTGTGGCAACAATATTTCTTACTTTCTAGCAATTATCTACAACAAATACACAAAACTAGGAAGCAAGTCTCTTGTCAATAAAACCTATCCAAATCTGGGTTTGCATATTCAACAATAAATGGCCATTGACTTCATAAATAAGACCTGCCCCTAAGACCTGGTCCACGTAAGCCAACAACAACAACAATCAAGTCTTATCCCACTAGATGAGGTCGACTACATGGATTACAAGACGCTAATAAGCTCAATAAAAAAACAAGTTTTAAGAAATATAATTAATCAAAAGATCTATTTTAATAACTTCAGTTTAAATGTGGTATTACATATTTCATTACCTGGGATACCATGGCTCTATACATACCGTTTTAGCAAGAGCATCATACAGGAAAAAAAAAATTAGTATCTACTTAATATAGTGGCCAAAAATAGTAACCATGGATAGAAACAATTGAGTTAAAGTCATTTTAGCCATCAAGGAAAAAGGTCTTCAAAATCTAACTCAAAACTGTCTTCAAAATCTAACTCAAAACAGATGCGTAACCTTTGGCCATCAAATAGGTCTTTTAAGATAATCAATTTGCTAACCTTGACTATATAGACCCGTTGACAACTTACAGCTAACTTCCTAAAGGTGGAAGAACAAGGTATCATGTCTCATTGCTCCAAAGTGCATACATCTCATCAAACATAACTTGTCTCTACAAAAAATAAGATATTGTCCTACAAATAGCCACAAGACAAAGAAGCCAAGCAAAATGTAGAGACCACGGGTCAGCAAAGAAGAGAGAGAAAAAGGTTGGACAACAATTGGAACGTGCTTGTTTTAAAATAAGGGCAACCTAAATGAGTTAAGATGAGGGAAGCAATACAAGGGTTGATCTAAGTGACAGTGAAGTAAGTCTGGCACAAGTGGTGGCAACAGCCATATAAATAGCTGCATGCACCATGATGAGCAATAGAGGGGTTTGCCAAAAAGGTTGAGCATAGAACAAAGAAGTGAGCATTAAGGCATATCACACATGCCCATTCAGCCAAAGAGGTAGGGACCACTAGGATATTGTCACAATTGACAAGGCAACTCAATTAAAAAAATAGTCAATTAAAAAATAATGATAGCAACTAATGGCAATCTAAGACAAAGATGTAGCTGAAATAATGTCACAGCAAAGAACCATTAAGGACTAAAACAAGAGATAACGAAACAAGAGATAATGCTCCTCCACACTGAAATAATGAAACAATCCCTACAAAACCTTCTTTAACTAGCACACCTAACTTCATTTACTTTAATCAAATCTTTATTCTTTTGAATTTTCTAATAATTTCAACACTGAAATCTAGTTCCTTTCAAATTGGTATCAGGGCTTTGATCTAGAAGGTATGGTACTTGATTCAAAGATGAAGAAAGTGAACAAACATTGGGAGCTCAAAACCCTTGAAAAGTATTAGAAGTTTGAGATCAAGGGAGGAAGAACAAGAATAACATAAAATATTGAAGTTTCCAAAGTTTGAAAGAAAAGGTGCCTATTGGTGGGTGGCTGATCAATGTGGAGGAGCATTTTAGTTTGAAAGGAACATTTTAGGGGTTGTTTCAACCTGGATATGACTTCTAGCATTTCCAACCTAAGTATAATCTAGAACAGCAATTTGAGAAAATATAGGAACCAATGCCATTCAAGTTAGGAAAGAGGTGCCCTTCACTAAGTATTCCTATGGCTTCAAAATTCTATTCCACATTAATTAACCACCAATGGGAGTCTTTTCCTTCAATTTATGGAAACATCTTCAAGATCTAACACCCACAGCTCTAAGATCGAAACTCTTATACCAATTGATAGTAATTAGAATATGAACAAAAATATGTAATATTATTGAAGAACCCAAATCCTGACCTTGCCCTAACAGGGTACAACACCAAGAATAAGAAGAATGTACAATAAGAAAATTGATTTCCAAGATAATCAAAAGATCCATGCCTTTTCCAAGTCCCTATCATACGTCTGAATTCTCAAATGTCCTCTCTAGTTTCCCTCCCCTATTTATCCAGTTTCCCTCCCCTTATTCATACTGATGAATATATAATTGATACTGTGTATAGGGTATGTTGGTTGATGGTAGAGTCAAGGTTGATCACCTTTTTCTGCTAGGCAAAAACTAGGGAAGAAGGTTGATCAAATAAAGTGTAGCAGGATGCAGATAAAATGGGATTTTGAACTTTTAAGTAGGAAGGCCTAAGGAATGATATTGATTGAAACGGAGAGATGAATATCTAGGTATAGGAGCCCAAAATAAATTGAATGAGATTGCCACCAGGTTGAACAATGGCTGGAGAAATTCCAAGCATCATGAAATATGGTTGAGTTTAAGGTCAAACCTTAAATCAACCAAATTGAATCATAGCACCCTTAATACTTGCAAGCAGAGTAACTCACAATGTATATATTACTAAGAAATACTCACCACCGGAAGTAGTCACTTCTAATGCCTACTGGTGCAGCCAACAATATATCCGTAATCCAGGGGGACAAAGGCCTTATAGGTCTCTTCTCTTGCTGTGTTAAAGAATTATGGCCAGATTTCCCAACAGCAGGATCACTAGTAGTGGCATGGCTACCACTACTGCTTCTTTCTGTTTCACCATACTGTCTTTCAGTTTTGTAAATAGGACGATTGTAATGAGTTAATATGCGCAAAATTTCACCACATGCCAGAGCCCACTGTTCTGAGTATTCATTCTGGAAAATTATACACAAAAGAAATGAAAATGATAGAGAACGTAGTTGCAAATTGAATTATACGCAAATTGAATTGAATAAATGCTCTTGATCAGCTTAGAAACTGAAAGACAAAAGGCAAGAGACTAACTCGCTACAAACTTGAATTATATACAAATAAAATCAAGGAAAGGAATAATACTTTTACCTCACTTTTTGGGCAGACTAAAGATATGAAAGAGGCGAATGGAGGACTAGCCTTATCATAGACTAGTGTACCATCAATAATACATGAAATAATTGGAAGAACAACTGCATGCCCATGCTCTGGATGATGAAGGACAAATGTCGCTGGAGGTACAAGTGAATGCAAAAAGAAATTAGTACACATAACATAGAAATAAACTCATGGTAAAATATTCATGTTGAATCAACCACAAGTTAAACTAACATGGGATAAAGCATAAATACCCAAAACATCATCAAAGAGAAGAATTTCCTTCGATGGATAACGGTTACGGATCAACTGTCAAGATAATACAGAATAGTGAGTGCCATTTGTATAAAAATTCAAGATTTCTCATGTAAAAAAAAGCCAAAAAATCTAATTCATGAAAATAGTTTGTATATAAATCTGTCTACAGTTCACAAGGTTTAACTGTAAATATGGGTGCATTTATCATACCTCAGCAATATCATCAGCGAATTGTTCTGATGTAAACTGAATGAAGTATTCAACATATGCAGCAATTTGATCCTGGAGAAATATGATAAAAACCAATGAAATGAAATTACAATGAGCTTCTAATACAGCAGATGATGTACTATGTTTACATTTAGATTGAAAAACAAATCTTTCTACATTACAATTCACCAAAAGACTGCTGCTTTCTCACCAGTGAAATAAGATTGACGAGTTTTCCAATTTTTTACAGGTAAGAAAAATGTGTACTTTTAGAGACAATAGTGAAAAGCAACCCACTTAATATGGTTAGTGGGTTACCAGGGAAACCTGTGTGAAGCTAAATTGAATAAAAGATGTGCATGATCATTGATTATATCATCCCATTTCAGGGAATTTTTCATAAATAGAAGATATTTCATTAGTAGTATAGGTGCAGAGAATATGGTATCCTCAAATGAGAAACTTAAACAAATCAATAACTAAACACAAAAAAAAACACAGCAAACAAGAGTAGCAGCACATCTCAAGTCCATCAAAGAGACCTCTCAAAAATAGAGGTTAAGTGAGCTAGCATAAAGAGGTTGAGAAGGTCATTTAATTCCATAAATGATGCAGCTGGAAAAAATTTATTGTTAAGAATTCTGGCACATTGTCCAACCATAAACACATTGCATTACACTGTAGAATCTTGTCCCTACTAGTCATTATTCCTCCCAAACCCTCTGAAACAGCACACAATTAAGTTCTCTGAATTCTCATTGCAGGCTCGTATGTTGCACTCTAAGACTAAAGTACATAGATGCACAGGAATGGTTTTATATTGCATCTATAACATGCCACCTCATGAAAGGGACCTTTCAGTTTGAAGCTTGGATAATCCATGCACCCACCTACATTGAGCTGAAATTCATTTTTCTTCATTGCCATAGTTAATGTCTCACTAAATCAAATTATTCCCGGGATTTATATCATCACAAAATTCTCTGCTAGGAAAATTCATCCAATACCCATACTTATTTCAACTTCAGTCAGTCTAGTGCTATAAAAAATAAAAAAGATAAACATTTTCCCCAAAGATGCTTTCAAAAAAGCATCCAAATCCAACCTAATGCCTGATAAAGGCATATATAATAGGAAAAAAAATCCCAGATAAATATAATGCGTCACAAAAAAATTTTCCAGATAATATTAGAAAAAGATATCATAATTTCTTTATTAACGTCTAATGGAAAATATAGAACTTCCCTCCACAAAAGAAATATATTCTATACTGAGTATACTCTCGCAAGGACATTGGCATATTGCAAGAGTCAACAGTGCCCCCCTTCAAAATTTATGTTTTCACAAAAACAATTGCTGCTATACAGTTTAGGAAAAATATATTAATTTATCATCCTAATTATTTATGATATTATTCAACATCTGCTTCTACATACATACATAAAATTAAATTAAAGTTGCATTCACATTCCATTCACAATTTAATTTTTTTCATTATATTAGAAAATATATCATAAATTCTTCATTAACATCTAATGGGAAATACAAAACTTCTCTCTACAAATAATAAATTATATACTCTTGCAAGGACATTCTAACAGTTATCAGTGCCACATAAAACTCTACATTTTAGCCAATGAATGTTGAATATCACTCAACTAATTTGCTGCAGGATCAATGTAAACCAAAACAATTATGTACAAGGAAAGATCCTAGTCCAACAAATTTGCTTCACAATTTTTTTGATTGATGAAATATCTTAATAAATGAAAAGAAAAAATCCCATAATTTTTATGCAGAAAATGACTTTTTTTTTTTGTTCAAGGTCAAAGACCATGAGGTGTCCTCAAGCCCAAAGAGCTCAAGACTTAATATCCACTTACAGTTCATGACTGCCTATACAGATTAGCTTGAGGGAATTTTGCATATGGTGGGGTTTGAACACAGGATCTCTTGCTAAAATGCCATTATATTCCATGTCTAATTAATCAAAAAAATCAAGTCAAAGCCCCGAGTGCATACACAATTACTGGTATGAAAGATCCTAGTAAATAGATAATAAACACTAAATTGATAAAACAAACCAAAAGGTGCCCATTACCAAAATTAGTGATATTACAAGACAAACAAATGAAACAATTTCCAAAATAAAATTAGAATGGAAAAGAAGTATACTTTGATTATATCAAATCACCATGCATTATTTATGCATAAAAATTTTTCTGTTTTATTAAAAACATATGTATGTGTGTGCACAGCCCCATCATCAAGCCTACGATATTATTGCCTAATATTTTTTCTCTCACACGCACCAAGCACCAAATAGGTTAAGGACTAAGGAGCATTAAATACACTTGCCTTGAAGGCTTTCAATTACTGAATAAAACAAGTACTGGATCTTATTGTGTTTCTGGCATAATATATACTTTTGTCTGATAAAAACCGACTAAATATGTATTCATTAGGAATTTCCATTGCTAAACTACCGAATTTTTTTAAGCTTTGTTCCAAACATTGAAACATAATAATATTAACAACAACAACAATAATATAGCAAAATCCAAAAAAGATTGCAACTGGCATTCAATGAACAGGAGTTAAAAGCTAATTTCACAATAAGAATATTAAAGAAGGGAGAAAAAGGAAATCACGATTCAAATGGCACCTTTCTTTGTTGACCATCTAGTGGAGGAGGCCAGAACAATGAAGAGAACTGAAGACGGTCAATCCACCTTTCATTGGAAGCAACCATCGAAGAAGACGAAGACATCTATCTACCTTGGTATTCCCCTCTACCTCTGATTATCAAATAGCAATTATCCAAATTCCAGCCAAAACATGCTACCAATCAAGAATTAAAATATCGTAATTCACCATTCCCTGTTTACCATGCCCAGATATTTTTTACCTTAGTAATAAATTCATTACCAACAATTCATCATTCATCCACCAGGACAATTTTCAGAAAAAAAAAAAAAAAAAGACAGAAAGCAAATATAAAAGAAAAGAACCAAATACATCTTTACAAATCTATTGTTGATTTCTAAGTTTCTTTACACTGTAAACCCACGACTAAAAAATATACGATTTTTTTTTAAATAATGAAAATCAGAACAGAGATAAATCAAAAGCAAAGTCCTGCCAAACAGAGCAAAATCAAAATTAAAAAAAAAAATATAAACAAAAAATAACACTGAGAACTTTGTAGGAGAAATCTTGAATTTTCTCAAGGCCAAAGAGGTCAGCCAAAATTGAAAAGTCAGCACAAATAGCAAAAAATACATGCATATAATAATTAAAGAAAAAGAAACAAATATCTAACAACAACTCAGATTCACCACAGAAAAAAATGAAAAAAAATAAAAACCATCAAACCCACTTCAAGAATCAACACAAACCCAGGAACGAAATCTAAGAACACAGGTTTTTAATCAAGAAAAAATCAGCCATAAAAAATCCAAAGCAAAAAGAAAAAAGTGTACCTGAACACTAGTGTGTAGATAGCCGATTTTTATGAGAAATAAAAAATCTTGATTTGGAAGGTGAAAAAGCGTGAGTGAGAAAAAGGGAAATTTTCTAAATTTTTGGCTTTTTATCCGAAAAAAATCATTGAAGAAAAAATGAAGGGGTGGTGGTAAGTTTATGGGGGTAGAGAGACAGAGAGAGAGAGAGAGAAAGAGAACACAACTGGGAGAGAGAGAGAAAGAGAAGATCTTTAGGAGCTCTGAGAAGCCTAGATTGAATGCATACGTGGCAATGATATTTTCCTCTCACCTTATAGCCCTTCTGTCACGTCATGTTACTCTACCCATCCCATTCCATCTATGTATCCGCATCATGCATGCCCATCCATCATCATCATTACATGCGCCCGCGTCTTCATTTTGCACGTATTACTTTCACGCTTTCTTTCTTTTAATCTATCAAATTAATGTTAAAAATGTGCAGAGATAATACGCTGTAAATAATTTTATATAAGTTATCAAAAGTATTGAAGTGAATTAGTATTCGACTGGTAGGATTAAGTTGATTACTGATTTCTGAAATATATCTGGTCTTGGTATTATTTTCCACAAAATATTTAATTTTTGTGGAAAATTAAAATATTTTTCTTTAATTTTATGTTTTTTTTTCCACAAAACAAATAAAATTTTAATTCAACTAAAGGTGCATTCCAAATTATATTTGTCAATTAATAAAATTTAAATCTATAAATCGAATAAGAAATTTTTTTTTCACCATTAATCTAATTTAATACTTGTTGTCACCTGAATTAATATTCTTGAGTGATAAGTACTTTATTATATTAAAAAATATTTAAGTACGAACAAATTAAAAAATGAAACTTTTTAAATCGAGTAAAAAGATTATGTAAATAAATTATTAAATCAATAAACAATTCTTTCACTAATACAATTTATTAAAATTAAAAGTTTAAAATCTAAATTAATTCATATATATAATTTTTTTTTACAATGTATCTTTGATTTGATATAATACACCAAAATTAAAATAAGGCAAAATTAAGATTAGTATTTAAAGAAAATAAAAAATACTATGTGATTTTAAAAAAATTATAAAATAATCTTACACTGAAATAAAAATCTAAATATATAATATAAAGATAAATAATTTTATATTAAATTAATCACTTTTTTTTATTTCTCATCTAATTTAATTTGAATAGTCACACATTTAAATATAGTAAGTAAATTTATTATTAAAATTTTTTTATATACATAAAAATTTAAACTCAAAATTTTATTTAAACATTACTCAGTCACTTAAATTAGATCACTTTTAAGCTTTAGGTTAACAACATTTTAATTATGTGTTGAAGCAAGCTTGGACTAATTGGGTTTCACGTGATTGAAACGGGGAAAGTTGAAGGAAAATACGAAAGTGTCCTCGGCGTGATGAATTTTATATTGGGTGTTGTTGGAAAGTTAGAATAATCGGAAGGGAGCGGTCGATAAAATAGTATTTGGTGTGTTGCGGTGTCAACTATGGTAGATATTTGTGTCCAGTGTGAGGTCATTAAGGTCATGTTCATGTTATTAGGGCCTTTTCACCCTTCCCATTTTATTCCATCCACAGATTCATTCATTTCCAAGTAAGTTCTCATCTTTTATAAATACACCTTTTATTTCCTGAAAACTTTTTGAATATAAGTTGTGTTTTGATTGATGATATATGTGTTAATCTGTATGCTTTTCTTTAAGAGATTTTTTTGTTGTGTTCCAAGGTCCTCATCTTAAAAATGTTCTTGGTGTGCAAGTTACATCTTTTTGTCCTTTAAAAAACAAGCTCCACTTGAAAGTGTTTTTGATGAGTTATAGAATTACAAAAAGTCAACCAACGTTTTACCCCACTAAATGAACCAAGTGTTTGACAAAAAATTCCACATCCTTTGTGCTAACTGGCCATATGTGGCAGACATGGCTTGTCTTGTTGCCAGATTTGGCAAAAGCTGATAGGCACTGCTTTTGGTTGACTTAAAACTTGCTATCTCTTGCCATTTCTTTTTATAAAAAACTATATTACTTATATTATGAAACGAAATCATTCAGCTAACTTTCTTCCAAAGTGGATACATATTCATTTAGTAACGGCTAGTGCAAATTTTTTAAGTTTTTATAAGAAGACACGTTATTTAGTGCTGTTTGAAAGATACCGCCGCTAGTGCTACTTTCTGATTAAAATATACATTGAATTTTTTAAACATCTTATTCTATTTTAATATCTACTATTATAATATAATTCAAAAATAGTAACTACAAAATATAGAAAATTTCATACGTATCCCAGAAACTTCTACATAACTGTGTAACTTATTTTTTAAATATATAAATGTGTTTCTCTGTCATTTCTCAAACTGATTGTTGAGAAATGATAATCAACCTCAAGTTAGGAGCATAATTTTAGGACACATGTTCTTATTTTCAGAAATGAAAGAGACAAATTAGGATCACATTTTTATGATGGGAAGGTGGAAGTGGAACATGTTGAGTTTCAAAGAAGATGATGCGTTGGAGCAGAACGCAGAATTGTAGCAGTGAAGAGCCTAACCCGTAGCAGATTCCATTGCCGAAGAGAAAAGATCCGATCCAATCAAATGGGTGGGCCCAGGCCAACCCGCTGCCCGGGAACGCATCGTGCTACCACATTAGTGGCTGGCAGCGACCGGGCAGCACTTCGGTCAGCTAAGAAATATCTGGTGGTAAAGACGCGCAACCCCGAAGATATTTATTTGTGGACTCGTTGGCGAGTTAACTGTGTTGACTCGGTGGTGCGTGGCCCAATGGGGATGCAACTTTAGATATACAGAGATCTAATTCTCACCGCGTGACCATGCTTCGTTCCGTTGTTAATGTTTCGCACATTCAAATTTCCATCCCCAACTTGCATGTGGGTCCCTCCGTCGCTTCCAACATCATCATCTTCATCATCATGCCATGATGTGCATTCATCATGCCATCCGCTTAATGTGGGTCTTTGTTATATTAAATGCGCCTACAGTTATCGTGGCTGATTTTTATTGGCTCTGTAAAGTGATTTGTCTTTGCCTGCGTTGGATTCTTACTTTTATCGAATCGTGCTGCGGGTTTTCATCGATTTCACCAAAACGCCCTTCCTCGGTCAAAAAATGAAATTGTTTATTTATAGCCCCTTTTTTAAAAAAAAAATTATAATAAAAGGTTCTTAAAATATGATAATATATATTTGTTATAATCTATAATGTTTTTATATGGTTTTGAGTTTAATAAATCTATGCTTTAATTTTAATTTTTATATATTTTCTAATTATGTAATTTAATAAGAACGTAATTTATTTTAATGTCTGATTATTCAAGTATATTTCATATTAGTTTTTACAGTCATCCAACATTAATAATAATTAATGATATTGTTTGTTTCGTGCTTTTTGTTTTAATTTCATCAATTAAATAATATATATACACACACTTATTTATTAAAATGTATATTTAAATTTACTTTTCTCATTAAGGTCTACTTTTTTTTATATTATAAATACTGAATTTTATTAATTTTAACTTTTAGATTTAAGATAAATAATTAATAATAATAATGTTTTATTAAAAATTAAATATTTATTATAATTTTATAATTTTGATATAATGAATACACATTGGTTTATAAAAAAATTATATATGCTTAAATTCAACTTTTAAAAATTCATGTTAACAAATTTTATATTTATTAATGTTCATTAATAAAATTTGAATGTTGATTTAATATTTTATGTAAATACACTTGTTAAGTGTTATTAAAATTTATAAATAAGAATAATAATAACTAACATAAATTAATATGTTATATGACTTATAAATAAATTAATAATATAATCTGTTATGATAAATTTTAAAGGTTATAATATTTATATTTTAATTTTTTATATATTTTATTGAGTTAAAAATTTCAGTATTTTAATAGATCATTTGAAATATTTTTGAAGATAATATTTTTTTAAGAACCTAATTATAATAAATTTAAATGAGTTTTGTTTATAAAACTTAACTTTATTCTATTTTTTTTTAAGTTTGTTTATTTTATTTTTTAAATTTTTTATAACTAGTTTGATAGATTTAGTGATTGTGATTGAATTTTAAAGTTAAAAGTTTAAAAGAAATATTTTAGAATTAAAATGTGAAATAAAATAAAATAATCTTTAATTAGAAACAGTAACACACATAATTTGTTTAAATTATCTTTATTATATGCCCTTCTATAAATAGTATGCAAACATGTTTCTATATTTAACAACTTAAATAGTTATACTATTTTTTACATTGTCCTATTTTAAATTATAATATTTATAAATATAATTAATTAAAATTAAAAATAACATATTTTATCATAATTCTCTTGACAACAAATAACTTAGTTAAATTAAAAATTAATAATGTCTAAATAAATATAATTGAACTTTAACAAATACAATAAAAATGTTGTTTATAAAATTCGTTTAAGTTACTCAATATTTATTAACGTTAAACTTATATAGTGATAACCATATAAAATTTATTAATTTTCATTTGGACTATTTTTTGTTTTCATTTAAGTTAAAAATGATTAAATAATTTGTCTTCATAGTTTGCTTAAGTCATATTAATTTATTTAAACTAATACTTATTTACTTACGTAATATTTTTTTAAGGAACATTTATTTGAGTGAGGTTAAAATGACTTAAGCAAATATATTATATTATGCATATGTAACTCGAAACTTAAACATATAAGAAGAATATGAAAAATATTTAAAATAATATTCAATGTTCTATAAGTATGTTTGAAAATTTTAATTTTTAAAATTGTCACTTACGTATAATATCTATGTGAGAAAAATTAAATATGACATTTAAATATCATTGTAATTCTACAAAAATCTAAATAATAATTTTTAAATATTTAAAGAGAAATTTTATAAAATTTCATAAAAAATTAAATCATAAATTTATAAAAATCAATATTTTTAAGTAAAACTAAAAAATCTTAGTGGTTAATTATTTACAAATATATTTAACATTTTAAACATACTACCTTACTCCTATACCATTTAAATACACCATTTAATTATTAGCTCATTTTAGTTGGAGAGCTTAGAAAAAAATACTAATATGATAAACTTTTTAACTTTTTAAATATTAAAGCAACTTTTTACTAATTTAGAAACAGATTTTAAAAAATGTTATTTTGAAAAGCTAAAGTGATAATCAAAGAATAATCTTTCATTAGCTTTTTAACATCGAAATAATCAATACAAAAACTTAATGCAAATAAAATCTACATATATTTAATTTCTTTCATTAAGGGGTGTAAGACAATAAAATTCCAAGTAAGAAACAAGTCACAGTAATAAATGAACAAAGACTAATAAAATATGCTTCAAAGTTGTTAATAAAATTAAACATGAACTAGAAAAATGTTTAAAAGAACATATAAAGAACTTAATTTATGAAGAAGATAATTTCACGTCACGTACGTATAGATACAAGAATGATAATACCCCATATTCAAATTAAGATATCATATTCTTTTACTTATTTGGTAAAGTGTTGAACTACTCATCTGCTTCTACACTAATGCCATACAAAAATAATTTTGGATATAAAATAAACGATGACGACGTATTTACAATAAATAAAATAAAATCCGTTCTCTCACATTTATCTATCTAATCAAATCAGACCACAAATCATTGCAAGCTGCTTTGATCCTTTGAACGTACCTTGCTGGATGGACCAACCTATTGTCGTTCAAACAATGCTCGATGACATGCATGTTCCGTTCTAAGAAACAATATATTCAACGACACATATACTGCATTGCCTTATTCATATTTAATTAAGAAAATAAAACCTTCATACTATGCTTACTTTTAACTTACTTTTAAAGCTCTTTTTTTCAAAATCGTACATTACAGTGATTCTTAGATTTGAAAAACCGATGGAAAAATTCAAAAGGGTAACCCAGTAATTGAAAATATCTAATGAGCAAGGAATTTTGACAAAAGTGAGAAGAACAATCCAGAATGATGACAACTAAGCTAAATAGCAGAAAGAGGTGTTGGAATACGCAATGAACTAACCAACATGATTGGTACGCTTGTCCATTCCAACGGCCAAACAAACTCGTTACCTTGTTACTTATTCGATTTTACGATAATTTTATTTTAATAAACATAAACCGTACACGTGTCCATAATTATGCTATCGTCACTGTGTCGGCAAGTGATATGCTATTATAAAGTGTTTGGACGGCTCCAAAGCAGGATATAACTTCTTGCGTGATGTAACATCTGACTTGGTTTCCATTCACAACCAAAACCTAATCACTCCTGCTTTTTAGTTTGCTTTTGTTTCGTTACTTTTGCATCTTATTTTTTAGTGTTTTATTTTTATTTTTATACTTTCAAGACTCCAATGTGATCCATGTGTAATCATCCTTAACTGCAAAACACAACAAGAGTTTTCTGAGGAGTACACTGTCTGTAATGCATTATTGTCAATTTTCTTTTGCAGGTTTGGTACGTGTTTGTAGTTTGTCTCTTACACTGTTGAGATTTTGGCAATTCCAGATTGTTTCTACTATAAATATTATAATTCTTCAAATTGCTTGATCATGCTTACTTGTCAATGTTGTCATATTCTGTATATTGTAAGTGAATATCTACATGTATTTCCCCCTCTTTAATTTGTGCCGTTCATATTGTTCATTCTTACGGGTCTGGTTTGTCCAAGATGGAGTATGGACAAAAAATGAAGAAATTGTTTTGTTGTAATAATGAAGAACAATTGAGTTTTCAAGCAAAAACTTTTTCTAGGCATGCCAACATGATAAAGGAATTTGGTGGGTTTCTACACTCAATGATACAACCCATGTCTCTAAAATATTTCATTAACGAATTGTGGCAATAAAATGTGTTGTTCATTTCGATCATTGTTTTATTATTTGTATTTTTTAATGTGAAAGGTAAAGATGGCTGTGCCGTTAAAAACACTCTAGTTTAAAAGAAAAAACGCACTTCAAAAATAAAATGCAGTTATATATAGTAATTATTATAAGATTAATAATTGAGATAATAATGAAACAGAAGGTATTAAGTATTTGTAATCTTTATCAATATAATTTAAGTTTTTTAAATTTTTCTGTAAACTTTTAAAATAAATATAATTATTATTGTCACTTATTAATAATGTAACAATCATTTAAACATGTTGCGTCACTTATTGTATTAGAATAATTATTTATGTTACATAAATAAATGCATGTCACGTTAAAGTTCTGACAATGAGTATTTTAAAATTTTATGTCTTTGATTATGAGAATATATAAACCATGTGAGAGCCCACTTTAATTTAGGAGTAAAACATTAATGTCAAAATCCGTATTGTTTCTTTCTTTTATTTTCTTTTACATTTCATTCCATCTAAACAACTATCAAGAAATTATCTTATTTTCATTTTTTAAATTCTTTCAATTTAAAATGCATGCTTTTCTGTTTTGCTTTCGTTTTATTTTTGTGTTTTTTCTTCTTTATTTCTCATTTTTCCTGTCCAAACTAAGTGTTAATCTCAATCCACTTAAGGTGTTCTATAGTATTGACGAAAAAAAAAAGTTACTCTAAACTCTAGACTTCTGTTAAAACCTTCATATTTTTTATCTTGATTTTGTTGCTCTTGTTTTACATTGTAAATTTACCATTTTTGTTGCAACCAAATATTTTGTAAGCATATAAATCAAGGTTGTTAGATTTTTAAATATTTTCCAGGTTAATATCATGTATGAGAGTGGATGTGTGAGATTATAAAAGAAATATAAGCTTCTTTGGTAAAGCGAGTGTTTGTGCTTATGTCACCTCAAGCATTTTTTCAAGTAGAAAACAGTCATTTACCAACACACTTATCCAACTTAGAAGCGCTTCATATCACAAAATCAATTGGTAAATCGAATTCCACTGACTTACCAAGTTATTCCAACGAGACAAATTCAATTCCACCATTATCTAAAAGCTAAAAAGAGAGTCCGAAATTGAATAAAGAACACTGTTGGACATAGCTCAAGTGGATGGATGAAAATATAGGAGAAAAAGTACAAATTTCAATTATGATTGTAATTGATGACAAAAAATATAAAATGCTCGAGAGTTATAATTTGATGCTAACAATTTGTTTAGATAATCAGGACACGAATGAAATATTGTATTAAAAATCCATTATGCGCATAATTAATTTGCTTAGATATGTTAATTCACAATTCATATTAGAACTATATAAAAAAAGTCACCTTTACGAATTACATTGTCATAAAAGTGGCATGAAATGGTTAAAAAATGCATTTTTGAAATGGATTAAAAAATTATTTAATTAATGACATAGTAGTATTTATAATAACACTGACAACGGGTTATAAGCAAAAGCAAAACAGTAAAATCATACATTTTGAAAAAAAATTGTTTTCAGCATAAAGTATTTTTGGACATTTTTATTTTAATTTAGCAAGTCTTCAAAAAGTGAAAAGAGCTTTTATGATGTGGAAGTTTTTTAGTCGCATTGTCATATGAAAAAGTTGTTTTTCTTTATTTTTCTTGTTCATGGAAAGTTTTTTTTTTCCCCAAAAATTTAATAAAAAGGTGACGGGCCTTCCAAACTGACAAATGGGTAATGATTTAATGACATAGCCCAGCCCAGAATAGCATAAAGTTATATATATCTTCCAAGTTGCATTTGCAGACGAAAACAAGATTAAAAGTGGCAACGTTGCTTGAATATGAAAGGTTGGATTTTTCACGTCACGGGAGTGACCCCGATGAATCAGAACAAACAACCTTAAACGTGAATCCGACATCATTATCCATGGTTGTGAAGATGAACCTGCTCTTCTTCCTTCTTCTTCTAGCTTCCACACCTTCCTCTTCTCTTGCCAGGGGTTCCTGGCAAAGCCTTGTTCCTTCAGGTCTTCTTTGCATCTCAAACTGTGCATCAATGCTCTCTGAATGCTTATTTTTCTTTCCTTCTTTTAAAAAAAATCTGATTAGAACAGGGAAAGAAATGGGTTCGTTGAAATTTGAGTCTTTTGAATTTTTGCTCAACACAATCTGAAACTCATTGTTGAAGTCGTAACTATATTTAAGATTTGGTGGTTCTTTTATAGATAATTTTTTAACTTCTTGATGTTGTCAATGGATGAGATTGTGGATAATGCTTTATCCTTTTCTTGCTCAATGTATCTTGGCTTGCTTGTGGATTTATATTGTCAGTTCATTTTTATTTCAGCTGTTTGCTTTAGAAGTTTACTGTGAAAGATTACAACTTTGGGAGTCGGAATTTACATTGTTGTGAAAATTAGATTGATAAACTTTTCTGTTTAGCTTGAAAGATGGATTTTTAGTTTGGACTTTGGAGTTTCTAATTGCATGTTTATGTTGGGATTAGAAGACTTCAATAACCATAGTAATGCAAGCCGTGCAAGGCATTTGCTGGATCATGACGAGTCTCAGGCTAAGACAAGGTAATCATTGCTTTTATCTGGATACCCATGACATGATTATTGCTATGTTTTGTTCTACATTTAACTTCAAATAGTGTGTTTTCATTTTTATCATCTAATTATTTGTTTTCTTTAGCAGTGTTGATTTGGCACTAGGATATATGACCAATGCTGACCTTGAAAGGGCCATTAAGGAATTTGGACAAAGATGCAGTAACATTTCTAGGATATACAGGTGATTCCTCATACTTGTGTAATGCATCTTCTTGATTATCTATCTCAAAATTATGCCTCAATAAAGGACATTAGAGCATAATGTTCAGTCATTCCATCTTTATTGAACAAATTAACTTCTGAAAAAGGCAGTGCTTCTTCTTACAACTTTTAAACTGACTGGAGATTTGTTTCTCTCTTTGAGGGATTCTTGGAATGGGCTATTAGTATTGGGAAGAGTGTAAATGGAGTTCCACTGGTAATCTCTCTTTTTTTTCTTCTTTTTGAAGTTCATTAATAACTTACCTTCGAATAAAAATAGCTTCATTTAAGTGAGTGTTGTCTTTCTTTTGTTTTCCTCCATTCCATATAGTGGGTTATAGAGATTTCTGACACGCCAGGAGAAGAAGAGACTAAACCTGCATTTAAGGTATGTGTTTTGCATCCGATACAAGTGAAGTAATTTGCTCGTGGTATTGCTTTATTTTAACTTTATTGATTGAAGTTAGAACATGATGACACATTGAGTGGTAGGAACAGACAAAATTATTGAAATAACTTTTCCATTTATTCTAATCCTCTTGATTCCCCTCCCTTTTTACACGTTTCCATAGTTAATGACTTCATTGAAATAAAACATAAAAAATCTGTAGCATTATATTAGAATAACACCTATTACTTAAGAATTCATGTTCATGAATGTTTCAATCGGTGTCAATGTGTCATATGGGATACTTGTCGTGACAGTTCAATGCTGGAGGCGATTTTGAACAGGTTTGTCTCTTGAATATAAATTTCAAGATTGTGATATTCGAAATTCTTTTTGTTCTCTATTAGGAACACCAATGCATTCTACATGCATCAATTTTCTGAACTGGCAGGAGTTTATTGGGGTAAGTGGTTAAATAATTCAAGGATTTGAAGTGTAAAAGAAATCATTGGCATATAAGTGTGTAAAATACATCTTTCATAACTCATAAAAATTACACTCCATGTTCAACACTTATCTAAAATAATGATCTCAGATAACTTCTGATAAGATGTTAAATAATCCTAGGAACTACTTCCCAATTATGCTTTTTTTTTAACTTGTGCATTTTTGCATGAGGTTTAGCAAATTCTTGTTGCATTTTCTCTCAATAAATTCTTCTTTTCTTGGATTTTTTTACTCATATATGGATTAGTAGTTTTGTGGCTTTGATTTTTGTGATCTATTCTATATTTATACTTTTGCCTTTTGTTTATTAATTCCCTGAAGAATATTCTGTTGTTCTGTATTCAGCAACTCTATGACCAATATAATACTGAATATGCAGTATATTGGGAACGTGCATGGAGATGAACCTGTAGGGCGTGAGCTTCTTATATTTTTGGCTAATTGGTTATGTGATAACCATTTGAAAGATCCTCTGGTATTTTTCTTTCCTGTATGTGCACAAATATATTCTGACCTCTTTCCCTGCATTTGTTGTGCATGACAAGTATGTGCCTTGGCTGTTATTTTACTGATACTGTTGACAGGAAGTTTATAAATTGGAGCAATATCTATTATTGAGCACACAAACTCTAGTGATTGGCCCAAAGTTGTTATACAGCCTTATAACAATCTCTTCATTTTTTCCTATATTGAAACGTCTTTTATTTTAAAAAATAGAAAGAAATCCATCAAATCAAGGCTTTTCCATCTTGTTGAATATCCACCTGTCAAATTTCATGAATAATGCCAGAGAAAGGAATGGTCCATTCATTTCAATTTCAAATGACTGAATGTGAAAAAACTCTGCATTTGTGTTATCACATTTATTTAATAAATAATATGAGCTATATTTCCAATATATTGGAATTCAGTTTCGGTATTCTCATCTTGCATTTGTCAGTGACACTATTATTATTTTATGATTCAGTTTTTACAGAGTCTGACTTTTTTTCAGGCAACATTGATTGTGGAGAATGTTCACCTTCATTTACTTCCATCAATGAATCCTGATGGGTTTAGTTTAAGAAAGCGTGGTAATGCAAATAATATTGACCTGAACCGGGATTTTCCTGACCAGGTATATTTTTTTAGAGTAATCTGTATACAGTATGTTAATGAAATTGTTTGAAGTTCATTTTTACTATGAAATCTGATCCTAATATTACAATAATTATTGATTTTTTGGCTGTCATGGTCATAAGATTGTTATAATGCTTGATTTACATTTATAAGTGCTTTGCATTAAATTTATGATTCCTTTTATTGATGATTTTAATATTAGGACCATGAACTTTTACTTTCTGGATATGGATGTATACATATTTTTTCCTTTTTTTGGCATTTAATTTAAATTTAAAGTTGCACTTTCTATATTTATTTTGTTATTTGTTATAATTACCTCTGTTTCTTGCTATAGATAATCTGAACATTAACCTATGATGTCTGTCTTAAATGAAACAATAGTTCTTTTTTATAAATGATGATGAGGATTCCCGGCAACCTGAAACAAGAGCAATAATGAATTGGTCGCGAGATATACGATTCACAGCATCTGCCACTTTGCACGGGGTACTACTTCTTTGGAATCAACATATAGGTTTCTTGATTTATTTATTTTTTGTGATGTCTACACTTGGTGAGATTTTTGTTTCCAGTTTTTCTTTTACATATGGGGATCCTGCTACACATCATGGAATTCTACCCTTGCTTTCATTCTACAATCTTTCTATTTTTTCTATTAGAAGATACACAGCGCAGAAGCAATTATATGATAAAAGTTAGAATATGAGGTTAAGCAGTTTGAACTGCATGGTTCCTGCTTTCTGAAATTCTGGGAATTTTTTTTTTCCAGTTAGTTTATTTTGTTTTATATTTCTTCTTTAATCCTATATTTGGATGAAGAGAAATAAAAAAAGGTGGAAAGAAAACATTTAAAATTTGAAAAGTTCTATGGTTTGGTTGAAAAAGAAAGTAGAGAGGAAATTAGATTCAAAAAACAAAATTTTCCTTCTATGTTTTTTCTTTATTTCAAATTTCAAAATCTCTCCTAATTGTTTCCTTGCATCTGAACATAGTTTAAATGAAAACTGAAATGTAGGAACTTCATTGCATTGCATTCTGCCAGCATTTACATAACTCGTTTTCATTTCTTCACTGACGTCAACTTTTCTTGATTTTCATTTATGGTTGAAAAGGCCAACCTATGTGAACTAACCCTGAATAGTTCATCTTGTAGAATTGTTTATAACTTGTCTACATTTGTATTATCAAATTTAGATACAAAGTTTGTTCATTAATGGTGTCTTTTTTTTAAAAAAAACTTCAGGGTGCACTTGTTGCAAATTATCCATGGGATGGTACTGATGATAAAAGGTGGTACTTTTATTTTTTTTGTATTCATTACACACATTAATTTGCACTTTGTGTCGACTTTGCAGCACATTATGTGTTTTTCACATGGTCACCATTGACTTGTAATGTTTTATGAAATTGAATGTTGAGCGGTAAAAAGCCAACGGAAATGTAGTAGAGATGAGAATGTTGTGTTGGATGAGCAACTGGGCATACTAGACAACGTAAAATTAGTAACAAAGGTATTGAAGAAAAAGTAGAAGTAGCACCTGCTGTAGAAAAGATGGTAGAAGCTCACCTTATGTAGTTTAAGCATTTGTGGAAAAGAACTGTAGATTTCCCAATGAAGAGAGTAGGTTGGATGGAAGATCCCAATCACTAGAGGTAGAGGGCAACCAATGGAAACTAAAGCCCAAACTACTTAGACATGATTTATGCTACATTATGGCATCGTTTGATCCATGAATCTAACCCCTTCTATTGGAAAAGAAAGGCTTGGTTATTGTCGTAGTGGTTATTGTTCTACTAAGTGTTCTATGTTTAATTGTTATGTTTGTTAAGTTGGAAAATGATTACCAATCTTTGTTTCCTGAAGCTTTCTTATCGGATGACAAATCTTTTGCTATTTGAAGTTATTAACATTCTGCAAGTGCTATGTTCTATTGTTATTAACATTCCGTGAGTGCTATGTTATAATGTTATTAAATTGGAATATGGTTACCAAGATTTGATTTTTGAATATTTTTTACTGTATGTAAAATCTTTTCTATTCTAAGTTATTAATTATTTCATTAGATATCAAAATAACTTTCAGACCTTATACTCATGTCAGCAACACCATGGGAAATATGACTTTAGGGACATATGTGATGTCAGATACTGTTTGTCTCTTCTTGCTTTCACACCATCTTCAGTACATTACATTTATGCTGGGATGTATAATGATATGCTCCCAATCTAGACACTTGCATTGAATTTGTCTATTAATATGAATATATTACAGGACAAAGTACTATGGATGTCCTGATGATGATACATTCCAATTCATAGCAAGCATATATAGTCACTCACACTACAATATGTCTTCAAGCAAGGAATTTCTCGGTGGAATTACAAATGGAGCAGCTTGGTATTGTCTAAAAGTACTGCATTGAAGTTCATAAATCATAATTGAAATCTGTTTCCTTTTTATATGTGCACAAATTACAAATGATAATCATTGCAGGTACCCTCTATATGGAGGAATGCAAGATTGGAACTATATACATGCTGGCTGTTTTGAGTTGACCTTGGAAATTAGTGATAATAAATGGCCTAATGCTGCTGAGGTTAGTTTCAATTTTTGAATCTGAGCAGTCCCTAAAATTACAAGTATATCTGGTGTAAGGTAAAATAATTATTAGAAGGGAACTTGAAAAAAGCAAGATAATCTTATAAGATCAGGTAAGAGAATATGTTTTCGGCTGACATTATCCTGTAGATTGTCTGAAGCTGGATGAATTTCCCCTCAGACATAATGAAAACCAAATTTTAGTAATATAACTGTTCATTCATTTGACAAATTTTACCCAGATATTGTTCACTTCATTTTAAAGAAAGTTCTTCATTTTCAGTGATCATAAGTTCTCTCCACATAACACAGCAAGTATGATTTGGCTGTTACACAGTCTAACTGGAAACCCCATTGTCTGACACCATCATAATTTATTTTTGTTTCTTTGCATTGAGTATGAGATACCAATAGGCATGTAGGAGTGAAGACCATAAGGTACCAGACATGCAGTGTACTATACGCTGGCTAAAAGGAATATTCACTAGTGGAGAAGGTGTGAGTTGTCTGAGAAAATTATTAAAAGGAGAGAGAGGACGAGAGGGAGGGTAAACAAGAATTAAGAAGAGAGGTTTTGGGAGGCTGGAATATTCTGTTAATCTGCAGGATTTCCTTTATTTTTCAGCATTATTTGTCTTTCGTGATTTCAATCTAACCTAAGGTCTACCTATGCTTATAAGGAGCTTGGTTTCCGCTATTTCTACCCTAATATTGAGTACTTGTCAGAAACTTGGTAAACATGTTTGACATCTACATGTTATTGATATTTTTTTTTTTACTTTTCATGGAGAAAAATTTCTTTTGATGACACCTGTTTACTTTGTTAATATTTAGCTTCCCATTCTTTGGAGATACAACAGAATGAGCATGCTTAACCTTGTGGCAAGCCTTGTGAAGGTATGCTGTTTCTGTTTATGTGCAAAATGCCTAAAGAACTAATATCAAATATTTTTACTGTCCTTTTCCTTTATAAATCAGAATATTTAAAAAACCCTTGAATGGTTCCTGTAAACTATTTCAGAGAAAAGAATGTAGGAGACAACATCCCTGAGTGAATGTTTAGTTATATGTATATGAGTGACCTTGACCTTACGTTTCAGTTTATTTACAAAGAGAATGAGACTCTTGACAGCCTGTCGTACAAGTCTGTAGTACAAGAACACTGATAATACAGCTATATAAAATACAGATATTTGCATACAAATTGCTATAATGACTACTATTTAACCAGTTTCCAATAGTAAAATCATGTTTTCTTTTTGACTGTTAAAATTACTTAACTCACCTTTGCACTAGGATAATGCCGATAGAGATCAGGTTAAGGAAAAAATAAGAATTAGTAAATAAAGTTTCTATTATGAAATTCTCAATGGAACTGAACATATCATGTATCACTAACTCCTATTATAGTTTACAGTAATGTGGATTTGTAGGCATGTCATAACAAGTAACTCATGATCTGCTGTTTCATGTATCCTTTATATTTTTAATACCGATTGCCAAGTTACCAACTAAGGCCGTGAAGACTTTTATGTGATTGTCTGCTCAGAATATGTTTAAAGGGCAATGTGGACAAAGAAAATGAAAGTTTAGAGGGGAGTTCAGCACACTGAACTGCTTTCCATCGACTGCTACAATGAGTACATTATCCTTTAGCAGACACTGCGATTTCCTTTGATTTCCAACACATCCCATTATTCCTGTCAATTTTCACAGACGTTGAAGGAAACCTGAAAGATTCAGTTTCAAATAAATTGCTGAATGCTTGAAATGAGATGCACAATTATATTTGATGACAGTTCCATACTTTTGTATATAGGGCTCAGTTGTTTTTAATTTTTTCCATTATAGTTTTATTAGATTGATTGGCTATTTGTTTTGTACTCTCTAGACAGGAGTGCATGGAAGAGTATATTCTTCAGGTGATGGAAGGCCACTACCGGCCTTTATAACCGTCAGTGGAATAAATTACACGGTATGTGTGAAAGTATATTTATGGTTCCTCCTCGTGATCCTTTAAAATTTGTTGTGTCTATTTTTTCTTCCTTCACTATGACTTTTCCATGTTAAGAAGTATGCATCTTCACATTTTTGTTCAATTATTAGATAATGACATCAGAGATTTATGTGAATTTCCAAACATGCTCCAATTTTGCCATAAAAATTGCACGGGTCACAAGGATTAGTCTGATCCCATGACATGGAATATGCTTTTCCTGTTATTAAATGTTCTATGCTCCATGATTCTTGTGTATCTTTGAATAAACTTTCTTCTTCTATTGCAAAAAATAAGGGTTCTGATGACAGTGAATCAATGAATCTTTATGTTGTTCTGCTTGATAGAAGTAATTTTCAATTTATCTAGATAAGAAAGGCCTATGGTAATTCGCGAATAGTAATTTTCATTCATATACTACATGAAGATTAGAAAATACTATGAAAGTGGGGTAAAATTGAAATCAGTTAGATGGAGGAAAAGGAAATAGAAAATGAGCAGAAATATTAGAATATGGGTATTTCACAATTCTAGCAAAGAATTTTTCCTTCTTTTCCTTTACGCTTTTTAGAATTGGTTATGTCAAAAATAAAGTAAAATTCTGACACTTCTTTGTTTGATAGCTTGAGTGCTACGTGGCCTACTGCAATAATGTGTTTATTATAATAAGCATTTCCTGATATATAACTTTTAGGAGCTAGTGGTCTAAAATAATATTCAAAAACAATAAGAAAGATTACATTTTTCTGGTTTTTGTAAAATTCTTTCCCAGCGTTGCCTTTTCATACAATGCTGATCTATATATTTGACTGATTGACCTATTAGACAATAATATGTTTCAATTTTTAGCCTATGGATTTGTTCCTTTGCTATAGTTCTTGATATTTCTCGGCACATTTGATTTTGAGCTTCACTTTTTTGGGTCTGTTAATTTTCTGGACCAACAGGTTAGAGCTGGAAAATTTTTTGGTGACTATCATCGCTTACTTGCACCAAGAGATAAATATGAAGGTATTACTATAAATTTCTGATTATTTCATCATAGTCCAGGTTGAAGCCTCCCTGAAGATATTCTGAAATAATTAAATAATAAAAATGACTGTCTCAAGATTTGATGATTTAGGTGGGTTCTTAAGTTGTTTGAAGACAAATTAAATAAATTACATCAAATAAAAAGGCTTAGGACATTTACTTCCTTAATATTCCAATTAAGTGAATTGCTGACAAAGGGAATACAGATTACATTGTATGATAAGTGACAATTTCATCACTACCCTGATGACATTATCCTGGTTTTTATCTTAAATTATGCAATGTTCTGTTTCTGAATGTGTGTAATCAATTTCTCAATTATAAATTGCAGTAGTGGCAACCATGCCTGGCTACAAGTCAAAGAATACATCTATTTGGTTGGATGAAGGCCCGGTGACTTTGGATTTTGTTCTTGACCCTGAAGTCATTGTCAAGGGGAGTGTACTGCAAAATATCTATGATTGCAACTGTAACAGTAAAAACAAACTAGAATTTGTTCAGTTTTTTGGGGGAGTTCACTTGGAAGTTTACTTTGTTTTCATTGTTATTCTAGGATTTCTATGCTTATTATTTCAGAGGAGAGCAAAAGCCAAACTTTCAACAAGCAGAGCAGCGGGAGCAAAAAGAACTGCTGTGGTTTGAGTTGTTGGTTATTTGTATTAAATTATGTTCTATACTTAGGTGGCTAAAGAAATCAAACCTTTTTCTTGTAAAAATTTCTTCAGATGGCTAACGTAAATTCATGTTATTGAATTCTGTTCGAAGAAATTAAACGTATTTCCATTTGAATAATATTTCTGCAGATGAATGACGTTAGTTCATATTACTCAATGCTTCGATTCTTGAAATGTGTGGCCCACTTTAGTTCTAGAAAAGGAAGAACACGGACGAAAAAAGGAAAGAAATAAAAAGAACATTGCGCAAGATATCCAATCGCAATGATGCGTACATTGTTAATGATTTTTTCAAAAATGAAATTTCTCAAGAATTTAGCTCTTCAAAGTTGATGTGCTGCTTCCTTGTTTGTCGTGAACTTCATCGACCAAAAGTTTAACAAATAAATAAATATCTTCTTGTCAAGTAAACAAAATAACAGTAAATACCCGAAGAAAAATGTTTAGAAGAAACGTGCACCGTGTGATCGGGGAAAGCTGGAGCAAGAGTTAGTTCAATAAGGTGCTGGAATTAGACAAGTGTACAATATACCGACACAAGGTTGTACAGCTCCAATATACCCTAAATATATTCTGAGCCTTCATTGTTTTTTCTTCCTTTATTGTCCCTGTTCTGTTGCTTGGTGTTTGAGTGAAAAGAATAATTTTCTGCAGAAAAGATAAGATAGAAAAAAAAAATGTACATTTGTTACAGTCGGTGCTTTGTCAGCCTTGCTAGAGAAAAGTCCAGGTAGGCCCAGATTTTATTCAATCTTTACAACAGCCCAAATGGGCATGTTTTGAGCTGGACTCATTCAGGTGGCATTAAATTAGGAATGAAGTAGAGGAAGAATCTGAATAAAGAGTGGCTCATTAGTCATTGCAATCATGAGCTTAAATTAAATAGCTCTTGCAACATCATCAGCTTAATCATGCCTAGAAGAAACTCGCTTCTGAGCCTCAGCTTGGGGGTGCCTCTGAGCAAGAATTTGCTTTGTCTTCTCAAGAACACCAAAAAATATTGAACCTCCAACTCCTATCCACAGAACTCTAGGCCCAATACCCTGCAGAAAAATGGAAATGTAACATAGTTAAGGGCCTTTTTACTTTGAGGAAATGTTTTCACTTTTAACTATGAAAAGGTTATCTTGTTTTGAATTTATTTTATTTTTCTAAAGATTTGTATACAGTAAAAGCAATAAAAAACTTATTTTAACAGTTTCCTATATAAACTTTTAAAATAAGAAAGAGTATGAAAATAAGCAGTATTTTTACAATTAAAAATAAAAACAGAAAATATTTCCCCAATAGTCCTAGATTCTGGAAGTTATTTGGTTTAAATAAAACTACAATTGTAAATATTGATTAGTGTTACTCTGAATTTCAAGAAATGACAATACCTTAAAAAGAGCATGAGTTCCTTCTTCTTTAACTATTGTCCTCACACAATCAAAAATGCCTTTGTAATGGTTTTGTGATCCCTGATGCTCCAAAAAGAGAGAGAGAGAGAGAGCGAAGGAGAAAGAATGTAATATTCAAATCAAACGTGTGAAAAAAAGGGGAATTTGAAATAAACAACTCCTATTAGAAAATTTTTCCACAAAGGAAAAATAACTGCAAAAATGGTTATTTTGTATAGTACTCAGCCATTAAAACGAGATCTTACTGGCCTGCTTGACCGATTGGCCCCCAGTACAGACAACTTAGAAAATCAATAGAACAGAAAACCAATCAAGAACTGGCCAAAACCAGATAATTATTGATGCAAAAACTCAGCTTGAACCAGTCTTTTATTTATTTTTCCCTTTTTTGGTTAGTTGTTTAGATTGCTAATGTACTACGATCTTTTCATAGTCTAAAATTTCACCTAATCAAATTTTCTAATAATTTTAGAATAATCAATTGCTTGATATATTATAAAATATATATTATTTATTAATTAATTGCTTTCACTAATTTAATGACCAATTTGATTTTAAGCACATGAGGAGTGCTAGTAACACACTCTTAGTTTATGGCTGAAAATTTATTAAAAACTACTAACGTACGAATCAAATTCATTAGATTATGAGTAAAACTTACATAGTTTTTGTAATTTTTAATAATTTTAGTTGTTAATAAAGAATATGTTTAAAAGAGTATGTTGCTAGTATTTCCCTAAAAACATTGGTAATATTAATGTAGTGGCATAACACCTAATATAACCACATTCTTCATTTCATAGCAAACTTATATAAAAATAGACTTGTGTTTGAACCTCTCCCCAAAACCCTTTCAAATAACAAGCAACAAGCAACAACAACCAACAACCAACAACCAATCCTTATTTCACTATGTGAGGTCGGCTAGCTTTCAAATAACAAGCAAAGAAAAAAAATTTATTTGTACCTGAACCATCAATCTGGTCTTTATTACATCAAGAGGAGTGGTAACTGCTCCAGTTATGGCACCTATTAGGTAAAAAATTTACCATTCTCAGTTCAAACAAGCTGGGAAGGATGTTATTTCAGCATGAATAGATGGAAAATAAAAGAAAGGTAAAGACTAATTTGAAGCTAAATTTAGCTGGTACAATGCTTCCTTATGGTCTAGTTACTAATTTAAATTAACCTTTCTTTGGGGAAGGGACAGTCATTTGTTTAGCATGTTGCAAATTGTCATACTATCTTCCATTTAATGGGACTTTTTACTAACTTGTAAGCCCAGCCGATTATAAAATAGTTTAGCTTTCACAGCAAAAGTTATGGCAAAGATTAGGAAATTATTTGGAAAAAATAAGGACTAACAATCATTATATAAAACAAAATTAGAGAAAACATTATTCATTAAGATACCCTTTAACCAGAAACCAAAGTAAAGGAATAGAAAATCCACATGAATTTAGCAGCACATGTTGGTCATGAATTCCAGGAAGAAAAGAGTAACACGTACTGACAGTTGAAGAACAAATATCAAAGAATCGTTGAATACTTTAAATAAAACTACTAATAGATATGTAGTACCAGCCAATGCCCCAAGCATAGCATTCTCTGGATCATTCAGATCTCTTTTTGCCTACAATGAAACAAAAAGTCAAGAAAATATCAAGTACCTCTACAGAGAGTGTATAAAAATTTGTTAGCATTGCTCAAGATCATATGCATCAACCACTATGGTGTACAGAAAATGAGAAAGGAGATAAACCACATTCTCTCTTCAACTTTGTCTAAGTAACCTTGACTCAATCATAAGCTTTCTAAAAATTGGGTTTTAAAGACTAAATGTTGCATCTCTTGCTACCTCATTTGCAACAAGTGCCACACCCAAAATGTGTATACTGAGAATGAATTCCCTTTGGTTTCTTCCTATCTTATAGCACCTCATTCAGGCAAAAAGTGAGAAATTTTGTAGTATCTTATAATATATATGCTAGAAAGTAGAAGCCAAACAAATTGATCTAAAGTCACTTAATCCTGAGCCAATTACAATAATATCTGATAAAGTGATGCCTAAAATTCAAGAAGAAATTTAATATTCATCAGAAAAATTACAATGAGCATAGCCACAAAGAAGATATATAATTTTACATGAAATAGAATGCTTCTTTGATTTATAGACAATTTAGTACCATTGGTAACTTTTATAAAAATACATATAAATCAATAGACAATTCAAACATTAAGCATACCGCCAGTTTATACCCAATCCGGAGCTGCTCGTAAATGCATAATTCTATGGCATCAAATGGTAAATCTCGCAATAAGAAAGATCCATATCCCTACAATCTCACAAAAACAAAAGTTGAGGTTCGTTAAGTCAGGTAAAACAAACAAAACAAATTAGCATTATATATAATTTTCAAATAGCATGTAAATTGGAAAACCAAAAAAACAATGTAAAAGCATTATGGTTCTGACTTCTGAGCATAATCCTGAAAAGAACATCATATCTCCTCTCTAACATAGCAACATAAAACTTCTTTAGTTCTCTGAATAAAGAGCACCCAGAACAATATTTAAAAGCAAAAATCATAGGCTACCTTGAGATTAATGAATAACTAATTATTGGTCATTCCTAAGATGTGAAATTAAGCAATACATACCGCATAAAGACCTTTAAAACCCTCATTAGCAACAATAAGACGGACAGCAGCTGGGGCTGATCCAAATTGCCCAATTTGCATCCTTTGCTTAATAACCTAGAAAGAAAAAAAATCAATTCCAAGTTCAAGAAAGCAGAAAATATTTGGCTGTGTCAGAAGTAAAGTTGCTTACCTCTGTTGGAACACGAACAAGAGAAGAAGCAATGCCTCCAATAGCACCTGCAGCCTGTATTCAGCTTCAGTGTATCAAAATAACATTTTTTTAAAAGAAATGTCACCCAGCTCTAGGTCAGGGTGATAGGCTAATGGCTTCTGCGCCAATCACATAAGACAAGCTTGATGTTGAACCCATCAACATAACAGCTCACCAAAAAGTTCAGTTAACTAATCGTATCTTATAACTTTTATTTATATGTATCTGTTTATATGCCTTCTGATTTATTTTGTTTCTATGTCTTATAATCATTGTGCAACTAGATAATTGACTCAAGCTATATAGACCGAAGTTTTTATTAAGTCTACTACAAGTGTTGCAAACCATTGTTAAAATATAATAAAGCTGGTATCTGCATTGGATTGATTGATAAAAAGTTTTGGTGAAATTTCTTGTAAATCTGCTGAATAACTAAGGTTACAAAATTTTGGATATCTATAAGGCTTCAAATTAGAAAAGGTTAACTTTGGGGCATTGGTGGATCACATCTTTGCAATGTCTGTCTTTTTTTCACGAAGGTTGAAATGTACCTATGATACGTATAATTGTAAATATAATAGCACTTCATTATCATATAAAAGAACTATGCTCTTGTGTTTCTGGTCAAGTACTGGCCTTGCTGCCACTCCTACTCGGTTGTGAATCCTATGATTTATCTGAGCTAAGCAATTCTCGGAAATCAGTATATTGGCATCAAGATATAAAAAAAAGTAACATGAAAACTAAGAATTCTGAAAGGGGCTGGGGCTGAAAAGCATCTCCGCATAAATATCTAAGGTGAAAGTTGGTAGCACACGTCTCCACATAGACAAGTTGAATAGAATGTCTCTTTTTAGTGAAGAGCAACTTACAAAATGAGCCACAGCACTGAGATTTTCAGGCAAGGACTTTAATAATTGCTGCTTAGTGGGTTCATATACACCAATAAAAATTGCTGAAGCTCTGCAAGAGTGGACAAATTGTCTATCAGGCATATGCACTGCATAAATTAATCAATCAAAAACCAATATTTTTGCTTTGAAGAAGGTTAACGGCCAATATGCCCTTAAAACTATCTTCTCGTAGTACATTGTATTTTCAGACAAAATTCAGTACACAACTGTGCATTTTAAGTTAAAAAAGCATGTAAACCTGTACTATGGGGTATTCAACCAGCATGATGGCATTGCCTAGCTCGTACTACAAGTTCTAAAATTTTCCACCTCTAACCTTTCTATTCCATAATGGCAATAGTTTGAACACTATCCTTGGTATAACTTATGTGGGAATATAGCTAGACCTTGATGTTATATATCTGTTGCTGAAAACAAAAGCTTGAGTATTGTGTTATGTGAGGTTTAGTCTTACTGTGAAGCCCACTGCATTTTAAAGATCCTCCAAGTTAGCTAGTTGTTAGTTAGTCTAACATAATGACAGCTGTCACTGTGATCTAGCTACAGCTGCATCAGATAACTCCATAAATATAGAGTTCAGTTGTCTTTCTTAATGATTACAAGATTCAGAAATCAGAAAAACAAATTTTCTCTCATTATTTTCATTCAGTTTTTCAGAAACTCTCATTTTCTTCTCTCATGGTATTAAACTCATCATAACAGATCAACCTGCTCATAATAATGAAGTTTGTACAAACATGTGTCAACAAATAAGATATTTATGATTAAATTACAAATACCCAAAGGTGGGACTTGAATACAGACCATCTTTTTCCTGTGTTGAAGATATGAAGATATACAAACTGCCTTTCCAGAAACTAAAAAATTGCTTTATCCCTAATAAGCATTAAGAGAGAAGTCCTAGTGAATGATTAGAAGGTAAACAAATATTCTTTTAGTCAATTCCTAATAGATAAAACCAGAAACAGGAATTTTCTTTGCTTGGATTCAAATAAGTTTGTCACAGAAAAATATTAAGAGAAAAATGGAGAAACAAGATAAATAACAAAAAACTAATTGCCGTAAGAACTGCAAGGGATGAGGTATATATGGAAATAAAAAATTTACTCACGGTAAGACACCAGCAATGTTTCCAGACAAACCAGAATACAAACCCTTCAAAACAATTTTCCCTCCATCACGAGCAACCTGATATAGTACGGAATGAGATACAAAATCAACTTATAATGTAACTGAAAGGTAGATATTAGAGAAGCCTGTTTGTTTTACAATTTGGGTACTTTTTACAAAAGGAAGATTTTCTTGCAGTAGTCTATGTCAAATGCTGACCTCCCATTTGATGGCTTATGCAAACAGAAGCTACACAAGAGGACAGCATAACTTATCCCTGGGAAGATGATATATTACAGTTTAAGAAAGCTTATTGCATTGCCCCACTAGCAAAAAAGATTACATCAAATAGGATAGAATGAATGGAGAACAAAGTCTATATCTCATGCATAAATATAAGTTGAATAGTGTGCAATAAGTAACAATTATGACGTTTACAGACTTGGATCTTTGATATGCACTAACACTGGGAAACCACAATAAAATGGGGAAACGAGTATCAATGTTGGAAAACTGCATTTTCAGACCTACAACAATACATGCTACCTCTTGTATAACAAACCATGAAATTGATTATTTCCATTTGTCTTCCTAGTCCCTCCCTCCTGTCCAACCCCCACCAGACAGATGTAAACATAGATATATTTAAAATATATATACTTAATTACCTGTAGTCGGGTTTTGATGGTATCAATGGGGTATAAAGCTGTTTCTACAACGACACCAGCAACACCTCCAGCAATACATCCATCTGCAGTTAGTGCAATATCCATAAGTATGTTACACAACAAAATATTATAGTACAAGAAAATAGGGATACATGATGAGATGCAACTTATGACCAGTTTGAGTTTCAAAGTCCAGTGCCAGATCCTGGATCATGAAATGTAATTGTAATTGTCCATATACATAGAAACACTGTCAACCATCTTTCTTGGGTAAAAATGGAACAAAACATTGAAATATCCAACTAAGAAGACAGCCCAGCACTGCCCACAGAAGTTGTTATGCTTGTCAATTCATTACAGTTTATAAACAAGGGGAAAAACAACTACTTGAAATGGAAACTACAATTTCAAGGCTTCAAAATTTTCAATTCTAATTACAATAATTTATTTTCATAGTTTCCTATACAATCTTTTGAATACAAGAAACAAAGTGAAAATTAAAAGTGAAAATAGAAAATATTTTCTCAAACTAAATGACCCCTTATATGGCTCGGATCTCATTTTCAGCACAAAACGTAATATAGACATACAACATATGCACGATGCCATGACAAGACAGGCTAGGACAACTGGTCAATATTTAAATAGCAAAGGATTGCGGTTTTTTTATCCACGCATCAACACAATCTTCAACTGGAATGGCTATACTTACCATACAGAACTCGTAAAAAGTCAAATGGCTTCTTCTCTCCTTCGCTGATGGACATGAAGAACTTATCTGTATCCTTTTGAGAAGACATTTTGAACTTGGATGCATCTGCATAGACATTAGACAAGTAAAGTGTTCAAAATAAGCAATGCAAAGCAAAACACAAGCAGGAACTTCAGCCAATAAATTGACGCTGCGATTTTGCTTTTGAAAAATAACAGATAAGCAACTGAATAATTAAAAAGCGCTTCTTGAGCCCGAGACTCACTGCATTAACTACTCACTATTCAACTTCTCCCTCTAGGCCAACAATGGGGTAAAAATGAAAATCAAAACAAAGTCACAAAACAAAATTGAATTTTGAGGAAAACCCATGGAAATGCGGACCAGTAATTGCGAAGATTAATCATAGTTACTGGAAAAAAAGGGAGTAAACTGAGTCAAGTACCAATTGAATCTTTGGAGCTCATGGGCAATGGGGGAAGATCAAATCTTTATCGAACAAACCAATCTTCTACGATAACAAATCAATTCTGTTCTCGCTTAAGTGAAGCCTAATCATGAAACAAAAGGGTTTTAGCTGGGGTTTATTCTTATTAACACTTAACCTATTATGTTTAACTAGAGTATTAAAAATTTAGTAAATACAAAACTCACTAAAAATTAAGTTAAAGCATATTTAAAATTATGAATATTATTATTACATAATTCTTTAATTAACGACTTATAGATGTAAATTATCATTTTTCTAATTTTATTACATGTTCGGTAATTTTTTTTAAGAGAAATAATTGACTATTTTTTAAAATTTATCGTGAAATACGGTATTATTCTCATAAAATAACATAATTTTGTATACATAACAAATTTATAAAAAATTACATAATATATCAATATATGCTATTATTTTTTATTATATAGATTTCAAGACAATTTAAAAATAAATAAATTGCATAAATCAAAGGCCTGATATTTGTTAAATCCAAACGCCACTTCAATTCTGTGTATAGACCTGATTAGACAAATTTGTAAGTTACGAGCGCTTTGATTCTTTTTACATTCTATTTCCCTTTTTTTAATTTTAATTTAAAAAACTCTTTCAAAAATTAAATTTTATATTTTTTGCACAATGTGTTAATATTTCTAAAAAAAATAATTCAAAAATTAATTTGTGATTTATTTATAAATCACTTGTGAACTAATAATAATAATATCATAAATGCAAATGTAAAAATGGCAGTATGAAAAGATGGGCCGGGCCCCTATAACACCATGACATGAAAAATTAAATTTAATATATAATAGAAAAATGAACTGAAAAATGAGTTGTAAAAAAAATTTAGTCCAAAACAAAAACAAAAAAATATATAATAGAAAAACCATGACATGAACTGAAAAGCCATGACAAGAAGTAGAAGAAAATTTTAAAAATTATTGGGCAGCAAATTTTTATTAAATGTTTTTATCAAAATGCTTTGTTTTTGTTATTAGAATTTAATTAGAATATATAATATATTATCGTTTAATCATTAAAGTTTATACATTTAAAAAATAATTTAATTAATGTTTATTTTAAAAATTAAATTTAAGATGATATTTAATTGATTAATGATAACTTTTCTACTAATACTATATTAAAATTTAATTTTTATCTATTCTTAAATATATAATTTTAAAAAACTTAACTAACTTTTGATCATTATTATTTGAACTTAATCAATTTTAATTGAATTTTATCAATATTTTAGAGTTATTTCTTTTTCTTCTATCCAATTTAATATAGATTTTATTCAAGTTTTGTATTTAAATAAGATGAATAAGTTTATTATTAAAATTTAAATTCAAAATCTTTTTTAAACTATACCAAGTTACTTATTACTTAACTAATTTTTATTAATATATTTTGAAATTATTTATTCTTATACAAATATATATATTTAATTCTATAAAAACAAACTATGATTTTTATTTTATTGTGGTGTTAGAAAATAATTGTCAAAACATATTATAACTCTTTCTCTTTAATTTATTTTGGATCCAAAATTTGTGAGTTTATTATAAAAATATATCAAATTAATAACTCTTATATAAATATATAAATATATATATATATATATATATAATTTACAAATTCTTAAACACAAGAAATAAAATGATAATAATATAATTTTTAAATAGTAACAAATATATATATCAGCTAAAAATGAAACTAGAAACAAACCAACCCTCTACTAAATTCTACAACTTTTTCTTGTGAAAGTAGATACCAAATACTCTTTTCTAACCATCTTTCATATCCCAACATTTCTCCATCACGTATAATAATCACATAACGATGAATTAAAATAGGTTAATTCAAGGTCGAATAATTTTTTAAGAGCACTGTACATTTGATGCAAATGAAAAATAAAGTTCTCATTGCAATATTTTTTTTTTAGTTGAGACAATTAAAAATATACATAAGTCTTTCTGTAAAAGTATACATTTAATAAATAGTTAATTATCTGTATTTGTTATGATAGATATATTTGACAATTTGTCCTTTTAACAAAAAAATAATAATTATTATTTTTCATTTTTATTTTATTCAAAAAAAGTAATGAAAAAAATTAATATTTTTCCATATTATATTAAATGATATAAAAACTTACTCATTTTTCTTTCTTATTTTCTCTTTTTAATTTGTTTATATTATTTTTCATACTAACTAAAACATTTTTTTATTCGAAGTATCTTCTTGAAATCAACACCATAAATTGAGTTAAAACAATTTTCCCTTTTAAAATACTCACATCTCATATAAAAAAAACTATAATTAATATAATTAAAAAATATAAAATTATAATGATTTTAGTTCCTTCTTATTTTTTTTATCTTATTTTCTTTTCATAACATCCCATTCACATGACCACGGCCCCCACCATCACAAATTCAATAAAATCTCAAAGAAGACATTTCTGATATTTCATTTGAGAGAATAAATAAATAAAAAACAATAAATTTTACAGTTTGTATCGTTTATTTTTATAATTTTGAATACACTAAATTTAAACTCAGCGTCAGCTATATTTAAACTGCTCTTTACCTTTATAATGTTGAATTTATTAAACTCGAATTTAATTATATATTTTAATTCATTAAAAATATTCTTAAATTTATCTTTTATTCGTTTCAAAATCTAAACTTATAATATATATATTATTGCTTTCCAGGTTCTTAGTTTCTACACGTTGCTTTTTTTGTTTCACATGATAATTTAAGTAAAGATAATAAAAGGGACATGTTACTTGATAGGTACCGCTATTATCTTATAATTTTTTTTCTTTTCTATAACACAAGCATAATGTACATTTAAAATTTTAATATTTATCGTATATAATAATAAGATAACTTTTATGTTACCTTAAAAATTAAGAAGGTATTATATATATTTTTAATGTAAAATGATCACAACCGTTAATATAAATATATAATAATTATTTGGATCAATAATTTGGCTTGAAAAATAAATATTTTTTAATTTTAAAAAAATTTAAATAATCTTAGCTGTTGTTCTCTCAAATTTATGAGGACAGTACCAAATATTTAATAACAATAAAATTATTATCATTATTATTATTTTTAGATTGCCTCACTTATCCAAGTTCCTAGATGAGATCTGCCAGTGTCCATAATGTTTGTGTAGTGTCCATAACAATAACAATATGCGTGAGAATTGACATTTCATCTGCTTGATCAGAAGCAAAAAATTGCAGTGATGAATTGACTATAACGTAGAAACTGTGCCACAAGCTGTTTTCAATATATGGTGTTCTTACTTACATCAAGGACCATTCAAGGTGGTGGGGACATATTCAGATAAGAGCAAGAAGCCTATGATATGATATGATAAGTGTAATACATAGTAAAGAGTTTCAAGTTCTGCAATCCATCGTCAACTTTCAAATATGATGTGCTATTTTCAAAGGATGTATATCACTTATGTTACTCTATGCATTCAGGTCGTGATTTTCGTTTATTATTATAAAACTACTGAAAACTAAACACTAAAATGCAATAAACAAAAAATATGCACTACTTAATCAATAAACATATGGGAACCAATTTTTTTAAAATAAAATATAATGAACAAATGTGATTTTATTTAATATTTCTATTTTGAATATTGATCCACGTGATTCATGTGACGAAATTTTACATCTAATCCAGATCACGTCCTCAGCACTTTTTGTTCACTTTTTCACTCTTACTCTGTCTGAGTAATAGTCTATTATTTTATGTTTCTGTTATTTTAATTATAGGAACGAATTGAGAGCCTATTGTATTATATTTGAGCATAGTAATGTTACATTTTCTTATAATAAATTTGAAATTTTACGCTGTTTAAAAGTAAAAAATATCAACATTTTATTTTACTATTTTTAATTTTTTATTCGATTTAATTAAAATTTGATATGAGATACACGTTTGAATATAATAGATGAGTTTATTATTATAAATTTTTTTTATATATAAAAATTTAAATTTAAAATTTTATTTAAATGAAACTGAATTACTTATTACTCAAACTAATCTTTAATTTTATTAATATTTTATTTAATAACTAAAGTCTTAGAACTGTTAATTCCAAAAACAGAACTCAACGGGGAAACAATAATGGTACTGTGTGGTTGTAAGTTAATGACATGAGGTGTAGGACCACGAGCATAACTGTGTGTGTATTGCACCGTCCAAATTCTTTATAACAAAATGAAAAATTGAAATATTGACGCAAAAATTATGATAAATCAATTTAATAAAATTATACATTTTGTCATAAAAATTTGCTTTCAGTTAATATCAGTTATTTTGATTAAAATATCTGAAGATGTTATATAATTTATAATGCTACGCCAGGCTCATTTGTACTCATTTTCAACGCTTATGCTGGAAAAGGCAAAAGAAAAACTCATCCATATCCATACAATATAGTTAAAAGTGTTGATTGTCTTTTATTTAGTATTGTAATTTTTATAATGTTTTGAAGATTAAAAGAGTATTATATATTATTTTATGTGAAATAGTTATAATAAAAGTTAGTAATTTATTTTAAAAAGAATATAAATATTTTTTTTAATTTTTAAAGCATTTAAACAATTATAAATGTCAATTTTAAAAAATATATAAAATATGTTTTGAAATTGACCTGAACAGTAGCAGCACCAAATAAATATCTGTCTATTTTTATTTATTTATATTTTTATATAAATTATAAAAACTATTCCATGGAGCCGCGTTAGCTTATTATGAACGGCATTATTTTTGTCCTCAAATAGTTACACGTCTCGTGGAGGACGCGGTTCATCTTAGGGACAGTTTGGCCTCTGTTTTTTTTTTTTTTTCTTTTTTTTCTGTTTTCATAATTATAAACATCAATTTTCAAATATAATTTTGTGAAAAATAATTTAAACTATGAGTCTAAACCTTTTCGATAATAAATTATGGTTTGTATCAACGATCTTGATTTTATAGGTGTTTTAATATTAAAAACAATTTAAGAACAAATTATCGTTGACTTTTACATTTATCTTACAAACACATTCTTTAACACGTTTTTTAAAATATTTTTATTATTAGTTAAAATTTATTAAAAACTAAAAAGTTAATAAATTAATTTTTTTTCATATTTTTTAATTTTTAATAAATTTTAATTAATAATGTAAAGTGCGTTAAAGAATTGTTAATATTTTTTTTCTCCTAAATAGTTATTTGAAATCAAGGATTTAATTTTTCTATTTTAAATTTAAGTTTCTGAACATGCATCTATAATAAATACTTGAAGTAAAAATTATATCTTTCAATGGTTCTACTTAATTTGAATAGAATTATTTTTACTAAAAAATAATTAGTAATTTTTTTATATAAAAAAATTATTATTATAAAGTCAATAGTAAATACTAAGTTAACAAAGACAAGCTCCGACTGAGACCGCTTGTGCGTCCTTTTGTGAGGCATCCAAAGTGGATGCTTCCAAGTTGCATAAATTCAATTTTGATGCAACGAATCGAAAAAACATTTATCAAATGAAATTGAAAAATTATATCCCAGTAATTTTCTAAAGTAGATAATGCATAAAAAAATCAACATCTATATTTTTTTATTGGTCACTATTAATATTTGTCTATTCTAATTGATTTTGCTACGCTAATAAGCTATTCGCAAGTTTGACCATTAGAATTACAGGAAATCTTTGAGTTTAAGTTACCAATATAAAGGTTTTCTTTTCAAATAAAAAATAATAAAAAGAAAGCTCCATGGTCAAACAAACACCAAAAGGCAAATACGCACTGTAAACGGCTAATACTTGTTTTCCTCTCTCTATAAATGTTGCGAGTTTTCTAACTTCACACAAACAAAGAACCTTAGTGTCCGTGTTAGACACCTTCACTCTGTTTCAGCTTCAACCACTTTGGTCAGTTCCTAATTCCCTAAATTCTACCTTTTCTCTTATTTCTTCTTACCCTTTAATCATTCTTCACGGTTTGTTGATTCCTGATGCTTTTCATCAACTGGGTTTTCACAAAGTTTCAGTCTTTTTCACGAAATCTTCACTGAACTTTTTTGTTCGCAGCATTTCCCCTGTTTTGAAACTCTATTCTTCTTTGTTCGCTGGGTAGTTTCTTAAAACACGCAATTATACTTTTTTATTCTATTCTCTGTTTGTTTCTCTCAGTTATCTTATAAAGGGTCATCGGTTTTCGCAACTGGGTTATAAAATTTGGCATCCTTCTCCGTGTGTTTTTGCATGCAGGAAAGTGCTTAACCAAACTCTGGTTCCGTTTCCTCTGTTCTTCAGCACAAACAGAACTCTTGTTTCCGTTGATCACTAAAAAATAATGGCCATAAAGACAACTGAATTGTTGAAAGGGTGCGCATCGCAGGAAGAGATAATGGAAGTACTTGCTGCGGTGGCTTCGGATTTGGGGGATGCGATTGATGATGTGAACACCTTGCAAGTGATTCCGTTGAAGGGTGCAATGACCAATGAGGTTTTTATGATAAACTGGCCAACCAATAAAGATGGTGATCTCAGAAAAGTTCTACTTCGTTTGTACGGTGATGGTGTTGACGTTTTCTTCGACAGGGAAGAAGAAGTTCGAACCTTTGAGTGCATTTCAGAGCATGGTCAAGGTCCACGCCTTCTTGGCAGGTTTGCATCTGGCAGAGTTGAAGAGTTCATTCATGCCAAAGTATGTGATTCTCTTCTTCGCTTTTGCATACTTTTTCTTTGAAAAGAAAAATTCTAACATGATAGTTACATGTCCAAACAAAATTATCCTTGTTGGGTGGATTATATAATTGGAGTTAAATTTTAATCCAATGTTCACCTAAAAATATAAAGTCTTTCTTAGAATGAAAAAAATTATTGCGTCTGAATTATAAAAATCATTTATTACATCAGAACCTTTTCCATTTTGGTTCATTAACTTATGCACTTGGTGCATAGGATAAAATAATGGACCTACATTGTCATTTTTCTAATGACGTGTCAATATACAATTCAACGTTAGTGAAAAAGAACTTCTACAGAGAGTAATAAATTAACCAAATTGTGTGTCTTGATGAACAACCGACAAGGACGAATTAGTCAACCAAGTTAGCTTCACTATGGAGGATACACTCTCCTCTTATCAGCCACCTCATAAATTTAAGTTTTTTTTTTTTAAATGGTTGCTATGATTAAATTATGCTTGAGCTTTAGAGACCGTATATATGCTCAGTTTAAAAGTTAATTACCTTTTTCTTCTCCATTTTACTTTATTCTTTAGTCAAAAAGCTTTTCTTTGGACTGGTACTTCCTTTTCCATGTTTTATTCCCCTTATCACTTGGAGCAATGGAGGGTTACCATTAACAGTTATTTGTTTAGGATTAATTAATTAATTAAGAAGCGTCTTTAAGAAGTTCAATTGAATGGTATTGAGTCGTCAATGGGATGGGATTAGGTACTCTTAGGTGCAATTTTCACCATTCTTTTTCCTCTACTCCCTTCCTAATGTTATTTTTTTTTATATAAAAAAGTAAAGAAACATAATAAAACAATGACGTTTGTTGAAGGGCATCTGGAATTTTTTATGCATACATGGAAGGATCAGATTTATTTCCTGTCTATTTCCCTCATTAAGTGCTCATTAATAAATATAGTGCTTGATTATTTAAGTAGTTCCTAACATGTTGTCACCTTTATATTTGGCTCTTTGAAGTTGACCTCTAGAGGAGTAAATGGGAAATTTATTTTGTGACCCGACTAATTGATGAACCTTGTGATCTCCTATGCAGGACTCTGAAAAGCAGTACATAAACACTATAAAAAGAATTCGAAGACTTCTTTTTTTTATCTAAACCCAGATGAGACTAAATATTGTTGATGTTGGACTGTGCAAATAGATGTGTTTTAGGTGGAATAGTTTATAGTAATGACTTATCACTTACGCTGCCAAAATAGAGACTTCCCTTCTCTATTATTTGCACAAATTTGACAAACTAAGCATTAAATTCAACTTCCAAAGGTGCATAAAATAATTAAAAGTTGATTATAATTATATTTCAGCCACCTTAACTTGGTAGGCCTCATTTAGTATATCAAATATGGACTATGGTATTGCATAAGGCCATCCACTCCTTGTTTTCTATCTGGAATTGATGTCACTTTTTATCGCAATGGAATAAAACCAAATTAATGAGTCAACAATAAAGATGTGATGAACTTGACAAGCAGTGTCATTTATGAACGTTTTTTTCTTTTCTTGTTTTTGGCTTTTTAGACTCTTTCGGCTGCTGACATTCGTGACCCCGAAATATCTGCTCTGATAGCTTCTAAGATGAGAGAGTTCCATAGTCTTCATATGCCTGGACCAAAGAAGGTTCAGATTTGGCAGAGAATGAGGTAATTATAGATCAGGTCAATATTAAAATCCTTTTTCATTGCTATGCTGCATATTAAACGCTCTCCATATGTTATTAGGAAGTGGCTTGGTCAAGCCAAAAGTTTATGCTCTCCAAAGGATATAAAAGTCTTTGGTTTGGACAATCTGGATGAGGAAATAAATACACTTGAGAAGAAGTTATCAGAAGGATATCAAGAAATTGGTTTTTGTCACAACGACCTACAATATGGTAACATAATGATGGATGAAGAGACAAGATCAGTCACTCTAATTGTAAGTATTGGTTATATACTTTTTTGCCTTGGGCATTTTGTGGAATTGATTTTTCTTTTTATTGTGCTACTGCGACAATTTGAGTGACACCCAATACCCATGAAAAGGTATGCATGGCCATAAGAAATATGAACTTCATACTCTATCATTGTTGGGACTTGGGAAGATAATACTACTTTACGGTAAACCTATCTTTTGTCCCTATTTTAACTTTCTTTAATGATACAGGATTATGAATATGCCAGTTATAATCCTATTGCATATGATTTGGCAAATCATTTCTGTGAAATGGTGGCAAATTACCACACTGACACACCTCATGTTCTTGACTACAACAAGTATCCAGGTAAAGTTTTTGTTTGTAATATTTCACTGCCTGAATTACATTTACACAATGATTATTAGTAATTGCTATTATATGTTAATTGAGATAACTCTGGATTGCTAACACACCAAATTGTATATGATAAACCAGGACTAGAGGAGCGTAAAAGGTTTATCCGCGTCTATCTGAGTTCTAAAGGTTAGTCCTCTGACTTGTTCACTCCAATAGTACATATGATTGGCAAAGATCAAGATATAGATAATTAATTGCTATGTGAATCTTGCATTCATTTGTTTAATTTATGCTTAACATAGTTATTTAGTATCTCATGAACTTTTCAGTGTATCTGTGGTGTCTCATTCACTCTTCTGCATGCCTTGTTCATATAGCTTTAAGAATCCTTGTCACATTCATTCCATCAAAATCATGTTATAAAAAGTTGAAATCATATCTTGAACTATGCAACGTTTCTGAATCTCAATCACGTCTCAAATTTATTCTGGCAACTCCTTGTACACAGGCAAGAAACCAAGTCATGCTAAAGTGAACCAGTTAGTGAAAGCTGCAGAAAAATACACTCTTGCTAACCATCTATTTTGGGGTTTGTGGGGACTTATTTCGGTATGTTCCATTTTATTTTTCTAGTTGTCCTATATAAGGCTACTTGTGCCAGCTAATTGGATATACTCATATATGTTTCACATGTAAATGCAGAGTTACGTCAATAAAATAGACTTTGACTACAAGGACTATGCAAGGCAAAGGTTTCAGCAATACTGGTTAAGGAAGCCCACTTTACTGGACTCACCAAGCATCGTTTCTCAAGCAGGAATTGTGAATGGATCATTGGCATCCTTCACGTGATTTTGCTTCTAATGTCTTAGTGGAGTTTAGTCTTAGTATATATTTATTAATAACATTGCAGCATCCTATATGTAAATAATATATAATCACTCACAATGCGTGATGGGTTTTGGAAATTTTAATTATGATTTGCTGATCAATCCCGCTCTTTTGGAATTGAGTTGGGGAATGAAATTGAGAATAGTTGGTTTACATTATTTGCAATATCGATGGGATAAGCATACAGAGGGCAGATAGCTTTGTTTTGTCTTCTCATCTATTACACATTAAATAATGGTTAAGCTTATGATTTGATATTAATCACTCTGACACCACTTGCTTAATGGTGCATAAAATATTTACCAAATTGTTTGTATTGATGAGATATAATTTGGTTAGTTTTTCTCATCTAACAAGGTTAGTCCACTCCTCTCCGCCTTTGTTGAAATGTTTTGTCCGGATAAACTATAAGCCATTGCTTTGAAATTTATCAAAACAGAAATTTCAAATTTGACTACAAATTATACTCTATTCCATTTTTAACGTTTAATAATTTTTTACTTGACATCGTTAAGTGACTAAAAAACTAATGAAAACTCATTTATAGTTATGTATTTGATATTTCTATATTGAAATAGTTTTTGAAATTTAATCTAGGCTTTATTTTACAAAGTAAAGTTAACATATATAATATTTACAAATTGTTATAAAGAGAGTATAATTAATATCTGTATTTTTAGTTTAATATTTCTTAATTATAATCAAATAAACAATTCATATATCATGTAGCCGTAGTCATAGGAAAATCACACGAAAAGATTAAATCTTGTGTAATAGTTGGAAGAAAGAAACACAAACAACAAAAAGAAAAGAAAAGAAAAAATCAATGTTGCACACATCCATACATATTAATTATTATTTCCACAAAACAAACCTGGCATGACATAAAACGATGATCACACAAAACATACACACTTAAATTCAGAAGGAGTCCCCCCACGTTTTATTTAATTGGGTTTTATACAAAACATGAAACATTGAGCTATGAACATGAGAGTGGGGTGGATGAAGGTGCAGTCTAGTTATTAGAACTAGCGACGGAAGCTCCTAACTTGTCGCGGTGGTTCAGCCTCGCTGTCTCGCAGCTTCACCAGCGTGTAAACGCCTGCACCAGCGAGTGCACCAAGTGTTGGTGCCACCAAATATATCCATAAATGTTTGTAATTTCCTGCAGCAACTGCTGGACCCAACGTACGCACCGGATTCATCGAACCCCCACTTGTTGGCCTAATCAACCGACCACAACATGCCAGAGATAAAACTATATTTATATTTTGATATGTTATGCAAATAATAATACTATAGTTTAATGATGAGATAAAGTTATTGAGTTCAAATTGAATCCATTTAAGTATTATTATTAAATTCCAACCTAATTTACTTCACATTTGACATATTTTGAGTAAAGGGTTCGTGTTATACTGTTCCATTTAATCTGAATTTGATGAAATAATTGTTACCCTGAGATGAGAATGTTAAGCAAAACTGTAGCACCAACAGCAATTCCTGCCAATTCACCAACCTGCATGGGAGCAAAATAAAAATGATGATAAAAAAGTTAATGAAAATTGAAAATGAAATAATGCAACGAATGAATGAATGAACCCACCGCACGAGTATCAGTAGCAACAGCAGTGACGACAAACAAGAGAATAAAAGTGATAATAAACTCAGTGGCAAAAGCTTGGCCAATGCTGACAGAAGGAACAGTGACACCACCAGAGAGAAAAGGATGGTAAACACCTTTGAGAGCAAAACAGGCACAGATGGAGGCAGAGACCTGTGCAGCTATGTATGCTGGGACATGGGTCCATGGGAAATGCCGAAATGCTGCAAAGGCAATGGTGAGTGATGGGTTTAGGTGTGCACCTGAGATGTGACCAATTGAGAGAATAATGAACATCACTGTTAATCCAGCACAAGCTGCATTCCCCATCAATGTCTCTGCTCCATTGTACTTGTTGTTCACTATGGGTCCAGCCGTTGCAGCAAATATCAATATGAAGGTCCCCACAAACTCTGCTCCAATCTATTCAACCCATCATTGTTCAATACCAATTTCTAAATTATGATAAGTTTCCACAAATTCAATTCTATATTTATTTGTCAAATCTAAAGTGAGAAAATCCTCCTTAATTGTCCCACTATTGTATTTTTCTCACCATATATGATAAAAAATAAATGTAAATAAGCATTCTTTTTTCGTGTTTTTTTATACATTCTTGATACCATTTGTAATAATTTTTTTTGTTTATTAATTCTTTAATTAGTATCATATTAATATTAATTAGCAATATCATAAGATAGTTGATTCTTGTACATTTGTTTAGTCTTGGCATTGCGTTTTCTACGCTTGTAATTTATTCATTCACACAAGCCAACAATTAGGTGTATTTTTCATACCCCAAAACACACACACACACACAAATGGCGAATTCCTTATGTAACATGCAAGTCTTGTTGGGCCGACCATTGATTTAACTTTTGTAAAGTGTGGTCTCCACGACCCAAAAGACAAAAAGGTATGATGCCCAGTCTTGTCCAGCCTAGCTTGACCAAAAAAATAAAAAAAGCTTAGCCTAAATTTGTATTATATAATTACGGATCACATTTATCAAATAAAATTTAAATTCCAATGATAATTAAAAAAAAAAAAACTTCATATTGATCTCATGGTGTGTCAAAATTATCGTAGGGACACTGCAAATGCTTCTCCCAGAAATGTTTTATTTTATATCGGATGTCCCGAATAAATGCTACATTTAATAAATAAGGTAATTTAATGGCATAAGTCCTCAAATTTGAAGTCCGAAATTTCATAGTAATTATAACGATCATCGGACACCTTTCTTCCTTACATTTCTGTTTTAACTTTAATTTTTTTATTACATTATTTATCAATTATCATATCTTCTTTCATTTTTTTTTTTTATCTTAAATGAGATATACACTCATCATTATCCTTCTCATAAATTGAAAACAATATTGATTTTATTAAATTTTAATATATTTATTTCAAAAGCAGTATGACAAGATAAATAGTACATCGAAAGTCTAAAAGACCAGAAATTGTGATCAGAGCCATCAATGAACGAAGAAATATGAAACACGGATATCCTAAGGCTAAGTTTACAAAAGAAATAAAAAACGACACACTAGCTCCTGCGTGTTCCTTTTTTTGTATAATAACTACAATGTATGAATATTGAACACCCTATGGATATTAATTGAACGCCCACCTGAATTTCTTATAATTGAAAATACAAAACCTTCTATATTGCAATTGCATTATTTTACTAGAGTCCCATTCATGCACTTCTCATCAATATCATATAAAAAGATGACAATTCTAGCTTGAAATCAAATGTAACTGCAACTTTGCCGACTCAAGAACAAAAAAAATCTGGAAAATGCAATGAAAATCGTTGACCAAGAGAGAGAGAGAGAGAGAGGCTTGTTAGTTGATACCTTTTGCGCGAGAGACACGTTGGGAATTGGAACCCCAACCGAGAAGTCATTGAAGCAGCTATCACCCTTAGTTGGCAAACACTTGCACCGAGCCATTGCAAACGAGTCACGCGTGTGGGACAGTGAGTCAACTCGCAGCGACGTGAATAGTGGCCCTCCCGGAGTATCCGGCGTTGCCGGCACCGACGCAGCCGTAGGCGTCCCTGTCTCCGATTCCGGCATTCTTTTTTTTTTTTTTTAATTCACAAATATAAACAAACCTAAAAAAAATAACTAGATAGAATAGTGGATATACCAAAGGGTACCACTACATGGTTTATCAAACGTAAGGAGAAACAAATATTTTTTTTGGGTTTTTTTGTGTAGTCTTTAAGGTAGAAAGGGGTAGTTTTACATAATGGGAAGGTTTTTATAAAAGTGATGTTAAGGAATGGAGGGAGAAAAGGGAGCCAGGTTTGGAAAGTTGGGAGTTAGAAAGAGGAGGTATGAAATGGTGGGATTAGGAAATGGAGCATGTATGAGGTTTTTAAGAGTAGAGTTTGTTTTTGTTAAGGTTGGAATGGAATCATGAAAACTTGTGATAGCGGTTGTGATCCAACTTGGAAGTTGGAGATTAGAGGGAAAAGAAAAGGGAAAAGCGTAGTTGAAGATGGGGAGAAGGAGAAGGAGAAGGAGAAGCAAAAGTAGCGTATGCAAATGGTCGGAAAAATAAAGTGAGAGGGTCAACGAGTTAAGAGAATGGAGGAGCAGTGAGGAGTTGTTAATATATGGTTATAATATTGAGTTGAGGAAGTGCTCTGAACGTTGAGTCGGTGACTTGCTTGCATATTACCCGTAGGAAAATGCTTAGCGTTCATTTTTTAGATGAAAAATATGAGAGACAAGTAAAAATATAGTATTATATCATACACGCTGTGATAATGTATTAATGCCAAAGTCAAAGGCCTCGCATTATTGTTTTGTTTTGTTTTTTAATGTAATGATTCTATACTCTATATTTTTATATCATAATAATTATGTATTATTGTACTATATTAATATAACACAAACAAATAAAATATTATATAATATTGTCATAAAAATATAATTCTCGATTCCCATATGTTACTGCACGGATATGTGATTTAACTTTGTATTTTAATTCGTTGTGTACTTGCTTTCTTCTTTTTCTTTTTCTTTTCGCATCATCTTAGCACCAAAAGAAATTATATGACTGAACCAATTGTCAGTCAAGGATTTAAATAAGATAAATAAGTTAATTTTTAATTTATTTAATCAATCAAAATAAACATTTTTAATATCACAATTTAACCTTGCCAACAAAATGCTTTTATCAAATATCATCTTGTGCCACTTTCTAGAATATACTAAAACATTCATATACCAAACGTCACTTGAGATAATTTTATTCAATAAAAATTTATTAATATTTTACATTAATAATATATACTAATTTATGCATAGACAAAATATATTATTATATATTAAACATATACTATACTCTCTCCAGTTCTTTTTATTAGAAATAAAATTGAGTATTTTTTAATTATAAAAAATATATAATATATTTGAGATGTATTAATTATTAAATTTTTTATACTCTTATTTTATTGTTAAATATATATTTATGAACCAATGACTACACTAACTATATTATTTAGTATTATAGGTATTTTTTAAATAAAATTTATATTTATAAAAAATGTAAGTGAATTAATTATTTTTCTTGATTTAATAATTTAATCTTCTATTTCTTATAAATAGGATTAAAGAGAGTACTATCATTATGTAAATTTGGGTAATATTTATATTAACTATTTCATTTTTATTAAGCTGATGTTATATTAAATTCAACGCTAGCCGTTAATATATGCTTTATTTATGATTTTTTAACGTGGGTAGGGTATATAATACCATTTTTTAACAAAAATTGCAAGATCTAATGTTATTAGTAATATAAAATATATAATTTTATATAAAATTATTATTTATTATAATATTTAATACATTCATTATTTTGTTGTTAAAAAATTACAAAATTTGAATTGTTAATTAATATAAGGTCCCATGTGCCATTAATTGCTGAACAATTAATTAAATACGATTAAAGTCGTGTTTTTCTTTCCAAAACGTGACGATATCATGTCATTTAGTTTAAAAATAATCAATTTAACATAAAAAGAGACAGAACGATATAATAACATATTTTAATAATTTTTAAAATACACTCTCTAGTGTTAGTTAAATTTTATTAAAATAATAAAATTGAAATAATTTTTACCAAAATTTGATTAATGATTAAAGAACATCATACAAAAAATATATATTAAAGAATAATATATTCTTACCATTCATGGTCTGCAAGGGAATTAATGTGGGTGCAGCAATGATTGACGAGGGTAGTATGCAAATTAAAAAAAGATGGATCATCAATGAATGGTTCATGGTATGGTCATGGCTACAACCGTTAGCAAACGTTAGTTGACTTTGATGATTCGGGTAAATAGGAGTGGGAGCAACGTAGCCATAGGCTTCTCCTTCCTGCAATTTGCCCAATTGATGATAATCATAATTATTTTTTATTTTAAATCTCAATGAGTTATTTTTAATTATATACACTAAACTCTTATTATTCAATTAAGGCAACTGAATAACAATAATGGTGATTGGTTTAAACACCCTTAGCGTGCGCAAGTTGCCATCTTGTGTATTCTAAATTTAATTTTGGAAATACATCATTCAAATTTGATACAGTAAATTTTGATTACGTGACCTTAATTAATAACTATTGCTTTAAAATTAGCAACAATACCTTTAATCTAAAAAATATAAATATAATTATAAGTAAAATTCTTATTTGCCCTCGCTCTTCAATTTCAACGTCTTTTAATTGAAAAGCTCCGTATAGTCAAATTTGCAAAAAGAAGCGTAGAAATTCGCCAAATCTCTGGTAGTCAACGCCCCACTTTCTCCACCCTGTGTTGCTATTATTCCTCCTCGCGTTAGTCTATAAAACTTTAATTTAAAAATTCAATTAATAAAATTTATTTATAAGAAATTATTGAATAGAATGACTCTTAAACTTAAATTATTATTATGCATGATATTCAACAGATTAAACAATTAGTGTATACTTAAAAGTGTGGGGTTAAAGTGTTCAATAAGGAACGAGTACTTATATAACTAACAACGTTCTCTCATATAAGCAAAGCAACCCTCATCACTCTTCCATTTAACTTTGAAACATATGTGTATTGTTTACTTATAAGCTTTGCAATATTCTTATCTTTTTAACATCCTTTCTTCTATTTTGTAAACGAAATATTAAACCATTTTTTCACATTTATTATCTTAAAAATATATTAAAAATTATTATTTAATAATAAAAAAGTTTTATAAATTTAAGAATTAAAAATTAAAAATAATTTTTTATTTATTTTTAATCAACCTTGTAGGGTTGAATGAATCGAATATGTTTAATTTGGCAATGTAAGGCAAAATAAGGATATTGGAAGTTGAAAAAAGCACTTCAGATGCTGACTATTACAAGTGGACGGCTTTTGTATTGTTCATTCGTTGGAGAAGACAAAAAGTGGGGTCTGGGTGACATTTTTTTCTTGGGGTTATTAATCTTTGTACTATACCCCTTTTCACTTTTAGAATTTAATATTATAAATATATTTAATATATTCGGACAATTAAATTCTAAAAATATTTTTAATTATTTTTAAAATTTAATTTTATAAAATAATTTTATATTGTTCAAAAAATATTTTTAAAAAATTTATTACAAATTACTTCTGAAATTTAATTCTAAAAGCATTTATACTTTCTAAAAATTTATAAATAAATTTTACTTTTTAAATGCATCTAATATATTTTAAATATTAAAATTAAAAAACTATAGAAGAGGGTGGCGCGCATACCAAGTAGCCATTTCTTTTTTTTTTTTATTCCTTTTGTAATTTCTTCTAATTTTACGCTTTAAATTTTTTTTATTCCTTTTGTCATATAATAATATATCACTGGACGTTCGAAGCCTCGAAGACAGAGTTTTTATTCAATATTCTGCTTTATTTATTTTTTAATAAATAAATTATCACTTCAAGTGAAAATTTGGATGCTATGAAACAACAGAAAAAAGTTTTGTAATTTAAATAAATATTTTAAAGACATAAGAATTTGATTTGGAGGCTTGGAGCGTAGGAAAAAGGAAAGAAAATGTAAAAAATTAAAAAAAGAATAAAAAGATAAAGTAGAAAAATTTTACCTTTTTATTCTTACTTGTTTATTATTTAGTAATTAAATTGAATGATTGAGATTTATTATTTAGCATCCTATCCCTTAATAATAGTAAGTACATGCAAGATCTTTTTGGAGACTGTGATCTTCTTTATCATATTATCATATATCTTGCAAGTAATTATTTGTATTATTAAAAAAAAACAAATTCTTATCAGAGACTAAGTAATTAACTACGTAAACTTAAAGAATTAATAAAGTGAAACATGATAATTAACTACGTAAATTTGATAAAAAAACTGAGTGTAGTTTCAGAAGCATATCATCGTCATTGGGGGAACAGCACAAGTTGTTTGCAGGATTATCGGCGGGAACGATTATAGACAACAATGGTTCATGGAGATGAGGGGAACACCTCACACCCATGTGAAATACCACAAATATATTTGAAAAACAAATTGTACATACCTAAATTTATGGAGACTATTTAATTTTTAAATAAAATCAATATATAAAATGAAGACTTGATTAAGTGTTAAGTCTCAAAAGTTATATGACTTTGTTTTTATACAATTTTTTTATAGTCTCTTAATATGTATCTTCTAGATAATTCTAAGTGTTAGTTTTTGGTTAGATTATATTAGATAGATAGATTATACATTAAAAAAAAAATAAAGAGTATAACTTTATTTGGTAAATTGTAGATAAATTTTATAAATTAAAAATAAATTATCTCTTCATATTTTAGAAAAGTTACATAAAAAATTTTATCAAAACTTTTAAAAAATTATAAAAATATTAAGTTATATTTTAATTTATAAAAAGATTATTTATTTTTATACTGATTTTTTTTCCTTATAAAAACTTCTCAAAATATTTACCAAAATAAAACTTATATACCCTACTAAAAAATTTTAAAGAAAAGAAGTTAAAATTATACAACTTTTGTAGTACTAAAACTTAATTAAACCTAAAATAAATCGATGCATTTAATCAAAGACTAAATTTTATAAAATAAAAACTATTAGAAAAAAATAAACACATTACTTTGACGGACCCCTGTTTTTGTTTTCTATATTCTCAATTCACTATTATTTAACAATTAATAGTGACCAATTTTCACTTTTCGCTTTCTCCAGTTTCTCTCATCTCTTATACGCTTTTATCGCTGGAATTTTATAAAGAAATCAAATTATTAAACTCATGAACTAAGCCATACAAGGGAAATGCGGCACCGACACTTAATAAAAAAAAAGGATTGATTGAACTTCGTACCGATAAATAATTTAAGTTTGACAATTAGTATTTTTTTTCTTATATTTAAATGACAATTATGAAAATTAGTATATTCATTTAACTATCGTATCGAAACTTTTATGATGTAAATATTATAACATATTGAAATTATTAAAAAATATAGCAAAGAACTAGAAGTCGGCACAATCTGGTAATGTATTATAATTCATGAATATAGTAATCTTTTACAGCAACAAAATAATAAAATTCTCTCGTATAACTGAGATTAAAATCTTTGTAATTATAGTCAATGAGATAACAGAATAAGAAAGTGTATCTTGTGCATTCTTCATGAGTATCAAATGAATGCGTGCTGCAATAGACAAAAGCATATTCACTCAAATCAAATGCAACCATCTGTCCATAAAACTAATACTTTACAAGATTTTCTTTTCAAAAGAAGATAATAAAGAATAAACAAATGTATAAATTGGAGAATCAGTATTGAAATGCTGTATCTTGAATTGAAAGTGAAAGGAGCAGTATGTTGAACATGGAGAACCAACCCTTGATTTTAGACAGATGTTCCTTCAATTTATTTTTATTAGCATACACAAAGCTTCCCATGAAAAGTCTTACAGTGCAAGTCACAGTTCAGCAGTCAATAAATATATATGATACAGCCAATCTATCAACAAACTTAAAATCTTATTCGTAAGATACCATATAAACTAATCATACAAATATTTTCTCTAAAAGTAAATATGTCAAAATAAAAAAACTAATGAAGAAATCGAAAATATAGCTGTGGCAATGTGAATTTGAGAAGTTGCAATAGCTATCACTGTTGCTCCTTTCAATTCAATGAATACTTCATTCAGAATTCATACAATGGCCCTGCACCAGAAAGTAAAGATTAAGTTAATATCTATGAAGCCTAGACAAGTAGTAGTTGTTGCAGTCCGGTTGTAACAACTGAATTGGACAACTCATAACAGTAAGATTATGAGTTAAGTATGATCTGGTAACTTTTTTGGTCACCGGTAAAGATTTGAAACAGTTCTCGGAGATTGCTTAGGATTGTGTCCTATTTATTATCTATGATATTTGAATAAATTTGTTAAATTTATGCAACCCAATATTGACCATAGATCTATATTAAGTTGTAATTGTTGAGATCAGTGTTAACTAAACAAAACAAAACAAATACTGATACAAACAACACATTCTCTTTAACATACTCTACTAAAATTTATTGAGAACTAAAAAAGTACAAAAACATTAATTTAAGAGTGAAACTTACATAATTTTTAATAAAATTTAGCAAATAGTAAGAGGTGTGTCGCAAAGAATGTGATGTTAGCATTATTCTAATTACAAATTATTCAGTTTAAGAAAAATATTTTTATTTGAATATATAGAAAGATACAATTAGGTATGTAATTTGAGTTCCACCTTAAATATGGGATTTTGGTTTAGTTTAACGTTTTGAAAGTTGTTATCAGTATCCAACTCTAGCCAATAACAAAGCCTTTTAGGACAATAACAACCAAAAGAAAATATGATACTTCAGTTTTTTCAATGTCAAGAACCTGGGGAATTGGCAGTAGGAGCCAGAAAAGGAAGAAATTGTTAGTCTATTAGTTGAATTAATATATGACTTAATGTTGGCAACTTATATTCCCGTGAATGTTTATTAATAATATATAACAAATCCCTTGATAGTTCCATTTAAGGCTACATTGGGTTGTTTTCTGTAAGGATGGAATTACACAGAAGGAAAGTAGAGGGGGAGCATAGCACAGTTCATTCAAATTTCATGCAAGAAAGATGTGTTTATTTATATAAAGCAAAGTGTCCAGATTATGAGACTAAATTCCAACTACCTAAATTTGTTATGACTTCTTCATTTTCAATCTCTGCATCAGTGAATGTCAGGGCTTTCTGTAGTTTCCTTGGGGAGAACACCTCAACCTCGGCCATATATGTGGCAGTCACAGGTCTGTGGTCTGAAAATTTGAGTTCAGTCCTTCCATAACTAAGTAATCTCATTCCCTTGCCATATGAAAGAACACGATCACACCTGCAAGGTAATTGCAAGTTTTATAAAGAAAAATCATTTTAAAAAAAATAAAAGGGTTTTAATAACTAGTGCCTTAGAAAAGGATAAGGAAGTTTAAATATTTAAGATCTTATTAGAAAAGGATAAGGAAGTCTAAATATTTAAGATCTTATCCCTATTTCATTCAACATGTTTACCACAACTCCACCAGATATTTTACTTTTGGATAGTGTATTCAAGACATTATGGAATGACACATACATATCGACACACAAAATTACTAATACCTGTTTTTACTAAGAATAATTCAGTTTATAAATATGAGAAAACAACGGAAGTTTAGAAGATAGATAATAAATTGGTTTTTCTTAACATGTGCCTAAAGATACATAATAAGAAATTAATAAATAATAAGTTTTTATTGAAATTTGAAGCATTTCATCTTAATATTATCAGTGTATTAATTGTGATATCTTGTAATTTAAAATAAAAATTTACAATAAATATGTTCTTATTGTGTGACCTTAATTGCAATCTTAGAAAAACCATAAATAAATATATGAACATAGATTGATTGGCAGATGTTGAAGTAAAATCTCAGTTCAAACAAACTCAAGCATACCATGCAGGTGTGCGCCTCCCAATCTTTGGGTCCTCTCCATAGTATTTCTCTGAATTAGTCTCATACTTATAAGTTGGTGGGAAGTTTAATGTGCCTTCTGACCATCCATCAAACACGCCTTTCTTAAGTTCTTTCACAAGCTGTCATAATAAGATGTCAATGAACTAAACAGCCAAACCAGTCACCTTACAACTTGAGTTCTTTTTTGCAGGTTCTTTCATCATTTCATAATCCATCTCATGGAGCCAAAATAAACAATGACATGGACTATACCCATTTATCTAACTTGGTCCAATTAGGAAGCATTAAGAATGGTATAAGTGACAGATCCACTAGGACATGGATACTGGTATACTGCTGCTTTTAAATGCCAGCATCTACGTTACAGCTAGGAAATTTTAGTTTAATATCACTATGCAGTTTCATTTACATGAAATCACTAAACATGGTCCTGACAGAGTCAAATGCTCTCTTTTAAGCAAAGTATGATAAATGTCAAGAAAGAATATGCAAAAATCACCACGTGTCACGAAAAAATTTGTCAGACAAAACAATATGGTAAATCATCTACATAAATATCAGTAAAATTTTATATAAATTTAACACCAAATACTTTAAATAATAGTTCATTAAAAATAAGTTTAATATCAATCGAAAAATCATACATGCTTTATTTCATCCTCTTCAAGATGTTATTATTCAAGTAATTCTCTTAATTCTTAACTGGTAGTATTATTATTAGTGAATTGTTAATTTACTTAGACGTGATAGGAAAATTTCTTGAGTGACGGCACATGTTTCCTTATGGTTTTTGTGTATTACTCCTGCAGGCAAGAGCTCAAGGGTTCTAAATTTTTTCCTTTATAAGACAAAAAGAAAGTGACAAAAAAAACTAGTTAGCTTGAACCCAATCAGGTCATAGAAAAAGGTTGGTTAGATCAGTAACAAAGGCTTGCTAGGCCCTTTATCTGATGTGGTTTAGACTCTGGGTACCAAATTTCTTATCAAAGCAGTAGATGGACCATACAAATTGTGCTGCAAAGGAAGGTTCTTATGCTGTACACGTCTAATGTAAGAGTTTCTATATTATTACCTGGTCTTTCTCAATCAATTTTGACCATTGCTTTTTTGATATAAAATCTCTTGTTTTCTCATATGACAAGTTGATACGGTAATTCAGATCACCCAACCAAATTATTCTTCTGCAAATAAATTGGAATTGATTTAGTGATTATAATTCTTTTAGACAAAACATGTAAATACAGAACTAGGGCAACCAAACATGAAGCAGAAGGCAGATTAAGATGCTACTTCAAGTGAATGAAACATGAGTGGACAAATTAATTACTTTTCTGAACTATGGCCTTCAATTCCTTCCCACCCTTCGAACACGGAGAATGTTTTTAGAATATTGAACTATGTGATCATATATGTAATTGCCTAAATTTTGTTAGATAATTGGGGTTGTAGGGATACAACAGTATCATCCAGGAGACAAATAACATTTTAGTGTATCTTAGTATATAAAACATGGACTCACTCATGATCGAGGATGCTTCTGGGAACTCCAATATCAGTAAGAGAATAAAAATGGGTTCTTTGATGTATCTCACGGACGTCAGCATTTCTTTTATGTTCATCTCCTTCCTTTTCACCTGCTGTAAGGTGGGTGCATATAAAACAAAAAAGTGTCTGATATATAGACATGCTGATAGATATCGATCCCTGAAAATTTTTTAAAAAAAATCTTATTATCTGATAACTAGAGTAACATTGATCATATGGTTATCAACTCATAAAGATATCCAAATATTACTAACAACCTAGTTAAAATCTTCATAAGAAGTCATGTTGAAAGATATATTATCATTCTCATATCATAATGATGATGTAATGACCAAAAACTATACCATCAAGTAGTAAAAACAAAAAAGCAAAGTTCTAAAGAAAAGGAAAAAGACCTTGTTACCAATATAGCCCATAACACCAACACCAACAGTTGACACCTTTAAATTCTGAATATGTTTACGCAAGCTACGACGAACCCATATGGTGATGAAAATCCCAACCATCTGTTTGCTCACTATCTTTACATATGATGACCTCCTTTTCCTCTTCATTAAAGCTTCAAGATCAATTTCAGCAAGCAAGCCTATTTCATCTATGGTTGGCTTGAAAGAATTATATGTTTTGAAAGACTTTGACGCTTTAAAGGATCTGATAGATTTAAAAGAAGTTGGTCTATCCAATGCTGCTCTCTCTGGTAGCAGATGTAGTGGTGGCTCTGGCCAGCTCAAGCCAATCCTTTCAGAACTACTAATCATTCTGGATAGCTTATTGGCCTGTTGAGAAGATGATGTTTCCTTGTATTCTGATGAATTTTCATCTCGGAAACAATTCAGCCTATTCAACCTCTTTGGATAAGAAAACTGTCTCAGTAAATCATTGTCCACTGGCACTACTGTGTTGGAAGTATCAGCAGCATCTGAAGCCTGAAAATTCTGGTTCAAGACTTCTTCATTTGCAATTGGTTTATGTGTCCCTCCATCATAAACATTCTGTTCTTCATCAAAAGGATGGACTTCTACACCAATATCACTATCACTTTCAAGCAATATTTCTTCTTCTATGTCTGGAACATCATCTGATGGCTTAAACTTTGATGGAGATGGGGGATCACTGAAGGATTTCACCTTAGGTGCTTTTGGTCTTACTCTATTCAGTGTATTTCTAATAATATTTTCCCATTTTGGTACCGGCCGAGTATCTTCAGCACCAAAAATGTTACCAGGGTTTAAAGGTACAATCTCCTGAAGACTGCAACATTGTAATGCAACATTTTGTCAAAAACAAAAAGGGGTGAATATCCTTATGCATGAAAGAAAAGTGAATATATTAAAAGTTGCTGCAAAATGGCATTGTATTCAGGTGAATGTACAATATTAGAAACAGGAAAAAAAAAAAAAAAAAAAAAACTATGATAAGGGACAGTGTAGAACTTACCCAAAGACATAGATATCAGCTGGGTTGTTAACGCCTAGCCAATCATCAATATCTAAGTCATCAGGTGGAAGTTTTCCTCCAACATTCCATGTCCCAACACATACTCTAAGAGACAAATATCACCAGAATCCAGATATGAGGGGCTTGAGCAATACTAACAAATAAACTGTGCTTTATACACTTTCAAATCATTGCAATTAGAGTCTGCTCTTGGTGGCTGAATAAACAAGAGGGCAGTGACTCACCTCAGTTCCTTGTTGTTTATATACTGAGACCTAGATGTTAATGACTTTTGCCTCCTTAACCTTGGAAGAAATTCTGCAGTTAATATTACAAATTTAGGGGGTGTGATGAAGATTATCTAGCAATATACTAATCTTTGCTATTATCAGAATATAAAAAAGAAAAATTACGAACTATAATATCATTTATGAAGAAAATAAACACCATTTGATTCCGTTGGAGCTTGTTCCCCTCTGCTGTCCACAAACCGCTCTGCATAATACACCCAATTCAAATTGAGACAGATCACAGAAACGGCCAAACTGAAAAGGAGTCTTCACACACATACAATAAGCGCTCCTAACAATCTCAATTCTGAATTTTCAGATCATTTGACATAAACCATAATGCTCAATTTCCATATTCTAATAAAATTTAACAACATGCTAAGACTAACTTCTTCAATCTTCAAATAGTAAACACACACATAGTCACAAACGCAAACACACTCGTGTAACAACAGAAACGTTGTTGTATACTCGCCTTCATTGTCTGAGTCACTGTCAGGGTCATCCTCATTAACATCATCATCAGGATCAGCACTGTAATCAGGCTCGTTGCTACTCATGTTAAGCCATTTGCGCATAACCACTCTTGCCCACAACAGCTGCAAGCAACACCAACCCAAAAAGCACTTTTTAGCCCAAGTCCTCCACACTTTGCCTCAGTTTCCCGATATTACCATGTCCCAAAACACCAAAGACACTAACTTGCACAAGTATGCAGAAAGAAGCCATGCACAAACAAACTCGTGGTAGAAAAAGAGAGAGAGAGAGAGAAACAGTACCTGTTGCTTGTTTGCTGGTTGTTGCTTCATCACTAATGAAAATGGCTATATATGGACAAAGCAGAACAAGTGACTCGCGAGCAAAGACAGAAACTGATATATTGCCTAGAAGAAGAAGAAGAAGGAAAAAGGATGAGAGGGAAGAAAAGGAAGTTCAAGCAGTTGCCAACGTTAACAAATCATCATGAAGGAGAAACAATGGTAGTTGAAGCTGCAAAACTGGTTTTTTCATATGAAGTTATTTTTTTACTCTTATTTGCTATTGAATGTGGAATTAAAGCAACAATAATTATAGGGTGCGGGCGATTTGTTAAAGTCTAGAACATCAAATACAGGATAATGGTTACACTCGGGAATTCTTAATCAGAAAAACAATAGTATTTTTTTTTATCAACAACTTAAAAGCATGATTAGCTGCACTATTTGACATTCTTTAACAAGGCAAAAAGTGGGTCCATGCCTAAAATCACGGACCATAAACAAGTTGCCAGTTGGAGGTTCAGCTAGTAAATTACAATAGTCATACTCGCACATGTCAACCAACTGTTTCCCCACACGTGGCATACCGTGCTGAGAAATCTTAAGATTTCTGAAACCATAATATATATAAAAAATTATGATAAGCCTATCAACTTATTGAATTATTTTCGTTATGATATTAATTAAATTAATGTTAATGATTCCATCGTATAAAACTAACTAATTAAACTCGAATTCTTATTTTAAGTTTCTTCCGGGAAGACTTTATTGAGAAGTTTTAATATGACTTTAAAGTCAAGGAAGCAACGTAAATAAAAAAAGAAAAAAATACTACTGTTTATGGGAATGGATCAAAGTCCCAATAACTCGATTGGCTTCAACAACCACTGCCGACCCCCAATTTTTAGAATTTCAGAGGAACTAAAGTTTAACTTTGAATTTTGCTATTAAAATATATGTAAACGTGTTGTGTAACACAAGTATTAATAACACCATTGTTTAAGAACGTGAAACTGCTAATATGAAGATAGGTAAAAATTATGTGTACTGCTATATATTTAGTAAACATGTAATAATTGAGTATATAATTTTACATTATAAATACACAGGTGTTATGTATTGTTGATTGGTCCTGTCATCGTTACTCACTTTGTATTCCCTGCCACTTTTCAGTAACATACATTAAACCCCTTTAAACATTGCTACCATAGACAGTCACAAGAGAAACTAATGAATCAAACATTAAATTATGTCAATACAGCATCTTCTTGCCTAAAACTATGTTAATCTCTTTCCACACTAACAAATAGATTAATGTGTTTCATAAAAAAAAGGATTAATGTGTACACCGTGTGAAAAGTAAAAGCCCAACTTAATGAGTGAGACAACAAAATCCTAATGTTGAATAATTTAACAACCTAGTTGGTTGAATTATTAATGTTGCTTTCTTTCACAACCTAATTGGTTGAACATATGACCATGGAAATGACAAAGAAAATAACACATCGAAATGAAATGAAATGACCCCACGACTGGAAGAAAAAATTGAATTATATCACGTGTAACAATCCTTGGCCCCTGACTTTAGACGAAGGTACCAACCCACAATATTTGAAGGGAAAACAAACAAAATGATGGAGTTGTTATATATTAAACCTGGTAGATAAGGGAAACAGAGAGCGACTAATTAAATGGGAAATACCACATTTTTGTTACTTGAAAAATGAAAGAGTAACCCCGCAATGCCCTTTTTTCCAAAGAGAAATGATAAGGTTGTGTGGAGAAACAAATAAAGCTATTTAATAATGCACGCACTAATTATATTTAATTAATATTTCTGCTTTCAAATGGGTGTGGATGATCATTTTGACTTGGCCATATGCATAATTTCGTATATAATGGCAGTAACTTTTATATGATAATTTTCTACATTGCTTGTACAATTATTTATACATCACCTAATCGTATTTTGGTTTGAGTTAATTAAATGTGGACCCCTACAGCCTCTTTTTTTTTCCTTTCTGTTAACGGCTTCTTATAATATAGGCTCTATGATTTAAGACTTCTTCAAGATGAAAACATATATGATACATTTTAAAAGGTAAAAACTTTACGAAAATCTCACATTCCATGCATGTTTGGAACAATCTATTCCCAATAATTACAAAAAAGTTCTTTTTTAAGAGAGTGAGATAATATCCTTTTTAATAAAATCTCCTTCAAATTGTTTATTGTATTATTAGTTCTATTCTTTTTCTCCATAATGTTCTTAAGTGAATTTGATGTATTGATTAATTAAGTAAAAATAAATAAAGAACATAGAATTTTAATTATTTTAATAATAGTATTTAAAAAATTTAAATTAATTGTAAAATAATTTTAAAATGTTATACATAAGACCAAAAATAATGAAAGGGTATAATAATCATAAATAACATTTTTTTGATTTTTTATATTTAATCAAATAGTGAAAATATTTGTTTTTACTTCTTACTAAGTTTAAACAACTTATTATTTTAATTTTTTTCACCTAATTCCCCTTTCCTTATTTCTCTCTCATTATTCAAGCTGCCCATTTACTGTTTTGACATCAAAGAAATGTTAATAATACAACACACAGTGTGAACAAGTTTTGATGACATATTCTTACCAAATTCACGCGCTTCGTGTTTAAAAATAAGAGGAAATGGTTAATAGATATCTTAGCTAGGGCTTTTATATATAAAGGAAAATAATAAAAAATGATAAATGTAAAAAATAAAAATAAAAATAGATAAATATTAATACTCTTAAAATGTTTAAAAATTATGGTTTCAAATTAAGATGCAGAGACTTTGACGGTTCATAAAAACACCACACAATGAAATGGTCTTTGGCAGAGATGGCACACGCCGTATTACGAGTTCGAGACATGCAAACATGCAGGCACATGCATGCGACAGTGACTTGACATGTCCTATACACCCAATCACAGCCACAAGTTCGTTATTTCCCAAACCAAATTGGGTAAAGGCCTTTAATTTTCAGACATCAAAACTGAGGATATCTGACTAGACATAAAAATGATTGTTTTTGTCGTACCTTTTTCTTTAATTATGATCGTGCAAGACAAATGTTATCTACCCAACACTTATATCCTCTAATATCTGGTTATGTAATACTAATAACAAGCTAGCAATGTTTTTAATTCAATGAAGTTTTTACAACATACCCAGGTTGAAAGGTAAATGCTACATGTATGAAATTAGTATATGCTCAACAGGCGTCGAAACCAGTTTTGCAAGGTTAAAATTTGTCTTTAAGGTTAAAAATGTATTCACTATATATATTAATTTTTAATAGTACTTGCTACAGTATTCTTAGATTTGAGACATTAAATACTTTTTTAAAATTATATTAAGATATTAAAAAATGTTTATATTTTTTTAAATAAATTATTAATTTCACTATCAAAATCAATTATCGATAATATAGAATACCTCTCAATTTTCATATTATAGTAAAATTTATCATTTTTAATATATTTTTTAATTGGTGCTCATAACCACCGCAGTTGCGCTGTATCTATATACATTAATTCAGTCTTAACGTTTGGGTTGAAGTTTGTAGGGTGAAGCAAATGGGCAAAGGACAAAAAACTAAACAGATATGCATATGACTTGCAAATTGCAATTGACTAAATTGGGACCCATACACATTTGACAATGTCTCTCATTTGGTTGGGATCTTTTAAGACACATTCACACAAAATTCTCCTCAGGATATCTCTCTCTTTCTGCTAAGACTTAAGAGGAAGCTGTGGCGGTGACTTTTGTCCTCTACCTATGTCATTTTTATTCATTTTTTGATGAATTTTGTCCTTAGCTTGGGGTACAGGTCCAGTTTGACATTAAAAAAAATTATAAACAAATTTGGCTTGTAATGAAAATAATTTATTCTATAATCATGATTTTAAAGAAGACTTTATTGAATCATCATTTTCATTTTTTTTTTCATTTTATGAGTAATGTGATAATTTTATATTAGGAAAGATACAAGGTAAAATTTATAAATCTACATAAATATAAATTTTTTTTTATAATTGTTTTATATTTTTTATATTAATAAAATAATCAATATAAAAATATTTCTAATTTTCAATATTAAAATATAAACTGTAACAAAGTGATATGTTTGTTACATTTTTTTTTCTTTTTAGAAAGAGAGGTAGGGTAAAATGTAGATTAGACTTTTTTTTATGGTAAATTACAAGTATATCACATGTAAATGAAAAAAAAAACATTATAAACTAATTATTTTGCGTAGATTTTGTTTATCATTTAATAAAATTTTATAAAATATGAAATTAACTAATTCAACAGTTAGATAAAAAAATTTATCAAATAAATTAACTTATCAAAATTTTATATAAAAAATTAATAAATATTTTATTGTAGTACTTTATTTTAATAGATAATATATTTTTAAAATATAAAAAATATCAAATTTTTAATAAATATATAAAATATTTTAATTGTAATAAATTTAATATATATGATAATAATGATGATATAAAATATTATAATAGTTAAATTTATCAATTTTATATCAAGGCTGAAAATTGTGAAGAACTCATTCAGGATCATTTAAGAGCTTTTAAAACTAGTTTTCACATCTCCATTTAGTTTTGCTCTCCCTCTTGTTGCCAAGTTTTGGGCCATTGTTTAGAGCTTTAAACTAGTAATACATAGATAAATTCATATGATTTGAATTAAATCTGATTGTAAAGATGCTATTTTTTTAGTTACTACTGTTTAAAATAGTAATTATCCTTTATTTTCTGTTATTAAGGAAATAAGGCTTTTCCTTAAAAATATCAAATATGTTAGATTTAATCATATTTTTTTTAGAAAACTAACCAATGTACGAATTGGATGAATAGATTAGGACAAGAAGAAAAAATGAGTTATTGCTGATTGGATACAACGGTTTCTTTTTAGAAACTCTTGATAAGATTAAACATTGTTAACTTTATTTGACCTAAAGTTTGTAGTTAGTTTTTTTATTATTATTTGAGCTGTGTTAAGCTCTGTTTATTAATAAATTTTTTTTTATCAATTTTACATTTATCTACAAATTTCGTACTTAATAAAGGTTCCTGACTCATATTTTTATGTATAAAATATACATAATATACTATGCAAATTTGTAAGAAGCTTTAAAATTCCAATTTCTTGTTAATGGAATTACAAAGTTAAACAAACTTACACTAATAATTCATTCCAAAAAGGAAATTGGTAATTTCTTCCTATGTTGATGATTGCTGCAAACTGACTGAATATTATCTTCTCTTATTAAATCATTAAAAAATAATGAATATTATATATATATATATATATATATATATTGTGTTTATATTTTAAAATATTAAAAAAAATTCCTAAAAATAAAGGAAAATTACAAGATAATTCCGTGTACATTACTTAAGGAAAAAAATTTGTTTAAACAAATTATCTTTTTTCCTTTACAAAAATAAATTATCTTTTAGTATATTAAGATTTTCAAGTGGAAGCCAAACAATCTTTTATTCTACTTCGACATTAAAGAGTAAAGACTGCAAAAGTGGACACAGAAATGGCGTTTCTTTTCATTCAGTATGTTCTCTTGCGGCAGATTATATTTAGAGAAATATAATTTAAAGAGTAAGTTGATTTAGGGTCTGATTGGTTTACAAATAAAAAACGTGAGAATCGATTGTGTAAAAGTTTAACAGTAATTAAAGCGGTGATACTCATTGTCGTTTTAGTTTTCCCAACTCCATTACTGTACACAAACTCACTCTTCAGCGTCTGTTAATTGTTTCACCATTCAAATGAGTTAAGCGTATGTGAATTTCAACACAGCTTAAATTGCTTTTTGGGTTAAAAACGTGTGTATAACTGTTATCATCAACGTGAAATAAAAACATATCAATGTTTCTATCAATAGCATACCAAAATATATCTAAGGAAAAAAAAATCCTGCAAAATTTCATCTTCTCCATATAAAATTCACTGTTTAATTAGATTTTTTCCCCCCAATTTCATCTTCAATTAATCTCATAATCAGTTGCTTCACCGACAGTACTATAGCGAAAAAAACATGAAAGTTTATGTCTTAGACATGCATACATAAGATCGAGAAGAATAGAAAAAGAAGATTATCGATCAAGACAAAAACGGAGAAAGTATCATACCTTCGTATAAGATCAGAGCAGGGTAGTGAACTTGACGTTTCAACTTCTTCCTCTGCTATGTACTGTCACTTGCAGGCTTCGATCTTAAGGGAACAAGGAACCAAGACTTTGCAGTGCTATGCATGTATATTATAGAGTGTATGAACAAAATATGAGAGTAATAATGAGTACCCATCATTCTCTTATACTTGTGCATATGAGAAGAAAAGGTGTACCTTAATTATTGACTAAATGACTGATATTAAAAGCAGTGGCAATTGTGAAGAGGGTTGAGCATCTTTCACCGGAGACATCTTGTCTGACCCAACGCTGTTGATACACGTGGCCTTGCTATGTGTCATCTGATATGTGCCTATATGCATAAAGAGATATATTTAAATAATAAAAAATAATAATTAATTAAGAAAATGCATTTTTCATGGTTGGTGTTCTATGGAGTTCTTCAGGTGTGTCTATACATGAATTTCAACAGAAGGGTTAACCAAACCTTTTCACGTGTAAAATATTTGTGTTATTATTGGATCGAGAAAAATAATAGATCTTTATGATTGTTTCTCTTTTTTTCTATATTCATGTTTATGTTAATTTTTTATGCATTATTAAGTCTTATAATAATTAATAATGTGGTTTTAATTTTTTTACTTAAAACTTTGACAATTTTCTTTTTAGTTAATTTTTGTGAAGTGAGTTAAGTCATGCTATCAATATACTTTGTTAATTAATACGTTATTTGACATGTCTTTTGAGATTTGTTAAATTTTTTGAAAAATTACATCAATAAATATATTTTTTAACAAAATAAATCAACCATATGACTGTTACAGATAAGTTAATATGGACTTATTTTAACTTAAATTATGATCTCAAATTTGAAACTTAATGCATAAAGAATTTTATTGTTTAATGATTTTACTTTCTTGAACATGATTATTTCATGTGAGTATATGATTTCCAATTTGATATTAAAATTTATCAAAATTAAATCTTAATTCATTTATAAATGTTTAGTTTTAAAAAGTCCACAAATTAAATATTTAAAACTAAATATGAAAAATATATGCTAAAATATTTTACCCTAAAAAAATTAATCAAAATATCCCTTACAAAACATATATATCTCTCCTTTCTTAAATTTAACTTTCAAAATCATAAAATGAAGAAGAAAAAGGTAAATTAAAAATATGTTTGATTTTTTAAAAAAATAATATAAATTTAAACTGTATTTTATTTTTAAAAACAGAAAGCTATTTTTAAAAAGGAAATCAAACATCTATTAAGCTTCTGCTGACATCCGTTTTGTTTATAAATATAAGAAACAACACATCTTATCATAATAAAAAATGTGGCAAAGTTTTGTTTATTGCCTTTTTAGATACGACTCCACATTGGCGTACGTTTCAAAATTGATGTTTTGTTACATTTCCTTCACACAAATCTATTAATCAATTCACTGTTTCCAAACTCTTGCCAAGTGCCACAAAGCGACGTATTCATTATTTCTTAAATCATGGCAACCTTAGACATAACATGTGACCAAGTCCAAAATCTTAAACTTTTTTTTAACACCACCAATCAAGATTTGTTCTTTTGATGACTGCTACGAAAAGGACTAATATAACGTAAGTGTTTTAATTAAGGGCAAGATTAGCTGATGATACTCTTTCTACGAATGACAGTATTTTGACCTAACATTGAATAGTTGGTTTTAGTGAATTGTGATTTTAAATAACAACACTCGTAATTGTTTAAGTTTCAATATTGAAGTTGATAGTTTAAGAATATTTAATCTGACCAACATTATTGATTTAAAGTGTTTGAATTATGAAGTTATAGGTGTAGGAAAAAGAGAGAAAAAAACTCTAAATATATTTCACAAAATCTAAAGCATTAATACTAATTACAATTTTAATCAAACAAGAAAGCAAATCACTGAACAAGGAAGTATGGAAACTAATATAGAAAGATGATGAGTAAAAAGAGAACAATAATAACATTCTGATGTCAATTTTCCCTTTGAGTTGATTTTTTTTATGTATTGCAAAAATCAATAATTTTATGTATGACAATCTACAATTGCATGATAATATATATAGCAAAAATTGCAATTAGTAATTGCATTACATTTGTTTATTTTTAAAAAAATAGAACTGTGTAAATAATAGATATAAAGTAATATCAAATTGTATTCTTTGAAAGTAAATGTTAATAAATAATTTTATAACATGTGAAACCCTATTTTTATTCAAAATACTTAAAATTACATGTATACAAAATACATTAAAAGTGGAAATGTAAAACATGTTTTCCAAAATCCAAATAAAAACGAAAAGGGGAAGTCACATGAGGAAAGCAGAAAGATTCCTATATTATTGCCATCCTAATATTCAAGGCCCTGTCCTATCTAACAAGAACAAATTTGCATCATTGAAGGGTGCAGGTGATCTTGGAGAAACATACGTAAACTACGAAATAGGAAGGAAAAAAAAGTGTGATTGAGTTTTGAGGAGATGGGAACAACTGAGGAGAAATCATTGACCTGAGCATATTTCTATGAAACTGCAAAAATGTTAATTTATGTGGTAAAAAGTTTAATTTTTACATATTTGATTATCAATTTTTAAAAGCTTGTCTAAACAATATAATTGATTATTTTTTCAATTTAAAGAGTTTCACTTAATAAATATATTATGTAAGAGTTAATGTTGAGTGCATAAATCAACATAAAGAATTGTTCAATTTTAATATATAATATGAATCGTAGATTTTGAGTACGTCCTTGTCCTAACCATTTGAAATAATGAATGGCTTAGGTTAATTGTCATTATCCAATAATTAATTATTGTAAATATTACAATTTTTGTTCAGCACTCATAGCTTTTCTCTTTACTTTTGGTTCTTCCATATTTTCCTCTTCCTTGTGGGAGACCTCATAGAGAACTAAAGGTGAGATTTCAGATAGGAAATCCAACAAAAATCAATTGAGTAGGTAATATTCGTTACTTTAGTAAATGAGCAAATTGTTTGAAAATGATATTATCATATTACATTATTATTTTTATCTAATAACCATACATCATTTAATTGCTAACTCAGGTTAGCCTACGTCAAAAACAAAATTTAATATTTTACAGACTTGTTATCACTGATAATTTTACTGCTAACTCATGCATGAACCACTTAAATTACTGTTTAGCATGAAAAAATAACTTAGAAAGTTCACACAAATCAATTATTTGAAAGTTTTATTAGCTGAATATTAAATAATTAAAATTTGAAAACAATATTTACTTGACTGAAATCATGCAAGTTAAAAACGGTTTCGTGATTCATTCTCAGAAAAAATATTTTTGTATTGGGCCGAGTTTCGGTTTTTTGGTCCATTCTGTGGCCTTTCTTGGCATCGGGCCGCATGTACTGATAGCCTTTGAGCTTTAACTTTCGGGCCTATGATTTACCAATCTGTTGAAAAAAATGATAACGGTGTAAAAAATTAAAGCAGGTAAAAGAATATCATGAGCTTGAGATATAAAATCATTACATTTCATTTTTTGTATAAATGTCAATTAAATTAATAAAATTTAATATTTATAAAAAAAATTTGAGCAGAATAAGATAAAATTTATTTTTTGAATTAAAAAATATATTATATATATTATAATATTTTTTTTATTGTATCAATCATCTTATTATAGATTCGTTTTTTCTCTTTATTATTAAATAAACTGTATAATATATATTAGGTAATTGTAATACTTAAAAAAGTTTATAAATATAATGAAACTTAAAAAAAAGAATTAAAATTTTCACAATTCATATAAAATAATTTATATCGTCTTCTTATGTCTCGCGTAGAATTAATTAAATCAAATTTCAAAGGTAAAAATATCAAGGAAAACAAAGGCAGAGAGCCAGAGACATGAAACCTCAAAAGGATAAAACAAAAATCAATATTTTCGTGTCTGTCTGAAAACCAAAGGTGATGTTGTGTGCAACAGCATACCAAGATGCCATTTATTCTTCATCCCTGTAAGTTCCTTTGCTTTCCAAAGTGCACAAAACCTGTTAAGGATATCAGTGTTTTCAGCAGCACCTTCATAAAGAAACCACACAACAACCCCACCAAGAACCCGTCTCCGACGCCCCAAAAGTTTTATTCTTTTGACAAGTTTGTTTTTTGCAACCCTCGTGCTTCCCTAGTTTCTAAGAAATATTCAATCTTGGGTGATACCCATTTCACATTTTGCTCCAAGAATGATGGGTTTGATGGGTTTTCCAGTGATTTTTCCCAAGAAGCTATTGAGGATGGAACCCAAGAACTTGAAAGCGAAAAGCTTGAGTTGCTGAACAAGCCTTCTCCTGTGCGTGTTGCAGAAGAGTCTTCCTCTGAAGTTGAAATGGACCAAGAGGAACCTTCTAAAGAGGAGGCTTTGGCACCTTTCTTGAAGTTTTTCAAAGGTAATGACTCTGTGAAGGATTTTGAACAAGATGGTGAGGTATTGGGAGTTTCTGAAGAAAAAGATGACGTTGGTGGTGATAATAAAGAAGAAGAAAAGAAGGTTAATGTTGAGTACTACGAGCCAAAACCTGGGGATTTTGTGGTGGGTGTTGTTGTTTCAGGTAATGAAAACAAGCTTGATGTCAATGTGGGGGCAGACTTACTAGGTACAATGTTGACCAAGGAAGTGCTTCCTTTGTATGGTAAGGAAATGGAAAACTTGTTATGTGATGTGAACAAGAATGCAGAGAGTTTCATGGTTCATGGGAAGATGGGAATCGTGAAGAATGAGGAGGCAATAAGTGGAGTACCAGTGCCTGGAAGGCCTGTTGTAGAGACTGGAACCATTTTGTTTGCTGAGGTTTTAGGTAGAACTCTTAGTGGCCGGCCATTGCTTTCTACAAGAAGGCTCTTTCGTCGAATTGCTTGGCATCGAGTGAGGCAGGTTTTCCTCTTTCTTTCACTCCCGTTTTCCCCGTCACTATGTTTAGTTTAGTAGATATTCCAACTTCCATGCATAATTTGTGATATGAAGCATCAGTACTTGCATTTTCTTCACCTGTTTGTAGTGGTTATGCACCCTACAATGATCTTAGATACTTTACCTATATGTGTCTATGAAGTATCCGAGCCTTTTTTTAAGTTATGAAAATCTGAGATGGCTGGATACATACAGATAGTGAGGGAGCTTTGATATCTTTCAATATGGATTCTTCAAGTTTCTGATTTTTCATTTTCCCCTGACTATATGGCATGAGATGCAACTCTTTTATGTTTATATCAATGCAACATTTCTGTATGTTTTGGGATTTCCTAACAAAACTGATGCCCATAATCTAATGAATGCTACTTTGTCCCCGTTAGCTTTCTTAACTCATGTAAAGTCAAATAACATCTTTTTAATGCTGAGAAGATTTAAATTTTCAATTTTTAATGTTTTGGGCAGATAAAACAGCTCAATGAACCTATAGAGGTTAGCATTACAGAATGGAATACTGGGGGCCTGCTAACAAGGATTGAGGTTTGCTCCGTTTACCATAAATTCATGTTAATGTGGCATTTGACCAAATGTTTATCTCTCCACAAATTTGGATGTGCAGGGTTTGCGAGCTTTCCTACCCAAGGCTGAGCTAATAAAAAGAGTAAATAGCTTTACTGAATTGAAAGAAAATGTAAGTTGCAGAGTTGGAATATTTGTCCATGCCAGAAAAAAATCAGTTTTTTATTGGGATGACTACTTATCTTATAAGTGTCTGTTGATACTCTCTGATTTTATCTTCTGTTATTTAGTAGATATGCTTATAACAATAATCAGTTTTTTTTTTTCCCTGTATTTTTTAACCTGCACCAGCCTTGATTTAATCCATATATATCATGCTGGGGGTTCAGAGTATAAAAAGTGATATTGCATAATACTTTACTACTTTATGAGCTTCCTCTAGGTATATGAATGTAGCATATTTTATAATTTTTTCAGAAAATTACCTGAAAAGATTCTGTACTTCTTTAAATACCTGCTAATTTTTACGTTTCTTTACAGCTGGAAGACTCCTATTAGTTTGACAGAATACATTTGTAGTTATCATTTGTCTTTATCGTCTTCCCATACTAGTACTTGATTATAATGATGTAGGTGGGACGCCGTATGTATGTACAAATTACTCGAATAGATGAAGCTAAAAACAATTTGATGCTTAGTGAAAAGGAAGCTTGGGTTAGTATTCAAATCTGTTTATTTCCTAGTCTTCCTTGCGTAATTTTTTCATAGTTTTTCTTTCTTTTTTTTGTCTGTTGAAATTCCTGCTGTGCTATATGACGTTCCAGGAAAAGCTATATCTTCGTGAGGGAACACTTCTAGATGGGACTGTAAAAAAGATCTTTCCATATGGAGCCCAAATCAAGCTAGGAAAAACTAACAGAAGGTCAGTGACTGCTTGGATATGGATTGCAAACTCTTGTGCATTTTTTTCCTGTTTAGTAAATCACAGTCATAACTTTATTCAAAGGGGTTCCAATAGGGTGTAATTCTCATTGCAAGGGATAATTCCATCTTAGAGTATTGTTAGATGTTTCCAAATGCCACTTGTGAAGATAAGAAAACTTAATTCAAGTTGGTTTCCTGCATATGGCTGATGGAAAACTACATAAATCAGGCACACTGACATACAAGTGTTTTCTTAAATTCTATGATTTGGCCTTGGAAATTGGGGAATTGTTTTGAGCTGCATCAACACTAATGAAGCAAATTGGTCAATCATTGCTGTTAAATTATTTAGTGGATTGCCACTATGTTCCTTTTCCACTTATTCCTGGCTGTAACAACATTTAAGACTGTTAAATGGATTTGATTAGTGTTTTACAACTATCAATTTGAGTTATGTTCTTTTCAAATATCTATTAAACCGAAAAGCTTTAGTTGTAAGGTTCTGGCATATGAATGTTCTATATCTCTAAAACACTCCCCCTCCCTTCCCCATGGGTCATGCGAGAAGCTTCATACCTGGCTAAAGAGGCTTTAATAACATGCTGAAGACCAATTCTACCAAAAGCTTAAGATGTTGAGTGCAGTTACACAAATGGTTTTATTTTTCTAACACATCTTTGCCGAGTTGAAAAAATAAGTCTCTCCCTTATTTTGAGTGATATGCTCCTTCTGACTTAGCATGTAAATTGGCTCAAAAATAGCTTAAAAAATTTCTCCCCTTCAGTTACAGGGAGGGGTCATGACCCCTAAGCCCAACAACATCCCTTCAGAAACTTTAAATTCTGTTTGAAATTTTTTAAAAGTTCTATATATTTGTAATGGTTTGGTCCCTCAAAAAATGATGGTATAAATATAATCTTTGGCATCCTGACATCCACAATGAGTAAATCCTAGCTCAGCTTCAAATAATGACATATTATGCTGCATCTTATAGATCCAGGGTACTAATAGAGGTGCAACACTTTAGCCACACATTCTGACTAGACCCATAAAAGGTAGGGAGGCTTTAATATAAAAAAACATGATCTTAGTATACCATATTTTCCTGGTCTATTGAAGCTTGCTTTAAAATGGTAGTCCATCCCCCTTTCATTACATTCTATTCTCTTTCTAAACTCCCAGTGAGATTTAAACTTGGGGTGTCAACTTAAAGTATCCAATGGGAATGTTGCATCCCTTTGTCTCCATGGATTCTTCACAACTAGCCTGTAAAAAAATATATAAAAAGGAAATTCCATGCAAAATAATAGGGAAAGTACTTTACATAAAAAAGCTGAAGTTCCAAAAGAAACATTTGAAGTTTTGGGAATTGCCGGTAACTAACAAGCAGTTTTATTAGGGTTCACACACATTTCTACCTTGTAAGAAGTGTTTCCTTCAAATTTCAAAACAACATAGATAGATGTAAAAATTTCCTTAATTTTTCTTCATTTCTTTTATCTAGACCATATTTGGCATTGTATTGTTTTTAATCCAAAAATAGATGTGACATAAATTGTAAATTTAACTGTTATTGGTCAAGTTACATTCTGTATGTGAATGAAGCTAACAAATATAATATGCATCAATCCTTGTTACTGCATAATTTTCCTTATTATTTCCCTATCTATCATGGTTTTAATATTCCCGTGCACATATCTATCCGTATCATTGTTGTATCATCTGACATTCTGGTTTGGATGCTCTGATGTCAAGAGGCTTTATAGGCATTTTATCATCTTCAAGATTTGATATCAATTTTATGAGTTTCATTTGTTTAAGCTGGATTAAATCTGCCCCTTATACATTGACTTGACATTTTAAATGAACCTATTGGATGTCTTTCAGTGGTTTGCTGCATGTTTCAAATATCACTCGAGCTGACATTACTTCTGTCAATGACATACTTTCAATTGATCAGAGCGTTAAAGTTCTTGTGTTGAAGTCAATGTTTCCTAATAAAATTTCCTTGAGGTAATGGATTGCTCACTTTAACTTCCTTCTGTAATTGTTGGGTACATTTAGTTTGTTCCTGTTTAATTTGCCATATTTAGTGAACCTGGACAACTTACCAAAAATAAGGCATCACCTTTAAAAGGAGAAAGATAAGGCTATCACGTTATACAGAATGGTTTAATCCAATTTAAAAACTGTAATTTTTCCAATTCTAGATGATTTTACCTGATGGCAATTTGATGTGTAAAGTTTCAACTTATTAAAACAAATTAAAATAGTGGGAAAAACACATATGGGGTGGCACAGTGGAAGTGGGAGAATTAAAAGATCACAAGGTTGAGTTGTGTTGCCAAAAAACTGCTTTACACCTTGAGTCCCCTGACTTTTTCATCGGAGAATAGAATATCTTTATTGGGCTCTCTCAAATGAATGCTCCACAAACTACTTTACACTTTCTTGTTCTTTACCCACTGGATGTGTTTAGTTTCAAGCCTTTTTCCCCCTAAACTCGTAAAAACTTCATTAGATTATAACATTGAGCAATCATTTGCTGTGATGGTAATTTGCCTTTCCTACCATGCAGCATTGCAGACCTTGAAAGTGAACCTGGTCTTTTCCTGTCAAATAAAGAGGTATATCTTTATTATTTTCCAATTAAAGTTCTCTTTAGTTTTACTTGGACTGATATTTATAAATGCTTTATTTATTTTGGTTATAAAAAGAGAGTATTTCTGGAAGCTGATATGATGGCAAAGAAATACAAGCAAAAGCTACCACCAGCTATTATCACTCGACAATTAGAACCCCTATCAACCAGTGGCCTCCCTTTCGAAAATGAAGCACTTTATGCAAACTGGAAGTGGTTTAAGTTTGAAAAGTAATGCATGGAACAATTTGACACAAAAGCATGAAAATATTCACTGACTGAAGCTCAATTGAGAGAACATGACATTGCATGGGGAAGTGCCTTTCCGAAAGAAAACATTAAGAGCCTCCAATGGTTTTTGTTTTGATGCGGTCATTGTTCTCCTGATGAGTAGCGCAAAGATCACAAAGCCGCAAGTGTGTGGCGAAAAGGATCAAAGCGTAATTTACTTCACGAGGTTGATTTTTATTAAGGCTCAGTAAAGTTTTTGCACTATCGTCAAATTGTGCTGACACTTCATTTTTGAATTTTTCAGGCTAGAGTTTTTTTTAATGTTCTAACATATTAATGATAGTGTAAAAGTTTTACATTGAGAAGATCAAAATTAAGTCCAAACTGTAATGTATTACATTCATTCACTCAAATTTTGATGTTTTCTTTTATATATATATATATATATATATATATATATATAAAATATCATCTTGAGCTTCTCCTTATCCTTTTGGCCTTTTGTACTGTTTTTAAGGGTTTGGACATCATTGATTGCAAATTTTAGTAGCAATAGCCAATGGGAATTGGAGGGAATTTCTTCTACTCTTCTAAAACTGGATGTTTCAGCTCATTCAAGTTTGTCAGCAAAGTGGGTGGTGATTACACTTTTATGATTAGTTGACGTGAAGCCCTTTGGTACTGGAAATAATTGATCTTTTGAAAAAATCAAGCACCCCCCGATCATTGTAGGTGCCAACTATCTAGAACGATAAAAGTAAATCCCACGAACGGTACGTTTCCAAATTAGAAAAAAAAAAAAATCCTAAAACACGTACTCTTCATAGATGTATCGTTATTTTTTATTATAAAATTATCTTAAAGATAAAAATAAGATAAACAGTCAAATTTGAAGTAAAATTTGACAAACGAGCAAGCACTGCAGAATTATAGAAACATGTCTCTCAATAGATATATCTAACAATGTGTTAACGGAAAAAGAGAAAAGTTAGGAATGAATTTAATTAAAAGAAATTAAAATACTTCCTGAAACTTGAAGACAAAAGTCTTTAAACATTTCAAAGCAAAGTTACTCAAAAATGAATTTAAGACTTTTAATATATTAATGCACATTAAATTTGTAATAAATTCAAATTGGATTTATTTAAATATGCAAAACATTTTTATCATTTATTTACAAAACTCAAACTTGATACGTCTTTTCTTAAAAGCGAATCCAATTCTTTATCATTAAAATCAAAAGATGTTGAGAAAAATAAAATAAAGGCTCTTAAAATTTAATAAATTCCTTTTGAAAGATGCTATTAAAACTTGAATTCAAATAATAACCAAGCACACCCATCCTATGAAATAATGTAACTTTCTTCAAACTAGATATGCCGTACTCATCTTCATACACGTTAAATACTTTAATTGCATACTATAATTTTATATTTTACATCAATACAGATGGTAATATCCAAAAAATGAAATAATTTACAATATTTTATATTTTTATCGTGTACATAATAACTTTCTTTTTTTAAAAGTATCCTTTTGTTTAAAATTTATATTTAATGTAAACGTTACCTTATGTTAGAACCGTATTCGATTTAATGTAATTTTGTCCATTCCATTCTACGCAGTCACTCAATCCAGACGCCATCCAAACAAAAGAGAAAGACAACCGTCTGATTATTTTTTCTGTATTTTCAGACCCTATACGGAAAACTTACGACGAAAAATATAGCTGCAGGAACAGGCGGAAAAAACCATGTAGTTTGAGTCCGGAAAAAAACTGAAACTCAAACAATTTGTACCCAAAACCCTTGCTCAACTATTTCTCGACTGCACCCTCCCAACCAACATGACTCATTACTCGCAACAAATACATATTTAGAATGAAAATAACAAGACTCCCAGACCCCGAAAGCTCAACCAGTCAAGCCACAAAATTCAAACTCAACCCTAACTTTGCCTGCTGACAAAAACTCAAGACACAAACAGCTCAATTCAGTGATACAATCTGATGACTATTAAGTATGAGAATATCCCAAGATTCGGGCAGCAAAACCATCAACCCCCTAACCTTGTCAGACCACCGAGTAGTATAGAATATGAATGAGTAATACTCAAGCTGAGGAAGCAGGTTCTTCAACTTTCTTATCTTCATCTGCCTTACTTTCTTTTGCAGATGCCGATTCTCTTTCCTCAGTTTTGTCATCAGATATCTTCTCATCTTTCTTCTCTCCATCGGCCTTCTCATCGGCCTTCTCTTCTACACTCAATTGCTCAATGAGACCAGCTGCTGCAGATGCATCATTCTCTTCCTCTCTATTCTGAGACTCGGCAACTTCTTGGAATGTTTCCATGAAGCTTTTGCAATCTAAAAGGAAAGCAAGCCAACAGAAAATAATTAAATATAGACATGCAATTAGAAAATTACCCCTCGTACATCCACACAATACTCCTATAGGCTATACCACTCAGCCAAATAGAGCATAGGAAAGAGCATATCTAGGAAAATAAAGTTAATATGCATATCAATGTATAGATCATTCAGACCATGGAAGGGTAAATGGAAAATCATTTCATTTCAGACATCGGCACTGATGACAAGTATACACTGAATCCTGGAAATTGAAATGGAGTGAATACATGTACCATAATATCAACTAAAGAAACTTTTATTCAGGCAATACACTGATGAGTGTCTAAACCAAACTAAGACCTCTTTTAGGGGGTATAGAACAATCTGTGCCTAAAGTAATTTTAATTAATTATTAAGTACACATAAGTGAATGTTTAAAATAGATTTGTACACGTGTATCTGTGAGCCTAAAGTTTTCTGAAGAACTTGAGAACCAAAGATCACATAACACAAAATATAAGTCGCATTACATTTAAAAATTAAAAGGAAATTCATATAAATGAGTTGCCATGATAATTATACTCATAATCGTAGAGATATCAATTGCATTTGAAAAGCAGTTAATCAAATACATAATGCAGTAGCAGCACACACACAAATCGGCTGGGCCAAAGCAGGCTGCGCTAAATTCAGTGAAACTTAAAGCCATGAAAGAAAATATGATATATACTGAGAAACTGGCCGTGCCAAAACATATAATACGTCTAAAAATTTTCCTACTACTAATAAATATAGCTTGACTAAGGTCAGAGATTCTTTTATAAATACTGATATAGAACATAAAATATTCTCAAATCTTTTGTGATGACTAAATCACTTAATGAGAGCCCGTATTGATTCTGGAATATGTGCAGATAATCCACATAAATCAAGACACTACACAACAATATTTCTCTGTCAAAAATACTGTAGCCAATTATGCTGGAGAACAGATATCGAAATAAACAGAGGATATGCTGATAAGTGGCACATGTTAAAGCCAGTTCGGTCATTCTCCTTCGACTATGCATCAATGAGTGTAAGACAAGTAAGTTTTTTCAATGAAATTACTAGAAGACCACAATACACTTGCATAGACAAAGTCGCCAGACTATAATTTCCCAGCTCATGGAGTGTGAACATGTACTTCAAACACTGAACTCATCAAATGACTTAATGAAAACTTTGCAATGTGAGTGTTTTAGCAGAGATTCATCAAAAACAACTTTATGCTAATGTTCCGAGGAGATACTGAGTGCAGAATAAGACACCGTGCATATTATATTCCAGATTAGATGGATTTAATATAGTGAAGTGACTAAAAATTGCAACTATCAAATGCAACAGATGAATTCTCAAATCAATGTTAGGTGGTAACAGATAACTCCAAGGCATCTAGATGTCAAGTTGAAAAACAAAGAATCACGAAATTGATCTAAATCAAAAGAACTACAGACCCAACACATTAACTGCATCTAAACAAAAGAATCAGCAAATTGAAACTTGAAAACGCAGAACTTACTTTCAACAGAAGGAAAACGAATGCAGAAAAGCTCATCTTTGAGTTCTCCATCGGCATAGTCCCTTGCATGCCAAACGCAAGATTTCTCATTCCCAGCATGCTCTTGCACAGTCATCGTAGGCAAAACTGCGACAATCGAGAGTCAAGAAAACAAAACCAGAAAACCGAATCTCATAATCAAAATCGGCGACGCAGACACAAAAGCACATGAAGAAAAGAGTGCACATACTGAGATGATTGGCGCAGATCTTGAGAGTCTTGGATTGCCTCATGAGAAGCCTAACCTTGCCAGAAACCTTATGCTCCAGGAACTTGACGGTACCCGCACCTCGCTCCTTCCACTGGTTCCCATCCTTGTCGAACCGGTAAAGCTTCGATTTGCTGCGATCAGTGAAAGAAACCAAATCGATCAGTGGCAAAACCGTAAAAATCTAAAAGAAGAGGTAGAAAATAGGATAATGAAGAGGCATACAGATCTAGAATGGGATCTTCATCCTCCTCGCCAGTGGTGACGGCAACCTCCTCGAGCTTGACGATGGGAGCAACGTGAGCTCCGGTGTCCTCATCTTCGCCGGGGGCGGGTGCCTCCTCCTCTTCACGGTGCTCGGGATCGGCGCTCGACATGTTCTGGAGATAGAGAGAGAGTGTGTAGTGCCGGCTAGGGTTTGGAGAGTGTGAGATGGTAGTAGTGAGAACGGTGGAATGTGAGTTGTAGAGAATAGACTATAGAGGGGTTGTGTTGTGCCAAAACAATCATGCTGGGCTGAGTGGGCTCTTTTGCATCTACGGTTAGATCATTGCCACGTCCCTTCTTTTTCGTTTTTCTTATAAATATGGAAATATTTTTTTCCTTAATGATGTTATCTTATTTTAATTATTTTCTTTTTCTAATAAAGTGTATAAAATATTTATAACTGTTTAATCGAAAATAATAATGATGAGTCAAACGGCAAAAAATACTTTTTAGTTTAAGCATAAATAATAACATTAACTCGTTTTAATAAAAAAATTGTTTTGCTATTGTACCATTCATGAAAAAATAAAAGTAGAAGGTTAACTTGCATTCACTTTTTTTTTAAATAGTATATTTTATTTTTTATTTTTTATTTTTTACATTACTCTGACTTCTTGTTTATATAATTGTATTAAAAAAATAAATATGAAATGTATAATAAAAAATTGTATACATTAAAAAAAGTTGGAGAAAGATAAATAAAATAAATATATTAAAAAAATATTGAATGGTATGAATATAATTTACTCAAAATATTAGCATAGATCATTGTTATTAAAAGAAAACATTATTTATATAGTTGTTTTAAACACCTACGCTATCTTGTTTTTATATTTTATTACAATTATTTAGATTTCTTATTTATTTACACCATCCTCCTATAGGTGTCCGAAGATGTTAAAAAATATATATATCAGCTGTTAAATTTGGAATTTTGATTAGTTGTATTTTTGGTCAGTAAAAAATCCGAAGCAAACAATTGATAGAAAGATAACGTTGGAATCGTGTGATGATTGATAAGGAGAAATATTGTATAATTTTTATTCTAAGTATATTTTATAGAAATAAAATCTATATGTATGATTTGTATATTAACTACTTTCTGTGAGTTTTATTTTTATAAAATATGCATTATGATTTTCCATATTAATTTAAATTTTCACGCAATTTAATTTTTTATAAATTTTATATCACACGATAATTAAAAAATATATATTTTGTTATTATTAAGTTGAATCAATCACGCCTTTCATTGATCTAGTTATTGAATTAAATATAAGAATATTTGGATCATTGATTAATTATATATTTATCTTTTCTGGCTATACTCTTTCTCGTCCATCCATGTCTTGCATAAGCTTATTATCAGACATGCTTTTCTTGTGGAGTATTATTTACATTGTTAAAGCTTTGTGTTTTGAATTTAAGTTTGATAATAGTTAATTAAAATACAAGTTTTAAATAACTTTTTTTAATATATTTTCACGTATTGTAATTTTAGTTTTAATAGTTTTGATTATTTATACTTAATTAATTTAAAAATGTGCAATTTTAATTGTTCACATTTGTCTTTTAAATTGCATAATTTTAATTGCTTATATTCAGTCCTTCTAACTGTTTAAATGTTTTATAAATTCTTTATTTATTTGTATAAATCAATAAAATAGGCTTAATTTAGTTATTTTAAAAAATAAATATAAAAAATTAAAGAGACTAAAATTACATATTTAAAAAATGACAGGAACTAAATTTAAGTAATTAAAGTGACCAAAATATTACATTTAAAAATTTTAAAAGAACTAAATATGAGCACTTAAAATAGAGGGACTAAAATTACACACATTAAAGTATATAAATAAAAAATATAATTAAATAAAATATATAATAAATAAAAAGGTTTAATTAATTATAAAAAATAACATTTCTTGTCAATTGGATGAATCATGATACATGATTAAATAATAATATATAGTATCAACGTGTTTTAATCAAAAGTATCATCACCCAAAATGTTACACATACAGGCAATGAAATTGAAATAAAATTCAGTTTGAATTTTCAGAACTGAATTTCTTACCTTCAATATGCAGTTATGCTATTTTTTATGTTATGTTTACTACGCATTTAAATAGTAAATTAAATAACATAATATTTGAGATACATAAAAATAATAAAATAAAATATAAATTTGATTATGTTTTTATATTCTTACTACATTAACTATTTTTTAATAACACTGGTCAGTTTTAATAATTTAAAATCAATTTTAAGTTTAATGTTTTTTTTATAATAATCCTTGTTTAGCATTACTTGACTTTTTAGGCCTGAGTTTTTTTTTCTTGTTTGCTTGAGGAAGTAATTTTACGCACCACATAACCATATTTCTTGCAATATTTTTACAAAGATATTAACAATATACTAATTTAAAAATACTGTTTAGTATAATTTTGTAAAATATCAATTTAAAAAAAAAAAAAATACTTATGACATTAATTAATTTTTAAACATTATTTTAAAATTTTAATCATCCAATCACAGAAAATGTATCGAATAATATACATATACCGTTAAACCATTCTTACCTTGCAATTAATGATTTTGTACTGTGTCGTAACTATTTTTCTTCTCATCCCCAACACTGAAATTAGAGGCAACAAAGTGAGCACTGTGAAGTTGGTTCTTTGTGGACTTCTCCTCGAGTGACGAAAGAAATTATCTCATCAAGTGTTCATTCGCGATTTTGAATCCTTTAGTTTTGTCAAATTCATACGAGTTCACCAACATATGTGTAAAATTTCTAACTTAACTATTTTCATTAAAAAAACAAAATTGATAAAAAGAAAAAAACAGAGGAGAAAAATAAAAAAAATAAAAAAGAAGTGTACTTTACATTTATATGGAAAAAATTTCCATCTCGATTATTTTGTGGCAAGAACTCTTTTTGTTTATCCTTAAATTAGCCCAAGTTTCAAAAAAATAAGAACCGAGATATTCATTCAATAAAATGGGCCATAGCCCAAGGCCCGCTATTTAACTTGAGGGTTGGGAGAAATTATTTGAGCCATGGATATTTCTTTACCACGAAAATAAAAACAATGGGTAATCTTAACAACGAAATAAGTTATGGATAATTGGTATGCGAATTCTTTCTTTTTCTCTTTTGATATTTAGTATTTATCGTTATTTTACAATTTTTTTAGATAAAATCTATGACACCTCTTTTAATTTAGAGAAATTGATATCCTTTCTTATATAATCTTGAAGAAAAAAATTGTTAATATTTTTTTATTTTTAAAATATTCAAAAAATCATAATCGTTAACTTAAAGAGAATATGAAATATCGTTTTAAGTTTATGAGTATTATAATAAACACTTATTTTTATATGTATTTATAAATTAAATTATCTTATTCTTAAAAAAAAAAAAAGTTTTGACATCTACATTTGTTCAGATACTCATAGCATAACATTCATTAACTAAACTAATAATAAATAATAAAAAAGAAATCCTAATAAACAATATGCATATAAATAGAATTAATCTGAAATTTAGGTGAATGATAAATAAAGAATAACAATCTGCAAAAGAGAAGGATTAGAAAATAAAAAAGCTAAATAAAACAAGAAAAAATAATTTGAGTATCATCAAAACACTATTTGATCCTTAATTAACAGTTAACATAAAAAATCTGAATTTTTTTACTGATTTACCTTGCCTATAAATTGAGTGAACAGTTGAAAAAATTACATTGTTATTTTTCTTGAAAAACAAACCTTTTCTCTTCTCAAATTGACAGGTCAAGGGGATATTCGAGGAGAAGAAAAAATAAGACTTTAAACTTACAGTTCTAATACTTGTTTGGCGTTAAGGTATTCATCTTCTTTCTATAGTAATTGTGCTTTATCAATTGAGCTGTCTTGTGACTCTTGTCGACTTGTAATCCTCATTTGAAACGAAATGTTCGTGCATTGATGTCGATTCCTTGTATTTGGTTATAATTGAATGAAAATTCTGTGGGTTTGCTTGCATCTTAAAAAAAAAAGAAAAGAAATCATGATTCAACTATGTATTGAACTTTATATAAAAACAATAGTGATAATAATAAAATATGTAGGTAGTCAAAAACCCATCATTTGTTGTCTGTGCCTATATGCGTGTCTTATTTAATTTCGAGGTTTTGTTTTAATTTTATTTCAATAGTTGTTCATCATGTATGACACCCTAAAATGTTAGCAATTTCTATGCTGGTACACAATTTTTCATATGTATAATTATTTTTATCATCATTTTTTTCACTTTAGTTAGCTTTGCTAATCATGATATTTGAAAAAAAAAAATTTCTCAATATTAGAAAAAAGATCGTTAGCTCAATTAAGTGTACTGATGAGTTTGAAAGATTTAATTTTTTATATTATTATTAATATTATTTAACATGTTTGTATTTCATAATTTGATTGTTACACATGAAATTAAGAAAACATTAAAATATCATCAACTGTTTTTTATTATATTCTTGAAGGTATTATTATTGAATCTGGTTAATTCTGCTGGCTTGGTCTAATCTCTCACGTAATATATTTATTTAATATATGTAACTTTTGTATATACCATAGTTTGTATTAAAAATAAAACATTATCAATGACAGAAAATTATGAGAGAATTTATTTATAATCATAAATTAAGACTAGTTTTTACACGATTTTAATGTGATTAATTAAGATACTACAACTGTTTGTTTTGCACTTATATATAGGAACTACGGCTTAAGTTGATCTCCTTTGTCCTCTTCATTTAGAATTTCTTTGCATTGTTTATTAAAAATCACAAGTCTCATTGTTTAAACAGCTGCAAGACACAGACAAATTAATTAATTAATAAGTGAATTCATCCTAAAAGAATCTTAGGCGATTAAATTGTCACCTCCTATTACCATTATAGGGTTTGGGGCTCTATAAGCTTAACTATAATTAGAATATATGCATGCTGATCAAATAATTATCATCAACACTTCAAATTCATTTCTTGCACCTCACCATAAGCTACACATCATATATATACTATTTTCCATTTTTTCTTTTGACCCTTAATCTATGAAGTAGGAACCCTGAAAACAAGGGAACCCAATATCCACTAGTCTATAAATCTTATATGCACTACTTAGTATAAAGATCCTTATACACTTGAATG